TACTTCCTTCCGAACAGTCCGAATGGAGATGGCAGTCGACACGACTTCGCTGACGGAGCAACGGATGCTATTAGCGCGTGATGCATGGAAGATGACGGGCTTTGTTCCCATCGGTCACCGCTCCCACTCGTCGGGCCCTGGGAAGGTTGGGTCGCGAATCCCCTCGAAGATCCTTCGATTGACCTCCCATCGGCCTAGCCAATGATCTTCCTTGATGAAATGCATGCATTGCGATCGATGCATTTCATGCATGGAAGGATTTGTCAAGGCGCTGTCAAACCGGATTCTGGTATCCATTGTCACGGTTACTCTTCGGGTGTTTGCTGGATTGTTTGCGAAGGCCGATCTACTACTCTCTGACCGACCGTTTGAAGGATCGTAGTGCAGCCGTGTTTCCAATGTACACCGTTCCTTGATATTCTCGAGAGGCTCAAGCTTATGACGTTTCAACATCGCGTGGCTCCATCCATGGATCGTCGCTTTCCACTCCACTTCTTCCCAGGCCCCTGGGTCTGTACTTTACCGACTTTTCACCTTCATGGTAGAGTGCACATGGCTATATCCATACAGTACTATAGAGCACGGAGTACGGAGTACGGAGTACTATTATAGATCGAGTATGGAAGTACAGAATGCACGAAACAATGACGTTCAGGATTACGGGTCGGTGAATTTCGAGCCCAGCTGATTCTTTGGGGTCTTCTCGAAGGTCTCAAACGGGGCGAATGAGCTTTCAGTATATTCGATACGGTGTGGATGGAGTACCTTTGATGACAGGATCGTCGGATCCTCACATACCGTCCCCAGAGGATTTCAATAGCTTCTTTTGTCTGAAGTGACATGCCGTGCTTAATTTTTGGGTTCCCAGGAGAATTATCCCTTTTTCTCCAGACAGTTTTTGCGTTGCGCAATAATTTGCCGGACTGTCAATCCCGACTGGATGGATCGTCGTTTTTTGTTTTTTCTTTTTCAACGGTTTGGGTACTTCTGCCACACTGTACTGTATGTCCATACTAGTTTCAGGAACTCACTTATCCTGTACGGAGTACTCCGTACTGGGAGTGTCCCTGGTGAGATTAGGGTTTCTACACCGTCTGATGGAAAGTCCCCATGGATGTTTCGATCCCAAAGGTACTGGTAGGTTTCGATGACGGTGGAAGTGTAGCAACTGTTTTTTCAGTTTAATTACCTTAGGTTCATACTAGTGCCACAGGTCTCGGGGAGGCGGCAGAGTCCCAGTGCGAGATCTATCATCTCACTAAGGGACACTAAAACCACACCTCTGGGAAAGCCGGAAAATCAAGAAAAATCAATTTAAAAAAACAACGGATCAACCGTGCCTTACGCCATACGTAAGTTCGGGTGCAAGTCGATGTTAGCGCCCTTCGAGGAGGCTAAGTAGGCCTAATGCTGTTCCCCGGCTACACTAAGGCCTTCCTTTTTCGCTGATCTGGGGATATGCTCTGTTTACTATACTCCGTAGACAGTATAGTATTACAGTATGTAGTAGTAGTAGTAGTACTGTAGAGTAGAGAACAGTGTCCCCTACTGCTAGTACTGTACTAGTAGTGATCTGATGGATCTGGAAGAAACAAAGACAAAACAGACGAGTACAAATCCAGAATCAATGATGTATTCCATTGGTTCCACCCCCTTTACGCTTTTCCGTCTCCCCCTACGCTTTTTTTTTCTTTTTCTTTTCTCACGGAACATGTCAGGTCGCCCTGAATGGTCAGATTCACTCCATAAATAATAAAACCCTTTTTGCGAAAATCCTTTTAAAATATTAAAAAAAAAAAATAATATAATCTGAAATTAAAATCAGACCCACTTCGTCTTTATCCTGAATGTTTGCCAACTGCATACTGTACAGCTGTGACCGAAATCTCTTGTGATGGTGAACGACCTAGTTCGGCGCCTGATCATGTCTATAGACCTATCCACTGTCAACTTCTTATTATAATAGCTGCCCCTTTCCCTCTTGCTTCTTCTTTTCTTCTTCTTTAGGACAAGCTCTACCTTTGACAGCTCTAGGGATTCTTCATAGATCCCTCCATTCCTGAACTGTCAAGCCCTACGTCGATCGTGATCTTTCTCTTCCCTCGGCTTCCGTCAGTCGCCCTTGCAGCTGTCTCATAGTCTCCGGTCCTGCTCTACCTTATCGGATCCCGAGAATCTTCCCAAAGGGGGAGCAATGCTGAAGCCCTAAAACCAACCGACGGTCCTCCTTGCTCCAATTACAGCGGCGAACTCATTACATTCTCTCCCTTTCAACGCAAGATTAAGCCCCGGGGAAATAAAGGAGACAAAAGCACCATTGCGAAGGTACTTTGTGTTCCTTTGCAACTGCCTCTTGATTCTGAAGGGAATTTCCCTTCATTGTTCTCACATCTCGAATCGTGCCAACCGCATCGACACCATGTTTCAACGCCCGGCCTGCTTACAGGGCCGACGCTCCCGCAATGGCGGCGAGGACTACTCGACATTTCCCATCCGGCAACTCTTTGTCTTAGGTAAGTGGTACTTTTGCAAGTATGAACCCTCGGGGTTATCGCGCAATGCGCCAATATATTCACGGAGCTGGGGGCAGTGACTGACGATGGTCTGCAGCTCTCGTCCGGATCTGTGAGCCAATTGCTTTCATGTCCATTTTCCCATACGTGTATCACATGGTCGAATCATTCCATGTGACGGACAACGACCGCCAGATCGCGCTGTACGCCGGAATGATCACTTCGTCCTTCACCTTCGCGGAGTTTGCGGCGGGGATGTTCTGGGGTCGTATGAGTGACCGGATTGGCCGCAAGCCAGTGCTCATCATGGGCTTGGTGGGCACGGCCATCAGCATGGTGGTATTTGGATTCGCGCCCAACCTGGCGACCGCCATGATTGCGCGCGCTCTGGGCGGCATGCTGAACGGCAATATCGGCGTTCTCCAGACGACCGTTGCGGAGATCGTGACGAAGAAAGAGCACCAACCGCGAGCTTATTCGATCATGCCTTTCGTCTGGTGTCTGGGGTCGATCATTGGCCCGGCTATGGGCGGCGCTTTGGCCCAACCCTGCGACAACTACCCGGCCCTTTTCTCACGCAGCACGCTGTGGGATCGGTTCCCGTTCCTGCTGCCCAACCTCGTGTGCATCACTGTGCTGGTGTGCGGCATTATCGTTGGTTTCCTGTTCTTGGAGGAAACGCACCCGGAGAAGAAGCACCGCCGTGACCCCGGTGTCGAGCTGGGCCAGTGGCTGGTCAGCCTCGTCTGGGGCTCCCGCGTGCAGCTTCCCGATGATTCCGTCGACGAGAAGTACTTCGATGCGCCGCCGCAATACGAAAGCGCCGAATCCTCGCCCTGCCTGCGTCCCGTTGACGTCTCGGCTGATTGCGACTTGGAGGGGCAGAAGAGCCCCGCGCCCAAGGCCTTTACCCGACAAGTCATCTTTGCCATTGTTGCTTACGGGATTCTTGCATAGTGAGTTGGCCCTGCGCGCCACACCCTAACGCGTCTTTTTTACTGACATGCATCTCTCTCGCAGCCACAGCGTATCATTCGATCAGCTGATGCCGGTCTTCCTGAGCACCCCGCCATCCGATGACGATGTGGTGCTACCCCTCAAGTTTACCGGTGGCCTGGGGTTGGCCACGAAGACCATCGGGTTCATGCTCGCTGTTCAGGGCGTGTATTCCATGATCGCCCAACTGTGGCTGTTCCCATTCGTCGTCAAGCACTTTGGCACCCTGCGCACCTTCCGCTTCGTCCTGCTCGCCTGGCCCCCTCTCTACCTCGCCGTGCCTTACCTCGTCCTCCTCCCGGCCAAGCTCCAGATGCTCGCCGCCTACGTGTCCCTGATCAGCAAGATTACCTTCCACGTTATCGCTTTCCCAGCCACCGCCATTCTCATCGCCAACGCTGCCCCCTCTTCCAAGGTGCTGGGCTCAATCAACGGTGCCGCCGCCTCAACCGCCAGTCTCAGCCGCGCCTTCGGTCCCACCATCACCGGTCTGCTCCACTCCCAGGGTCTTGAAAGTGGATACTCCGTGCTCGCCTGGTGGGCATGCGGCCTGGTCTGCGTCATGGGAGCTATCCAGAGCTTCTGGATGGAGGAATCTTCCGAGCCTGAGCGATTTAAGCAGCCCGACGTCAAGCAATCCGAGCAGAAGCGTGAAGTCCCGGACTTCGACCGAGAATCCGAGCTAGCCGAGGAAGAACAGCGCCTCCTCTCTCTGCGCTCCAGCGTGGATCACGACTTTGACATTTCCCAACTCAACCTCAACACCGACAGCCTTCCCACGCCTGAGAGCCATGCCCACGATAAGGCCTAACTCTCGTTTCATCTTTGACTTCTCCGCTCTTCTGGAAGGGCGTCACACCTCAGTAGCCCTGACCCGGCTACTTTGGATCTTCTTTTTTCTTTCTTTTGCTCTTATGATACCTTATTCTGATTTTATTTGGTCTTTTGTCTTTATCTCACGACTCCCATCCTGAGACCGGCGCAATTATAGATGGTTGCATTGCATATATGCAGAGGCATAAAACGAGGGTCTCTTTTCTTTTTCTGTTTTTATCTCATGGAGCATCGACCGGTTTATGACTATACTCATGTGCATCTGGGAGGCTATTCGTGTTTTTTGTTCGCAAAGATCGGGGTACAGTCTTTGAATATCAACATTTCTGATACATCCTTGCCTTACCTAGTAGCTCTATTCACTACCTATGTATCATATAGTATGTATTTACTCTGCCACGAGTGGAGCAGTCGGCACTTGAAAGTCTGGGGAACCGAACTTCCCGAGGGCAACTTAATTCTTCGATCTTCACTTCTCATTATATTTAGACAAATTGCCACAGTCCAATCACGGAGTTTACTTTAGCTCCGGGTTGGCGGACTTTGCGCGGAGAGAGATTGGGGCTCATTTCGGCTGCCAATTTCCCTTCACTGAAGTGCCGTGGTGTTGCGCCCACCCTCCAGAAATGATCGCGACCCTGTGGCCAGGTTCAAAGAATGCCTAATCCCCCCTCCCCGCTTTCTTCGGGGAAGAAGAGACCACATCCCAGCGACACTTCACCACAACCCGATCCGGTGCATCCATCGCGCGACACTCCACACCCCGCGACAGCTGTGCCCTCCGGCTCACCCGCTCGTTCCTCCGTGACCGCTTCCTCCACCGCGTCCTCCTCGTTCCGCAATGTCTCCGCATGTAATCGTTGCCGGCTGCGCAAGAACCGCTGTGACCAGCGCCTCCCGCGCTGCCAGTCCTGTGAAAAGGCCGGCGTGCGCTGTGTCGGATACGATCCCATTACGAAGCGGGAGATTCCCCGCAGCTACGTCTATTTCCTGGAAACGCGGGTCGCACACCTCGAGAAGCAGCTGGCGAATAACAATATCGAATTCAAAAAGGCCGTGGCCTTTGATGAGGAAGAGGCTATCAAAGTTGAGGCAGAGGGCGACCCCGCGCACGCCCAGTCCAGCTCCGACGGTCATGTCCGAGAGGTAGCGGTGGCGGAAAAGGCACCGTGGAAGAACACCAACCAGGAACCCGGCCAGCCCGATCGGAGAGAAGGAGACGGCAATGGCGAGACCGATGGCGGTTCGGCCAACGAGGAGAATTGGCGTCTGCACAATCTGGTGTCGAATATTGGTATGGTCTCTGTGCAGGGGACTTCCGATCCGCGCTATCTCGGCTCGACCTCAGGCATCTCCTTTGCTCGCGTTGTATTCGCCGCGGTCAGGAGTTCACTTCCCGGCAACATGCCGGAGCGTGCTTCGATCAGACCCGGCGATCGTCTGCCGCAGAGTGCGGCTGGGACCACCGGGGGCAGTATGCGCGATTCCTTCTTTGGGCTGCAAACAAGGCCGATGATGAAGAGGGCCGGTTTCCCGGATCGAGAGCTCGCTGAGCGACTGGTCGATCTCTATTTCGAACATGCGAATCCGCAGATGCCCATCCTCCACCGGGGCGATTTCATGGAATTGTTGGACCGCACCTACTCGCTGGAAGAGAAGAACCGGTCGCCCCGCGCGCTCTATGTACTTAATATTGTGTGCGCCATTGGCGCTGGAATTATCTTTGATGATAAGCCTCAGAGCTCAGATGAGGAGAACAGAGGCACTCGTGACCAGGCTTCGTCGGGGAAAAGACCGAGACTCTCCAGTCATCAGTATCAACCGGAAGAATACCACGCTTCGGCGATTGTTCATTTGGAATCGTTCCTTGGATCTTCCTCCAGTGAAGGCTTTGGGGGCTTGGAAGAGCTGCAGGCAGTGCTCCTCCTAGCCAGTTTCGCTTTACTACGACCCGTTGCGCCCGGTCTTTGGTATATTGTTGGTGTCGCCATGCGACTAGCAGTTGATCTTGGACTCCATTACGAAGACGGAGTTGGGATTGACTCCGCCGCAAAGGACGGCAACCAGGCACAATCACGGATCGACCCTCGCGAACGCGGACGTCGCGAATGGGTGCGAGATTTGCGCCGTCGTCTGTGGTGGTGTGTCTACAGCTTTGATCGCCTGGTTGCTACCTGTGTCGGACGACCTTTCGGTATCAGTGACCAGGCCATCAGTACTGAGTTCCCGTCCATGATGGACGATAAGTACATAACCAAGTCTGGTCTGCTCACGCCACCGGACGCAACACCAACGTATAAGCATGTCGCTATGCACTACTTCAAACTCCGTCTCCTGCAATCGGAGATCCACGATGTCCTACAATACCAGCAAGTTCGCGCCGTGCGGAGAAGGGGCTCCAACGGAGCAATCATGCCCCATGCCGAGCTTTCGTCCTCTTTCCTTCATGGCTTTGATTCCTTCCGATCATGGCGCCATGATGTTCATCGTCGATTGGTCGAGTGGCAGGAAACTGCCCCGACACGCACCGAAACAGGCGTGCGATTCTCTATTGAACTGCTTGAACTAAATTACTGGCAGGCTATCATCCTATTATATCAGCAGAGCTTGACGGTTCCCGCTGAACTGGCTGGGGAGCTTACCCCAGCAGACGACGTCTCCAGTCCATCTTTCTCGAACCCCGACGAAGGGGACGGGGAGGACCATGTCTATCTGAACGTTGCCGAAGCTGGTCAGAAGGTTATTCGAATCTATCGTCAACTGCATAGAGTGCGCTTGGTGAACTATACCTATCTCGCTACGCACCATATATTCATGGCCGGTATGCATATCGTTCCGGAGGGGCGTTACTCAATTACTGACTCTCTCAAGGAATCTCATTCTTATATGCCATCTGGCATTCACCTCTGGTTCGAAGTCGCCTGGTATGTACCATCAAGTCGAGTATGCAAATACGCAGTCCATCTAACATTGAACTCTCTTAGACCCTCGACGAGGTGGACTTCACTGTCCTTGCAGCCACTTCCGTGCTGGGTGATTTGATGCACAAATGCCCACCAGCCGAAGCTTGCCGCGACGCATTTGAGCGCATGAGCAAAGCCACCGTTCAAATGTGTCTATCGACCACCGGCTTTGGTTCCCAAGTTGACATGAGTCGCATCCACGCGACATCGCGGGCATACAACCACTTCGACCCGAGCCGTACACGACACGCAGCAAACCACCAGGGCCATCCAGGACAAGGCCAAGCCAGACAAGCAGCTCAAACTCGCTCATCTCGCCCAGTTCCTAGGTTCGATATGAACTTGGGCGATCTATTCACAGACAACGCCCCTATGAACGACCATTCCCGAGAAGGTCGACCCAGAGGGCCATCCTACCCACAACCGGAATCGATGGCTCACAATTACCCCCCTGATCAACGACCATATGGACAGCACAATCCGTCCATGGAGTACTACCCTAAATACGACCCTCGAGGCTCTCCTCAGCCCCCGCAATTCTACTATTCCAACTCACCACAACGCAGTGGCTCTCCAGGCAGTCATCCGCATGGCTTGCCCTCTACAGACCCAGAAGCCCATCCTATTAGTTTGGACTTCTTAGATTTTGGCTCCGGGGACGCAGAAAGCCAGGGCCATCTGGAGGGCGATGCAAATCCTGACTATAACATGGTGCCTGCGCCGTTGGGCCCTAACTTGGGCCAAAACGTGGGGATCGATCTTGGATTTGGCATGGCCATGGACTTCCAGCATGACTGGAGCGAAAACCCCAATTATGATCTCTTGGAGGGTTATTTCTTTGGGGGCTCTGGAGCTGGGGGTTCTGGTGCGGATCCCTAGGGCTCGTCTTTTGTCCTCGATGTACGGTGTGGGATTTTCTTTGCTCTCATCCCTGTCCGACTGCTTTGGTCTGTCTCCAAACGAAATTTGGAAGAGAAAGAAGTAGTCTGCCGGGGTTTCTTTTGTACAATTTCTATTTGCTTTTCTTTGCGTATTATCAGCTATATACCTATATGCCAGCATACACTAGAGAAATCCAATGTAATAAGATTGTTACCACGCCCTTGTGTGGTTTGCCTTGGGCAGCAACGGGAAGCCAAAACAAACACGCCGCCTTTTTTTTTTTCTCCGCCAACTCTTCAATGCCCAAGTGAACGCGGCTCTGACAGGCTAGACTCGCGATCTGCGCTTGGACCTGACTTGGACCTGACTGCCTGATCTCATCAGGTGCCCACTCCGATCGCTTTTCGAGTCTCTTACCCCCGCTTCAATTCTTCCTACCATGGGCATTTACCATCCTCAGTCCGAGCTTTGACTAGCGCCCTCCGAGACCCTGCAGCCCAGATCAGCGAACCACGGCCTCTATCCTTCTCGAATCTGATCCTACGCTCGCTCTGTGCCTGCGGTGGCTGTGACTTTCCCCAACCGTGTGGGATCCAACGCCGTCCCTTTCCCTGGCTGGCACCGGTCTGAAAAGATTTGCTCTCGTGCAACGTGCTTTGAGCAATACCCTTGCGTTGGCACTCTGCTGAACATGCGTGGAACCGCCGATATTACTCAACCCCCGATAATGAGCCTTGAGCCCAATACAACCACATAGTTATTTGGATCATCGGAATCAAAATGGTCAAATCAGACGTACGGAAGGATTACTATGCGGACCTTGGGCTCCAACCCAGTGCAGAAGCCGAGGATATCAAGCGACAGTTCAGGAAACTAGGTGAGCTTTGACGGGGCTCGTGGGTTGATGAGTACGTCGCTTACCATTGGAATAGCTCTCAAGTACCACCCAGACAGAAACCCCGGAAGAGAGGTCGAATTCAACGCCAAGTTCCAAGCCATCCAAGCCGCCAACGAAATCCTGAGTGACCCCCAGCAACGAGTCAAATACGATACCGATCGTCTGCGTGCAGGCTACGGGAAAAATTACGGTCCGGCTAGGGCGAATACCCAGCGCAAGACACAAACGCCCAGCTATCCTCCTCGCCCTACAGCAACTCCCACGCCATCGGCGGGCGCGCAATATACCAAAACTCCACCAAATGGTCCATCGGCTGGCGCACGACGATATGCTTCTCATGCGCGTGCAGGTCCGCAGCAATGGAAGCCCAATGATAATGCGCAAACAAGGGCGGATGCTTTCAAGGGATTCAGCAATATGAGAGGTGGCCCGCCAGGCGGATGGCAGGGCTTTGATCCTTCAACTGGCCGAGCTTCGGCTGGCACACCAGGGCCAGGCGCCCAGCGCCAGCCGTTCGGGGCTTCTGCGCAGTCCACTCGGCCAAAGTCTGCCTTCGAGACTTTTAATACGCACTCACACAGTACGAAGAAGAAGCAGGGCTTTGCGCCAGGCGCCGCCGGGGGAGACGAGCCCATGGCCCGCAATACCTCTGCCTACAGTAGCAGCAGTCGGACTGAACGACCAAGTAGCCAATACTACGAACCTGCGCCGCCTCCAACTGCGAAAAAATCGTCTGACCCCGAGCCCAAGCGGCATTCATACACCCCGGAATATGAACGATCAAGTAGAAGCTACGCTCAGGCAGGCAAGGGCGAGAAAACGTTCTTTTCAAGCTCCGGGTTAGGTCGTTCCCAGACCATGCGAGACCCCTCAGGAACAACCCGCACGAATGTCAATGCCAATACGTCTAGTCCCGCATCAGCTCGTTCTGGAAGGCATCGAAGTGCCAGCCCGAAGGCCAGAAGAAACACCAACAATTATGACTATACCAGTTCAAGTGAATCCGAGGATATGCCGAAGCCCAAGGCAAAGGCCGTGCCCAAGAGCCGACTGAGGCCTCACCAAAACTTTGCAGACTTCCATCGCCAACAGACTCAAAGCCCTAAAAACGGTAGGCGTTCCCTGCGTTACGATAACCTGCATCTACGCCCCCGTGCCCACTTTCACCGAGACCCGGCCCAGGATCCCGTATACGTGATTGTGACCATGTTATCTTACACGAAATCCAAGGCCATGCGTGAATACCTCCTGGGCCTTCTCAATAACACCCACCTTCAAGACAAAAACGCTGACAAAATCGATCCCAAAGGACACGCCTCGGACAGTGCAGCATTCCCGAAAGCCCCATTTCAACAGACTCAGTATCCTAATTCGACAGGTTCTTCCTCTTCCATCAAGTGCGCATCCCGACATCTATGTTAGTCGTTCTGACTAACTAATCTTGTCTAGTGCTGAAACGGGAATTTCCCCGGAACCTCCTGAGCGACCTCACACCACAGCATTCGGTCGTAGCAGCACAAGTGACTTGCACAAGAAGTTTTCGGCAGAGGACTGGCGCAAACACATCGAGCAATTCGATTTCATCGGGTCTGGTTCGCCAACCAGAGAACATCCATCCAAGTCACCTGGGTCACAAAGCCGAGGCCGGGCCGGCCAACGAAACACAAACCCACCTCCAGTGTATAACCAGAGCACAGCGCAACCGCAACAGTCCGACAGATCTCAACCTACACAAAAGCCCACACCCTTTGCACAAGCCAAGTTCTCCGCAGATTCATGGTCTGAGCAGCTTCGAAATCTGTCTTGGACAGCTCCAGAGGCTGAAAAGGCCCGCCAAACAGCCAACTCTGTACCGCCTCGGAGTCCTAAAAAGCCGACCAGATCGGGCACCAAGGTGCGGAGCGCTCCGCAGCCGGCAAGTGTTGCAAGTGAAGCAGACGAGGCCAAGGACACGATCAATGGACACGCTCAGCATGCTCCGCCGGCTCCTGCAGCGCCTGACGCTGGGGTGGAGGAGATGGACATCGACGAAGACCTCCCTGCTCCGCCGAATTCACCACCTGTTCCGAGCCAGGTTCCCATTGGCAGATCAAGCAGTGGAAGCCATCCCGATCCAGCTTCCCACCCCTTACCAGAATCACCGGCCAAGAAACCCAAACCTCCTCCACGGACTGAAAAGTCCACCCCCATCTCACCCCCACGTCCGGCTCTATTCAACCTGGGCAACCTCCGCAATGCCGGTCCATTCGGCAACACTACCAATGGAGGAATTGAAAACCTCGCAGACATCCATACGACCCTCCCATTCGACTCCCAAGCCAAACAGCAAGCAACGACAGAACGTGACATCCAACCCCGTGACCTCAAACTCCCCAGTCCCCCCAGACGCCCCTGGGCCCCCACACCCGTCTCAATATCAGGCTCCACCCCGATCATCCCCCGCGAAAAATGGAACTGGTACGTCTCCGCAATGGGTGCATACATGCACGAATGGAACGTCTTCAACCGCCGCATGCTCCTCCACCTCAACTCGCGCCAAGAAGCGAACGAGACCGGCCTCGCCCGGGGCTGGATCAGTGCCGTCGGCGACTCGGTCCGATTGAAGATCGACGCCGACGACGACCTCACTGACAAGACGGGGATTGACCCGGATGCCAATGCTTCTGACGAATTCCTCGTCCCTGGCTCTGCCAAGGGTGGGTTCAGCGCTTATCTTCGTGGCGTGGAAGAGGATGTCGTCGTGCGGAAGCATTGGGATGTTGCTTCTGAGCTGCATCGTGAATGTATACTTGATCTCGGACGCATCAGGGAGTGGATCCGAAATGGAGGGAAAGTCGTCTAGGCTTGCTGTCGAAATCTAATCTCATGTTAATCGGCCTTGGATACCCTCTTTTGCGGCTTAATGGCTGTCTCAGAGGGTGCAGGGCGACTGTTCGGTACGTCTGTCATTTCGGTCTGGCGTTTTGCATAGATCAGGTGTAGATTTCTGATCCCTCCTGTCTTGTTTTTAGTCCATGCATAATCGGGTTGGTGTTTGTTTTCCCTTGTTTTTTTACTGGTGAATACCCGGGGCTGTCATCGCATCTCTATAGAAACATATAGTCATTGATCAGATCTTGACTCTACTGGCTCCTCGCTTGGTAATTTGTATCTTCAGACTGGCATTGATATACTATGTGCCTACCTAGTCAGTCAGCGGCTCTCAGCCCCATAGCCACACGCTGTCATAGTCATGGATGGTCACTACAAAAGACCGCATAAGCGTCCACGGGTATAACCCCAGCCCCTTACCCTAATTGCCCAGTTGGTGTTTGTAGCCAGGATTATCAGGCATCAAGTACAAGGCCGTTTCAGGTCAGATCCAGGCATCAAGGCACCAAGGCACCAAGGCTCGAAGCCCCGCCACCCCGCTGGCTCGGTGACAGTATGCGGCGACTCAGGTGTAGAGTCCTGGAGATATTGTGACTCACAACTCACAGCCCTATATATCCAGTGGAACCTCGAATACCCTGTACAATACTCTGTACAGCAACATTTACAAAGGACGCGTGATAGCCGCCCCAGAAAATTCACCGGCAAACCTGATCTTGGCCCCGCTATCGGCTCCAGACAGTTTCTCTCCTACGGACCCCACCATCCGAAGCAATTGTCTACCAAATCTACCGAGTTTGTTCTTTATACCCGAGACAACTACAGAATCGGCCTGCAATCATGGTTTCTATCGTACTAGGCAGTCAATGGGGAGATGAAGGTACGGGACCACTTCCCCGGAGACCCGGAGATCGCACTGACCAGGACTAGGAAAGGGAAAGATCACAGACATGCTGTCGCAACAGGCGACTCTGTGCTGTCGTGCCGCCGGTGGACACAGTAAGTAAACCAGAAGACCGTGCTGGCCTTTCTCCCCGCACAGTTTCCAACCGGACCACGGCCCTATGGACCCTGACTGACCAACTCGTCCTTTTCAATTGGATACAGATGCCGGCCACACCATTGTCCACGAGAACGTCACCTACGACTTCCACATCCTGCCCTCCGGTCTGGTTTCGCCCAAATGCATCAACTTGATCGGTGCCGGTACCGTCTTCCACGTCCCCAGCTTCTTCAAGGAGCTTGCCGCCATTGAGTCCAAGGGCTTGAAGGGTGCTTCCCAGCGCATCTTCGTCTCGGACCGTGCACACGTCTGCTTCGACCTCCACTCTGTCGTCGATGGTCTTGAGGAGCAGGGCCTTGGCGGCCGCAAGGTCGGCACCACCGGTAAGGGTATTGGGCCCTGCTACAGTGACAAGGCCGCACGCCGTGGTGTGCGCGTCGGTGAGATCCTGGACGAGGCTACCTTTGAGCGCAAGCTGCGGACTCTGGATACTGCTTACCGCACACGCTACGGTGAGCTCGCCTACGATGTCGAGGAAGAGATCGCTCGTTTCAAGGTATGACTCATCTTTGAGAAGATGCCTGACTTTCAACGCCTTGTATCATATTGATATTGGGTACTTTATATTGACATTCATTCCAGGAATACCGTAACCTCCTCAAGCCTCACATCGTCGACCAGCTCGAGTTCCTGCAGGAGCACAAGAGCTCCCCCAACACATTGGTCGAGGGCGCCAACGCCCTGATGCTCGACCTCGACCACGGCACATACCCCTTCGTGACCTCATCATCAACAGGTCTCGGAGGTGCCGTGCAAGCCCTTGCCCTGAACCCCGCCAGCATCAAGAACGTCATCGGTGTCGTGAAGGCCTACACGACCCGCGTGGGCTCCGGTCCCTTCCCCAGCGAGCAGCTCAACGCCGACGGCGAGAAGCTGCAGCAGGTTGGTCGCGAGTTCGGCGTGACGACTGGTCGTCGTCGTCGTTGTGGATGGTTGGATCTTGTGCTGTGCCGCTACTCGCACGCTATCAACCACTACACTGCTCTCAACTTGACTAAGTTGGATGTGTTGGATGACTTTGATGAGATCAAGGTTGGCGTTGCCTACAAGTTGCCTTGTGGAAAGCGTACGACTGGTACTTTCCCTGCTGATCCTAATGTTGTGGAGAAGATTGAGGTCGAGTACGTTACTCTGCCTGGTTGGAAGTCTAACACTATGGGTGTCAAGCGTTATGAGGATCTGCCTCCTAACGCTAAGGCTTACATTGAGTTCATTGAGCGCGAGCTCGGTGGTGTCCCTGTCAAGTGGATCGGTACTGGTCCTGCCCGCGAGGACATGATCGCTCGCGATTAAGTGCCCAGGTGGGCTTGTGATTTGTTTGTTATATGAGTTGGTGGTTTTACGAGTACGTGGTTTTGACCAAGGTTCATACGATCTCCTCGAGGTATGTGATATACGATTCTCTTGCTGTCCCATACCCAACAATTTAGATGTCTCCAAAATGGATTTGGTTTAGAGGTGGCAGTTGCCTGTGGACAATGTCCCTGGATACATGTATAGGATATAAGTAATAGACATAGATGATAGAGTCGTATTAAAATTGAGTGCTAAGAGCATGGCAAGTGATTGAATAATATGGTACATGGAATCAGAAGCATCAGAACTTCGTAGCCAGAATAACATCCTGAAAAAGCAATCGTAGAGTATAAGACAAGGAGGAGAGAAGTCTAGATTAAAAGGACACAGATCACCCAAACCGCGGGCGTATAGTACACATGCCAAAAAAAGAGACGGGAGAACGCCGACCAATGCGAAAGGGGTTCTTTCGTTTTGTTTTTTGAAAATCCACCATTGGTTGCTGCAGAGTCAGAGGAAAGGAGCTCTGCCCTGAGCGGACCAAAAGCACTCGGCTTTGCCAGCTCAGCTAGCATCAACCGAGACTGTGGGCCGAGTCATTTAAAAGCGGAAAGAGTTGGTGAAGTCCTCGTCGAGGGCACGGCGAGGGCCACGAGAGTAGCCACCACGGTCACCACCACGGGAGAAACCACCGCGGTCACCGCGATCACCACCGCGAGAGAATCCACGGTCACCACCGCGGGAGAAACCGCCACGGTCGCCACGGTCGAAACCACCACGGCGATCAGATCCACTGCCACGGGAGAAGCCACCGGAGTCATCGCGAGAGCGCATGCCGTTTCCGACTCTGACACCCTCGATGCGGTTGAGACCCATGAGCTGGGCAACCCGAGGGCTGATCTCAGGAGGGCTGGGCATACCGTAACCCTTGACATACAAGTTGTTCAGGGCCTGGACGGCATCTCTCTTGTCACCGAAGTTGCCGGTGGTGGTTCCAAGCTGACCCATGTACGAGGCGACCTTGGCACCGGTTTCGACCTGTTCAAAGGCCTCCTTGAACTGGTTGACGGTCTCAAAAGCAGGAGAGTCCTCGGTGACATTAGCCAGGTCGGCAGAAGCGGAGGGCAGGGTGGTGGAATCAATGCCGAGGGGAAGGTTGCGGAGGCGGCGACGCATGGAGTCACGCTCACCCTGGTGGGCGAACAGCCATCCTTCACCCTCCTTACCGGCACGACCGGTACGGCCGATACGGTGAATGTAGGTCTCACGGTCGCGAGGGATACCGATTTGAACAACGTGGGTCACGTTGGGGAAATCCATACCACGGGCAGTCACGTCGGATGAGAACAGGATACCCTCGGTAGCCCGACGGAAGGAGTCTGCGCTGCGGGTACGGGCCTGCTGGGTGAGACGAGAGTTGATCTCGAGGATGCTCAGGTTGGAGAGGTTGGAGTCGCGGAATTCACGGGTGCGACGGATGTTGTTGAAAGCATCGGCGGAAATCTTGGTTTCGGCAGTGGAGTTGAAGTAGGCGATGGCCTTGAAGGGACGCAGGTCCTCACCGGCCTCGCGACGGGCCTGCCAGCTCTTGGCAAGGTCCATCAGGGCAGGGAGTCCGTTCTCGAGACCGCGCAGGTACACCAGCTTTTGGGGCACACGTTCGTGGGTGGGGACCTCATCCTCACGCACGGTGTTGACGTGCTGGAAGTCGGGCTTCAGGGTTTGTCTGACCATCTGCATGACTTCCCTGGGGACAGTCGCGGAGAACATGAGGGTCTGACGGTCCACTTCGTTGGGGTTGGGAAGCAAGGTCTGGATCTCCTCGATATCGGCAGAGAAACCTTGATCCAGGAGGCGATCAGCCTCATCCAGGATCAGGGTATTCAACTTGGGGGCAGAGACACCGGTCCAAGGGTCAGACAAGATGTCCTTGAGACGACCGGGGGTACCGATAAGCAGATGGCAACCCTCGTTCTGGATCTTCTGCAGACCAGCGCGCTTGGCAGTACCACCAACAGCGGTCTGCACAATGACACCAGTTCCAAATGCCACCTTCTTAGCCTCAACCGCGATTTGCTCAGCGAGCTCGCGAGTGGGTGAGATGATAAGAGCACGGATTTCGGTAGGAGCGGATCTGCGGCGACGAGCCAGGGCCTTCAGATCGATTGAGGGATCGTTCAAGATGTTTTGGAGGGTGGGAACCAGGAAGGCCAGGGTCTTTCCAGTTCCAGTCTTAGCCTGGGCGAGGCTACAGGAGAAAATACAGATTAGCGGACTCATCCACCTGGATAATTTTGCGACGCGCGGTAGAAACTCACATATCATTGCCCTTGACAATTTCGTTCAGAGTAAGCGATTGGACCTCAGTCATGGTGCTGATGTTCATCCGGTCCGGCTGGATGATGTTCTTGATGACATTCTCGTTGATGATACCTTCCGAGCCCAGGGCTGCGAATTCAGTGTGACGGCGGGGCTCGGTCTGCTCCGCGTGAGCCTGGGCAGCCTCAGCGGAGAACAGAGTGGGAGAAGAGTGCAATGATCGGATCGCAGACAGAGATGACAGAGATGCAGGAGCCTGCCATTTCGGCAGCTGAGCCACGGATCGTGCTGAGAGGGTGCGAGGCGCAGATGCGCGCAGCGCACTGGAAGCGCCAAATCGGCGAATTGTGCTAAGCATTATGAGATAATGCCGATGGAAAATGAAGGATGAAGAGAAGAAGGAAATCCGGGCCATCGGGGCGTCTAGGAGAGCGCAAAAAAATAATCACAGTCACGTGTCCTTATCGATAGCGTTTCTAGGGGGCAAATTCGGCCTGTCGATTCCTTCTGTTTGCTCTTTACCATTCCTCATGGGGATTGGGAGATCGCGAGGTCTATCATCTTATTCTGGTTGCTTCGAACACACTTCATTGACCTCGTCTATCAGTACATTCTCTGCAGTTATCACCAGAAGGATTCCCAAGTCCATCCGAGAACGATGCAAACGACACAAACAAAAACGGGTCTCTCCAAACAACACAACCCACCAATCAAAGCAGACAGAAAGTCCGAATGTACAATATCTTTGCCATCGACAGTGAACAATCCGGTTTTCAGACATGTGGTGATCACTTGAGATCAGTTTGAATCCTGTTACTAGACCTTGACGACACTTGACTAAAGCGAACTCTACCTCCTTCGTGACACTATTCGCCGCTCTCACAGTACAAAGTACTCCGTACTGTACAGTCGGTGTCGGCGATTCTTATTGGCCCTGTTCAGCATCGCTCTTACATATACTCCGTACATATCCTTCATTTTCATTCCTTTGGCCAAAGCCCCTCAAAGTACTTGACTCTATGTTCACTAATACCATCGCTTGTCTGGCTCAAAAGCACACCTGTACAGCGTTAAGGTTGAGAGGGTCATCGAGTTATCCACCTGCAGCTCCTCTGTTTAGATGTTTAATCGATCTGCCTATCTGACTCACCATGAGTCTCGACGTGAGAGGCATCTCTCCTAGGCAGCCTTGATCGAGTGGTTCCCAAGAGTCTTGGAACATCTTGTCATTCCAGTAGTATGCCTAACCAGAATACTGTGACTATAGGTGCCACGCTCTCTTGGTGCCCAAGGTGAGCCGAGCCTTTACGCATACAAGTCAACGGTAGATGTAAAGGGCCATATTTCCCTTTGTACCAAGAACATAGACCGTAGGATATTCTGGGTGCTGTACGGGGTAGACAGTATGCTCTGTCAACAAACGTGTCAAACACGACAAACACGACAAACACCAACCACCGAGATCCTGCACAAAGCAGCCAATCAGACTCAGCAGCCCAACCGCTCCAAGCCACCAAATCCTTAGAAATACAACTTCAGGCGTTGAGAGGTGCTGACCAACCCTCAAGACTTGGACAGAAACGCTGACCGCGAAGCGTGTACAGTTGGTAGAGGAACACTATATAAGACACCCTTGCCAAAACCCAAAGACACAAAAACCAGCATTTCCCATTTCCCCACCGACTTCTCCACAGCATGGCACCTAGTATCAATATTGTCGTCATTGGAGGCTCCTTTGCCGGCCTTCATATCGCCCACTCCGTCCTCCGCGATGTGCCGGACGCGAAAGTGACCCTGGTCAACCCCTCGCACACCTTCTACTGGAACATCGCCGCCCCCCGCATCGTCGCAAAGCCGACTGCATTCCGCCCCGATCAATACTTGCTTCCGATCAAAGATGCCTTTGCAGGCTACCGCTCCGACGCTTTCGAGTTCGTGCTCGGCGCTGCCACCGCTATCGAGACCGCTGCCAAAACCGTCACCGTGAAGCCCAACGCGGGCGAGCCCAAGACCCTGTCATACGACTACCTCGTCATCGCGTCGGGCAGCACTACCTCTGCCACGGACGGCTCGCTCACCGGTACCCCGATCCCCTTCAAGCAGTCCAACCATGATGATATGGAGAGCTTGATCCAGGCCGCGCAGGAGCACATCGCGGGCGCGAAGCAGATTGTCATTGGTGGCGCAGGACCCATCGGCGTCGAGTTGGCGGGTGAGCTGGCCGAGGCCGTGGAACAAAGTGGTAATGCGGGCAAAGTCTCGATTACGATCGTGTCGGGCACCGAGCGGGTGCTGCCGATGCTCAAGTCTTCGGCCAGCTCGGCTGCCCGGAAGATGCTGGAGCACAAGAAGGTCAAGGTCTTGACCTCGAAGCGCGTCGCCGGTGTCGAGACCCCGGCTGACGATAGCACCAGCTGGACGGTCAACCTGGAAGGAGGGGACAAGCTCGAGGCGGATCTCTATATCCCTACCACTGGTGTGACCCCCAACAACACCTTCATCCCGGCCCAGCTGCTGGACCGGGACGGCTGGGTGACTGTGAGCAAAGAGATGCGCGTGCAATCCTCCGACGGCACCAAGCTGCCTATCTTCGCTGCGGGAGATATCACCAACAACTCCATGCGTCTCAGCTTCAAGGCCGTCGAGCAGGCGGCAGTGGCCGCTGCCAACCTGAAGGCTGATATTGTGGGTGGGGCTTCTATCAAGACTTACGAGCAGGGTGACAGCATTATGATGGTGGTCCCCGTCGGTGAATCTGGCGGTACTGGCCAGGTCTTTGGCATTGTTCCCTTCAGCTTCATGGTCAAGATGATCAAGGGCAAGCACTACTTCCTTGACAAGGCACCGGGAGCTGTCGCCGGTAAGGCATAGGCTACTGGCCTAAGCCTGGTCTTTGATGTTTTTTATGCGTGTTTATGCGGTGTTGCTTTACCTTTGCATGCCATTTCCGGCGATGACTGCATGCGTCCTTATTGTAATGCATAATACTTGCAGAATCTGCAGACTCGGCAGACTTTGCATGTTGCGATTCCATGACTTCATCTATATACTCAGAATGTTAATTCGATGTTTCTATACCTCGGCAAGATAGTAAAGTCGGTCAACATCTCAACCGGTTAGCCGGTGCTTAACAATCGAATCCCACTTTTTCACCATTTTGGCTGCTCTGCCGAGGGACGGTCCTCTTACCTAGAACGGGGGTCCCCGTCGGCCTGAACAGCCTTCAATTCATCCGATCTCCACTGTTCATTGCCACCGCAACGATCTCTGCAGTTTCAACCAGTGATCCAGATTCGTTGCACGGGCATGCATGTCAGAATTGTAACTCGTTCAGCAGAACAAGTGGAGTCTGTGAAACTCTTCACTGCCCTCTCGAGAAGCTTCTCCGTGAAATAAAAGAATAATCGAATAATAGAATAATCACAAAATCAGAAAATCAGAAAATTGTTGAGCTCCGGTTGCCCCGCTTGAGCATCGTCATATAAAGAGCTTCTCCCATACTTCGGCTCATTTCCCATCTACTATACCATTAATCCTACCATCATGTCCAACAAGGCTCTCGTTTTCAAGCAGATTCCCCAGGGATACCCCAAGCCCGGGGAGGACCTCACCATTGAGGCCGCCGCCTATGACGCCAATGTTGCCGCCCCCGACAACGGCGTCGTCCTCCAGTCCCTCTACACCAGCTTCGACCCTTACATGCGCGGCCGCATGCGTCCTGCTGGGACCAAGTCGTACGCTTCCGCCTTCGACCTCAACAAGCCCATTGAGAGCGCCACCGTCGGCAAGATCGTCCGCTCCAACAACGCCAACTACAAGGAGGGCGACCTCATCATCGGCCACGTCGCCGTCCAGGAGTTCGTCGCTGTCGGCGAGAAGGAGCTCATCCGCATCCGCAAGCTCGAGAACCCTCTCGGCCTCGAGGACATCCGTGTCTTCCTCGGTCCCCTCGGCATGCCCGGTCTGACCGCGTACTCCTCCCTGTACGAGATCGGTAAGCCCAAGAAGGGCGAGACCATCTTTGTCTCCGCGGCCAGCGGTGCCGTCGGCCAGCTGGTCGGCCAGCTCGCCAAGCACGAGGGTCTCCGCGTCATTGGCTCTGTCGGCTCCGACGAGAAGCTCAAGTACATCACCGAGACTCTCGGCTTCGAGGGCTTCAACTACAAGACTGAGAAGCCCGCGGCTGCTCTGGCCCGTCTTGCTCCCGAGGGCATTGACATCTACTACGAGAATGTCGGCGGTGAGCACTTCGAGGCTGCCCTCGATGCCATGAACAACTTCGGTCGTATCGTCGTCTGCGGTCTCATCTCCCAGTACAACTCTGCCCCCTACCCCATCACGAACATCCACAACATCCTTGTCAAGCGCATTGACATGCGTGGCTTCATTGTCGGCGACAAGGGCATGGGTGATGTCTACACCAAGGAGCACCAGGAGAACGTGCAGAAGTGGATCAAGGACGGCTCCTTCAAGGTGCTGATCCACGAGACCGTTGGCATCGACAACGCTGCCGAGGGCCTGGTTGGCATTTTCCACGGCAAGAACATGGGCAAGGCCGTGCTGAAGTTCTAAGGGCTTCGCGAGACTGATGATATAATGAGATTGGCGTAATAACTGTTTTCAAAGCATAAGTGACATGGTATGCAATACCTCGGTTAAGGTGCAGATAGAGATATCAAAATATGAAGCAAGTTGCAATACCGACATATTCAAGGGTAAAGAATAAGAATAAGAATACAAGAATCAGTATACTGTAGAGACAGTAGTAGTATACAGTAGTAGAGAACCCAGGGCTAAATGTTTCTCGCGTCGGCCAATGTCGGCTGGGCGGAGGCCCGTCAGCCAATCACAGCCCCTGTAAAAGGATGACATACCGAGTCGGACTCCCGAGGTCTCCAACTTCATCCGTTTGTGTTCACAGTTCTGTTCCCTAACCACTCTCCCCTCACAATGGCTTCATTCGCGCGCTCCTCCCTGCTGCGGCAGACCCTCGCGGCCCCCCGGTCGCCCTTCTGCAAGAATGTCGGCGTCTCGCAGACCGTCGCCTTCCACGCCTCCGCGAAGAAGCAGATCCTGCCTCCTCTGCCCCGTAAGTCGAGGCCCTTTCCGCGGACTCAAATGCATAGTGCCCGCGGAGCGAAATTCCGAACACGCTCGAGAGACAGTTGGCTAACATTTTGAACCTGCAGAGTCCGTTCAGGGTACCAGTACGTGATATCCCGCGCCTTTCCCCGATTCCAGTCTTTTATGGCAGCATTAAGCATGGAGAGCATGCGATTGCCGGCAATCCCATGGGTCTAGACAATACTCGTCATTCCCTTGGATTGGGCAATGCCATGCCGATTTGCGATTATCAACTGCTTTCAGAAACTCGATCTTAACACTTCCAATAGTGAACGACCCTGCCCCCGTCCCCGAAACCCACCCCACCCACGGCAGCTACCACTGGTCTTTCGAGAGGTCCGTATCATCCGATCGCGCATCAAAAGCGACGCCAATCACCCTTCCGACCCCTCCGAAATGGCCGGAAAGGAAACCCCCAAGAATCTCCAACTAACCACTCCAACAGACTGGTCTCCGTCGGCCTCATCCCTCTCACCATCGCTCCTTTCGCCGCCGGCTCCCTCAACCCCGTCATGGACGCCGTCCTGTGCTCTCTGATCGTCGCCCACTCCCACATCGGATTCCAGTAAGGCTCCCTACCCGCAAATTATCAACCTGCATCCGAATCCGCATCCTAACATCAATCCAGGGCCGCTATCGTCGACTACTTCCCTCCCCAACGTGTGCCTAAGTTCCGCAGCCTCTGCAACTGGCTCCTGCGTGCTTTCACTCTCACCACTGCCGTTGGTCTGTACGAGTTCGAGACCAACGACGTTGGTATCACCGAGGCCCTCCGTCGCATGTGGACCGCATAGAGCGTTCCTTTCTTTACCCCCTTTCAGACGTGTTCTCTTTCCAACTTTTTTGACCTAATTGGTTCTGGATTATCCAGGCGTTCTGTGCCTCTGTATATGTTCATACTTTTTTTTCCATTTTGTCTTTTGGCCCGATTCTAGCGGTCTCGGATTCCTGTTCAAGGTTGTTTCTGAACTAGAAAAAATTACGGAATATAACCCTTGTACGACAAGATTGTTTACCTTGTTCTTGGATTGTATTGCATTGACTCTGCATACTTTCGGCTGCATCTGATCTGTCCAGGCCAGGCTTGAATCAATGCGGACTTTCAACTTTGCCCTCTTACCGTCCAGACTGAGAATGGCCGGTACTGGTGAATACAAGCATATCTGGAAATATTGTAGTTCCAATCCTATGCCATCAACTAACATGCTTCTAATTGTATATTTCGCTATTTTCAACTTCCACAGAAGTCGTGATGCAATATCATGCCCAGCAGGTGTATATAATATCAAACGTCAAGTCCAATGTAGATCGACCCACAAGGTCTACCCAGATGCACCATCTATTCCAAATCCTCATCACCAGAAAGCACATCCTCTTCATCATCCGCCTTCTCCACAACAGTCTCAATCAGCTTCAGCGTCGCCTTAAGCGGCAACCCAATCACATTATCATAACTCCCATCAATCTTCTCCACAAGAATACTCCCCAGTCCCTGCAACCCATACCCACCAGCTTTATCCGCGCCCTCGCGCGTCCGCACATAAGCCAAAATCAAATCATCAGTCACATCCCCGTCGAACCGCACATCCGTCTCTTCAACCGTCGTTTCCATCGCGTACCCCGGATCCCTGGCGCTGGCAAGTGGAGCCATGGCGACGAGCGCTGTGTAGACTTTGTGATTGCGGATGTCGCGGAGGGAACGGAGCATGGCGACGTGGTGGGCTTCTGAGCGGGGCTTTTCGAGGATGGAGCCGGTGCTTGGGTCTACGATGATTGTGTCGGCTGCTAGGATGAGGGCTGGCTCGCCGAGGGTTTCGTTGTTGACTTCTTGTTCGTAGACTGCTTGGGCTTTTTTCTGTGCTGTTGCTAGCACGTACTCGAAGGGTCCGAGGCTTTTGGGGAGGTCTTCGTCTGCCTTTGATGGGATGATTTCTAGGTTTGGGAGGCCCAGGAAGGAAATTATTTGTTTGCGGCGGGGGGATTGTGAGGCGAGGATTACGCGCTTGCTGCGTAGGTTGTTGAGGGCTGGTAGGTTGAGGGGTGGTGGGCGTGGCAGTGGGCTGCGGTTTGGCTTTGGCTGGTCGTAGGCTGGGGGTGGATCGGATACGCCATTGAAGTCGTCCATTTGTGAGAGAAGTGCTTTCTTGGAGTCTTCCATGGTAGATGATATGTTTGCTTCGAGGTCTTGCGGGATGGATGCAATGCGGGTATTGGTTTTGTTCTTAGGGTGTTCGCTGCTCGGTCTTTTGCACGCCCGCAGAATGTGATGAGGATATACTCCGTGAGTGGTATCAATTGCTTAGCAGCAATGCGCGGGATGTGCAGAGTACGTCAACCTTCCAAGGTTGGAACTATACCTTCACAGGTTAGCTCCGAGTGGGATGAGAGGCGGTCAGTCTACGGCAGACTGTCCCGCCCAGAATGGCGATAATCCCACGTGATACTACGGTCCACGGGTTCTCGGAAGTCCAATACGTTCGACTTGGGCAAAGTTCGCCTCAGGACAGGGATGCGGGTCATTCAGAGACAGAAGACTCAATTTCAAGTTAACCATCCAGTGGTCAGAACGCCCCAGTTGCTTTGCAGCAACAACCATGACCATGTACATTCTGGTACCCAACAGTAACAAACCAGATCAAAAAACGGGTTCAATGTACAATAAAAACAGGAAGCGAAGAATAGAAAGATGAAGTACAAGAGCGCAGCAGCCATTCGACGGCGATTGGGTCGGAGAAATGCAGCGCGGGTGATAAGCGTCAAATCGTATGTGAAGACAGGACATTCGGGACAACGGGGAAACCCCCACAGTCGATCATTGAGAACATGTCATTCGTAGTACAGCGGCGAGTGATAGGCGAAGAGGAAAAAAGATTCGTAGGGGCCAAGGGAAAGAAGGGAACCACATGATCCAAAATTGAGTAAAGGGTCTCCGGACCTCGGCAATTGTATGCCACCTCCCAACACCCCAGATCCGCCAGCGGAGGGAGTGTTAGGGGTAGCAATGCTAGCGACTCAACGGAGACCTGGAGATCGCAAGTATGCGATTATCATGTTGGACGGTAGGAGTCATCCACGCGGCCCCCTTTGCTTTCGATCTCTGCGATGAGATCGTGGCGTTCTTGAAGCTTCACGTGGATGAAGTCCACCGTCTTCTGCAGCACGATGCTTTCACTGCGGCCCTGGCCTTCCAACCCGGGCACCAGTTCTGTCAGGCGATCGAAGCCCTCGCGAATGGCGGCCCGTCGCTTTTGCTCCGAGGCAATGTGGTTGCTCTTCTTTTCTTGGTCGGTCAGACGAGGCTTATCCTTGTCCTGGGTGGACCCTTGTTTGGAGGTGCCATTCGGTGTCGACGATGACCGGTCGTGATCATCTTCTGCATTCATCGTGGCGCTGACTAGAGGATTCTAGAAGGAACTGCGAGGGCGTCTGCGGGGGAGGTATGTGGGTCCCGTGTTGGCGGATATGTTGCCGATACTGTTTCGCAATGCAGTTTGTAAGAGAAGGATAGTTGAACCAAAACTCGTAGAATGCGACAGAGGAAGAAGTTGAAAAGGGAGATCGATAGGAAGCGATAAGGCATTGCGGAGTCAAGCGTCCGTGTCGGGCCTTGGCACATAAACGTCATAGAGAGGGCCCACCGAACACGCCTTGCTTTTCTTTGTCGTTCGCTTTTCTCTCTCTTTTTTTTCATACTTGTGTGGAGTTCAATTCCAACATATAAATTCCCGTGTCCTTACACTCGATCAGAACTTTGATCAGACAAATCCCTTTCGCCAAGCTCCGAGCACATCGAAATCCCCGTCCAGGCCACCGGTGCCACGGGACATCTTGTACCACCATGACCTGCGAGCCGCTGCGTGGCTCATGCTCTTGTGGCCGTAATGAATACCAAATTAACATTCCGGACGATGTGACAGACCATGCGGAAGTGTACTTTGACAGCAGCCGAGACAACCGTGAGGAAACCCCCAGCCGCGCTTGTCGATCTCCCGGCTTACATCTATAGGTCGATTCCACGGCACCCCTCTTTCCGCTTGGCTCCGCGTGCCTCTGGACTGGTATCAGTCATCCACTCGCTCGTTCTATGAGGATGAATCCCACTCTGCTATCCGTCGCAGTTTCTCACCCCGCCATGCGCCCAAAACCCAGCGCGTGTTCTGCGGCTTCTGCGGCACGCCTCTGACATTCTGGACGGAGGAACCGTACCATGAGTCCGAATTTATGTCCATCGCGCTTGGCAGTCTTCATGTGGAGGATCAGCGCGCACTGGATGATCTCGGTTTGCTTCCCGATGACTTCGAGGAAGATGCCCCCAGCGCCGGTGTTGCAACTTCGTCGGAGATAGCACCCGCTCGAACCGGCTCCTCGGTCATCGTCCCATCATTCGATGATCCGACAGACTTTTCTGATATTTCACGAAGCTTACAGCGCGGCCGGACCGGTGGAATTCCCTGGTTCGAAGAAATGATGGAAGGCAGCCGTTTGGGTCGCTTGATGCGCTCACGGCGTGGCATGGGAATCAGTGATGACCAGACGACTTCGATACAGTGGGAGTTTAGTGAGTGGCACGACGATGGCACTGGTGGAGTCGTGCAACAGGACCCAGACTCAGGTGTCCGTTCAAGAGGCAAGAGAAAGCGGGTGGTGCAGGCAGACACCGAGGGCGAGTCGCCATCAAAACGGGCCGAGTAGATTCAGCTCATGCATGTGCTTTGAATTCTGATTCTGATTACAATCTTTAATTCTCAAAGCAGAAGTTCCTTCCTTTAACCTTTCATCACAGTTTCAATCTTTCAATGTTTTTCAACGGATTCAGCTTGTATCCTCGTATGAGCTCGGACTCTTCGGCCAATACACCGCAGTCAAAGTTGGAATTCAAGGCGACCTCCAGGGCTGTCGCCTTTGTACTGTCTCATGGATCCCTTCTTTGAATACTACAGCCTGCGATGCAGCATCTTTGTAATTGATCAACCCTTATGAGGTCTAGAATCGCCAGCATACTCTGTGGTGGGTATAGCACGTGGATATATTTTCCGAATCCTTACAGTACATGTATGCACCTTGCCTCGACCTGACCCCATGTGTTTGCACCCAAGTATCAAAAAGGCTGCCTAAAGCCTTGGAAGAAAGACAGAGTTACTAGGTAGTTATAAGAATATAAAAAGTCGATCCGAATGATCGACAGATCGAAAGTTGGGGTCGCAAAGCATACCGCATTGGGTTAAGCGTAGTCGCCCCCATCTTACTTATCACCTTTGCCTGGATCTTGTACATTGCATACAACGCGAAATGGTCTACTGTGGCAAGCCAAGCAAAGGATGTGGAGAGTGCAGATCGAGGAAGATCCGCTGCGACCAAGTCCAGCCGGCCTGTTCGCAATGCACCAGGGCCAAGCGGGACTGCCCCGGATACCGGGATCAGCTATCGCTGATGTTCCGCGACGAAAGCAAATCGGTAGTCCGGAAAGCGGCTGCTGGCGCTAATAAGAAACGGCCAGAGCGGCCTCGCACTGCATCCCCAGAAGGGAATCCTGTGCGGCCGAGACGCACCCCCTGTCCTGTGGACCCGGTCGTGGATTTCAATTCCGATCCACAGCACGCATACCTGGCCCAGCAGCTCGGCGGGCCTCCATTGGAGGTGCAAGCGCCACAGGATGTGGATTCGGCCAAGTATGAGGCTATCTGTTATTTCATGAGATCTAATTGCATTCCCGGCACGTTTTGGTCGAGCGATTTGGTCACCAAGTTCCTGCTGCAGACTGGGGGGCCGGCAAGCCAGAAAGCCATGCAGGCTAGCGTCATTGCCACGGCGGCAGCTATGCTCTCTCGGGTGCGACGATTGCCGAGTCTCAAAGATGTGGCCCACAAGGAGTATGGGTCCGCTTTGAGATTGCTGAACTCCGCTTTGTCCGACGTGGAGGAGGCCAAGACGAATCAGACCTTAGGGACGGTCGTGCTGCTAGCAATTTACGAAGTAAGGTGTTCCATGGAGCCCCGAGGGGATGGTTGTTGACCCTATTTTAGGTCGTGACATCAAGAGCTCCAGAAGATATCGACAGCTGGACAAACCATATCAATGGCGCAACCGCCTTGCTGGATATAAGAGGAACCGACCAGCTCAAAACTGAGACTGGCCTTCGTTTATTCATGCACCTGCGCTATCAAGTAGTGGGTATCATCACCTACTCTCCCCGGGTCCAAACTGACACACTAGTAGATTATCAGTTGCTTACAGCGAGACGCTCGAGTACCCCAGTCCCTTCTTGAATGTACCAAGATTGCCATGTTTCTCCGACCAGCAGAGGCGCATGGAAATCGCCTGATTATGATTATCGGCAAGCTGTCGAACCTTCGCGCAGATATCCGAGCCGATGCATACAGCGATGAACAAGAGATCATCTCCGCCGCATCCGCAATCGAAGCCGACTTAATTGCCTGGCTGGCCTCCCTTCCCCCCGAGTTCAACTACACCACTCATACCAAATCGCCCTTTGACTTTGTCTTCCAGCGGCGCTTCCGGGGCATTTCACCCTACGACGACCAGTACCATGTCTACCCCAGCCTCTGGGTCTGCAATTCCTGGAACCAGTACCGCAGTGCCCGGATCATCGTCAGTGAAATCATTCTCTCCCACGTCCGCCAAATATCAGACCGCACCTCTCTCAGCTCATTATCGGACGAATTCCGGCTCCAATGCAAAACGCTTCGATCCACGATTCGGCGTTTGGCGGTGGAGATCTGTCGTGGCGTCCCTTTCCATTTCAATGCCCACCAGGCCGATCGACAAGCCAACCTCCCGCCTCCGGAGAGTTATATTGGGGGATTGGTTTTGATTTGGCCTCTGTTTGTCGCGGGTATTGTTGAAAGCCCCAGTCATGATCTCCGTCGGTGGGTGGTCAAGTGTTTGCAGATGATTGGACATACAATGGGCATTGATCAGTCCCTCGCCGTGGCCGATATTGTGGCGGCCGATCCTGGTGTCTTGCATTTTGTGACGGAGGAAGAAGATCCCCTCGCCAGCTCTGATGCGCCCGATCTGACGAGGCGGCTCCCTGCTCCGCCTATGAACAGTTGTTTTAAAGACATTCCTGCCTCGGGGATGTAGGGCATGGGATACTCTTTATATCTAGTAATATTTGTTAAATGATGATGCGATTCAGCGCCAGTCTTTGTTTGATTTGTGCTATCACCGGGGGCTGAGAAATATAGGTTTCAGGAACACCTGGGCACCATGCGCCCATCCAACTTTCGAAGTCATCGTCGCACTGTGATCAAAGCTCGACACACTCATATATCCCAATTGAGTCATGGCCAGGTGGCTATGCATTTGGAATCAATCAAACCTAGACGACATCCACCTGGGCGTTGTGCACCACTCTACGTCTGCCGGGATCTAAGCCAACGTGAAAGTCTTTGATACCTTAGGCTGATTTTCAACCCCATCAGGAATCATGCCAAGACACTTTTCACGTACCTGGATACGCGATGCGCTTTGTTTCAGTGGCTGTGGGCACATTCGTGCGACACGAACCTCTTTATTCGAGTTTAATCTTCTTCCAGAATGCCCCTCCATTCAGTCCATATGCGCCCAGTGAGATGAGGTGCGGGGCTCAGCCTCCCACACAGCCCTGTGAAGCCTAACTGGGCGATGAGTCCCAACTCTGAAATACGATGCGATTGGTTCATTCGGAAAAGCAAATGTTCACTGCGCAGAACTCCCGCGCTTCGTCCCCATAGGGCTGGCGGATAGAGTGGGGAGCCTTGAAGTCTGCCTTGCCGGATCCCGCATATGCAGCCTGACTATGCGCAGGGTGTTTGGGCTGTGAGTTTGTTCGAGTCCCGCATGATTCCGAGCCATGGGGTTCCTTTGTATATGTTTCATGACTCAAGGGTTCATGGATGGTTCTATATAAGGGCGGTTATGGTCATCCTTTGTTCCAGAGAGATATAATCCATATAATCCACCTAAGCAAAGGAATCTCACTTCCATTCTCACCAGAACATGTTCACCATGCCTACGTCGTGGTACTCCTTCTCCTCAAAGCATCGCCAAGAGCGCAAAGAGCGCAAGGCCCTCAAAGCCCTATCCAGCTGCACATCTACACCACAAAGCAGACAGCCCATCACAGAGATTCCCCACGAAAACCCACCACCCTACTCAGTCCGAAGCATTGAAATCCCCACCATCGAAATCAGCAGTCCCCAGACCGAGACCGAGCCCGAGGAATCGCAATATGCCTTCCTCCGCGACTTCGACACCGTCTTCCTAGTCGACGACAGCTCCAGCATGCAAGGCCCCCGATGGCGCGAAGCAGCCGACGCCATCGCCGCCATCGCCCCAATCTGCACCCAGTACGACAGCGACGGCATCGACATCTACTTCCTCAACCACCGCCGATCATCCCCCCCTCAATCCGCCTGGCGCCAACCAACCTACCAGCCCGACCAAGACGGCTACCACCACATCACGACCGCGCAACAAGTCCAAGCCATATTCCACTCCGTCCGACCCAGCGGCAGCACCATGGTCGGAACGCGACTCTCAGACATCCTAGAGCCATACCTGTGTCGCGTGGAAGCCATGCATGCAGCGAAGAAGGCCCGCGGCTACGTGGACCCGGACGTGCGCGTCAAACCTATTAATATTATCACGATCACGGATGGCGAATTCACAGATGATGCCGAAGGAGTAATTGTGAAAACGGCCCGGAAGCTCGACGGCCCCACGTGTGATGCGATTCCGTGGCAGGTTGGGATTCAATTCTTCCAGATTGGGAATGATGCGAGGGCGAGGGACTTTCTGCGGCAATTGGATGATGATCTGAAGGCGGGTCTGCAGATGCGGGATATTGTGGATACAGTTCCTTGGATGCGGGATGGGGTGTCGTTGAATAGTGAGGGCATTTTGAAGACGGTGTTGGGGGCTGTGAATAAGAGGTTGGATCGGCAGAGGGTTTGATCATATTGTACGGAGTATAAAGATATTGTATATAATGAACGACCGTTGCTGCGAGAATCGGAGCGGAGCCGTGTAGATCCCAGCTGAAACTGACATGTCGACGCAATCCTAGCCGCCCAAGTGGAGAGCCTAAATCATCCTGTTATGTTTGGGTGTTCGGAGTCTTCAAATGAACGTTTGACGCTAAGCACCTTAAGCCGACTTAAGTCTACTAGTACTCTCCGTGCTCCGTGTATACTACAGACAGTACGGAGTACTCTGCACGGAGTAGTTACACACAGCAGACTCCTACTAGTACTGCAGGGAGTAAAGGGACTTCTAATTTCCCCGAGTAATTTCCACATGAGAATGTACACTCGTAAACGGAGTACACAGCACCGAGGATAATATATCCGACCATACTCTGTACACTTCAGGGAAAGGCATTCAATCAAAGTACTAGTGATAATTGCAATTGTGTAGTAGATTTCACGGAGTAAATCATAAATAACTACGAAATATACTACAAAGAATAGTCTATTCCGTACTAAGGAGTACAATTGTGATGTTTTCACCTTGCGTGGGGATCGACGAACCATGGTACAAGTGGATGCCTCGCTGTTAATTTGACCTCACATTTTCCCTTCTGACCTTTCTGACCTATCTCAACTCCGTGAACCCGCGATCATCCTCAATTACCTGACTGACCTGGGAGCTACAAAGCTACTCCGTACTAGTCCTTAGTTCCATCACCGCCAATTCGTGATCGGCATCCATATCCCCGCGCCGATCCCCGTCACGAGAAAAAAAACAAGTCCGCCAACTCGCCCCCTGCTCTCTTCGCTTCTCTCTACCAGGGCGCCTGGTTCCCCTGTTTCATCTCGATATCTCCGTGTCAACAAATCACTCCGGGCGAGCCCCCTACGCCGACAGAGTGGCTGGCGCTTCCTCCACCCCTCCCATTGGCCAACCTTGTCGCCCTGCAGGAGGTGGAAATTGACCCGTCGCGGTTCCTGAAGCATCGGCGCCAGCCGATTTGACCGTTGCGTGCAGCCCGCGGCCACGGCATGGAAACTTGAAACGAACCTTCCATCGATTATTCTTAGACCTGTCACACCGGTCCTGAAACAGGCACCGTTCTTTCAGCTGCAATTATAGAACCGCCTTTGTGGAGTTGCTTGTTGGGACGGGTCCACCACGCATTGCCATTGTTATATGACCTGGGGAGTGCGCGTCGAGTCCAGTCTACATCTATAGACCGTGCTTTCTGCTTTGCATTTGCGTGTTTGGGATCCCTCTTTCAGCTTTTTGTCTTTTCTTTTCTCGTTTCATTTGTCAATCCTGCATTGCTGTGCATTGTCTGTCGCTGATACATTCCTTTCAACCGTCTGAAGTTCGTTGAGCGACTCTGTTTTTGCTTTTACCTCTTGCTATGATATCGACCACCCTCATGACTTTCTTACTGTGAGTAGCCTGGCCCACATATGGTGATCGTTGCTAACTGCTCAGAATTACCAAGCCCGAGGTCCGCTCGGTCAAACTGCTGGGATCATGGGACAATTTTTCAAGGAAATATGTCATGGAACGAGATAGTCGAGTCGGGCCAGGGCATTGGAGAGGATGCCATACTTTCACCGACATGATCGGTGACGGGCCCGACAAGACGGAATGGCGAACGGGAGGGTTGAAGATGGGTGGCACTTACTGGTATTACGTGAGTCTTATACGAGTTAGAATCACGGACCGAGCTGACCTTCGAACAGTACTTACTGGATGATGATGTGGAGTACTTCAACGAGGCAGAGACGGTCACTACCATGTGCCCTCTGCTCCCAGGACAACCTGTTAATGTGTTGAATGTTCCGATCATTTTGCCCGATAGTCGGGCGCATTCACGCTCAGCGAGCGGTAGCTCTCAAACATCAGAGCATCTGCGAACTATGAATCCGGAAGACAAGTTCATGAACCCGCGCAAACCACCACCTCAGCCCCAACCTCAGCCCGTGCGCCTTCAAACTTCTGCGTCGGTCCGTCGCATTCCAAGCCCAGGACAGTCGAGCAAATCTCCGATCAGTGGAATCCACAGAAGTGCATCTCAGCCGTATAGTGCGACGCGCAAGGGACACAAGAAAGATTCACGCTCGATGTCTCCGCCTAGGGCCCGTGCTCTGATGGCTGCTCTACGACAGCCAACAGAGGCGGACCGAAAGCTCGAAGCAGCTTCCTGGGCCAAGGGCCCAAGAAAATCGCCGCAACAAGGAGAGTTCACAGAGAAGCACCGCGATGTCCCAGGGATCAAGATCAACGCCGGAATTGCCATCCCATCATCTGCCGCCTCTCCCAACAAACCCGGTCCCGCTGTTGGTCCTTCCACGATCCAAAGTCGCCGCGCCATGAAAGGCATGGGCGGAGACGCAGCGCCGGGTCGTCTTCTCACAGTGCAGACCCGACCAGAGCCTCGTCAACCGAGTCCTTCTCGTGGCCATGGACCTCTCAAGAATGCGGCATTAGATGAGACCCGCGCCATGAGAGAGGCGCTGAAGGACATCGCCAGCAACAGCGATTTGCCCACGCCAACGGCTGCGTTCAATCGAGAGAGCAAGAAAGAGAAGAGGCTTCCAACCCTCCCCAACACCCCATCCTCAGTCATGGACGAGGCAGTCCGAGCCATCGACGAAAGAGACAAAGCGGAGGATGAACAAATCCCACGCAGCTACTTCTCCGAAATGACAGTCTCAACGGAAGATTCCACTCATTCCCGCTTCATCCCCGAGCGGAGTCGATTCTCCGAATGGAGCACCGACACTGAAACCGAGTACAACCCCCGTGAATCAACAATGACAACCTCAACCTTCAGCCACCAGGATGAAGAATCCTCCGACGAACGCTGGAAAACGCCAGACCTGTCGCAGTCCGGCGACGGCGCAACAAACACCGACCCCAACACCCCCCACCTCACCGTCCACTCCAAGCCATCCTCCCCCAACTCCGCCTCCGGAGAACTCCCTCCATGGAACGTCTCCCTCCCCCAACTCACCGTCTCCCTATCCACTCCAGGCATCGACCCAGGCCTCGGCATCGAAGGCATGGACGAAGTCGAAAGCAACCCCAAGCGCCACGCGGCTCTCTTCAGCGCCCTCGAATCCATGGAAAACCTCTCCATGTCGCACAGCCCCGTCGACTCCCCCGTGATGATCCCACACATCCCCAAAGACCTCAATGCCCGCAAGCTGTCGGAGACGGAGCGGAAGATGAGCGAGGCTTCCCTTGAGCGCATCCGCTCTCGTCGCAGTAATGCCTCTTTCCAGGGGAATGCTACCATGCAGGAGATGATGGATGAGCTCAGTTATCTGAAGAATATGATTCAGTCTGAGATGGATGGAACTCCTTTCTGATAGGGCTTTGGCCCTGTGTTTTTATATTGATCCTTGGCGCTGGTCGCGGGATTGGGCTTTTATTTTCGCCCTTGTATCATTTAGCTTGTACATAAAGATAAATTTCACATTCGCTTTGGGTATATCGAAATATCTATTCATCCTGCTCGTATGAGTGACTAGGCACATAGGATTGGGTACCTAGTAGTTCTTGGTCTATTATCTATTCCAAGGTTGAGTGTCCTATTTGCTATGATCTATTAAGTGTGCTCGATAGTCTAAGATTCCTGGTCAGCGTAGAAATGAGCTCAATCCGAACAGGAAGCACCACTGGCCGAGCACTTGCTGAAAAGAAACCTCTCTCTTCTTAACATCCTTCGCAACCCATTTTCAGTCTTCAAGGTGAATCCTTCAAAGACTTTCCTTCGATCATGGATGATTACGAGGAATTTACAGGCAAGACCATCTATCTCCGATCGAATCCCACCAACTAACAACTCACCCAGCATGGCCCATGGCCGATGCGGCTCTGACGCAGGACGTCTTTGACATCCTGCATGCAGCCACTCACTACCAACAAGTCAAGAAAGGCGCAAATGAAGGCAAGTCAAGACCCCTTCCCCTCCATCACCCCGGTTAACTGTGTTTTATAGTCACGAAATCCGTCCACCGCAAGCAGTCCGAACTAGTCATTCTGGCCGGCGATACCGATCCCCTCGCTATTATCTTGACCATCCCAGCTCTTTGCGAAGAGCAGAATGTTCCGTACGTCTTTGTTCAGAGCAAGGCCGAGCTTGGACGTGCTTGTGGTGTAGCGAGACCCATTATTGCGGCTTGTATCAACTCGGATCAGTGGAGTGATCTGAATGACCAGATTCGGCTGGTGAAGGACAAAGTGGAGAGGCTTGCGATCTAGTGAAGAACTGATGGGGTTGTGGCGACCAGACGACTCTATCATGGTCTACACGCACCACTGCACCAGCCTGAGTCGCTCCTATGAAGCACAGATCCTTGAGTAGTGAATGTACTTCACTGAATTGCCTACTGTACAGTATTGAAAAAAGTAGAAAAAGTAGATTCGCAGAATAATTGTCCCGTCGAAGTAAGTAGAAGTGGTTGGCAAATCAAAAAAGACAACGCGCCAAGAATCCCTGTATCCACCCGCAATCAACACCTGGGCGGCTTCACCGCGCAATACACCACTCAATGCACACCAAGCATGGGCTGAAGCATTTACCCGGACCACATTGATCATGGAAGAAGAGGTCCCCCAATTAACCCCCGTCGGGGAAAAGACCCTACCCGCAAAATGCAAGGCGCAAACAGTGGCGTACTGTCCCACCATGGACCTGATTGCACTAGCGACCGAGGACGAAGAGCTGCGCGTGTTCCGATTGAATGGGCAGCGTGTACTAGGTGGCTCCTTTGGGGGTGATCCCTACCTAGGCGAGGATGAGGAGGACGGCGAGATCAGAGGGATGGCGTGGAAGGGGAATGGTGAGTGGGAACTAACAGTTTCTCCAGGCTTGACAAGGGCTTAAATGGCCTTGTTAGTGCTTGCCTGGATGTGGAAGGTCTCACTGACACGGTGTAGGTCGGTTGCTCGCTGTCGCGTGTGGGGACCGCACGCTCCGCATCATCAGTTCTTACAGTGGGAAGACGGTTAACCATTACCCTGTTTATCAAAAGGGAGAGCCGTCGAGCCCGGCTCAAGCGCCAGATTCCACTCCTAAGCCAACATCTGTGCGGTGGAGTATTAATTTCACCGACAGTAAGGCTGCGCAGCGCCATTTGCTCGATTCGGCTGGCCAGGTCTCTATTGAGGATTTGTTGACGCCCGGAGTTTATCCGTCGAAGGCTGCCGCTGTCCTGAAGGTGGATTTGCCTAGGGAGCTTGCCTTGTTGGATATTGAGAGCTCTTTGCCGAAGCTGAGCACCCTGCCTGCAACGGGCGGCGAAGACGACGTCTTTAGCTCCCGCGCATCCATCGATGCCATATTCCATTCGACGAAGGATACCAGCGACTCGGTCGATGTGGTCTCCGTCGGATTTGACGATGGAACTATCCATCTGCGCATCTTTGACTGCTTCGAAATCGGCTCTTTCTCCGTGGGCAGCTCTCCTGGTGTTGCTGATTCGTGTCGGATTCTGCGACATGCATCTCATCCCATGAGCTCAACTCATGCTATGCTGGCATCGCCTGCTAAGGGAGAGGATCGCGGCCCCCTTGAGCTAGTGACGATGGATCTACGATTCATCACTAAATCTGGGCGGTATCTGTCTCTTCTTGCTTCGAAGACGACTCAGTTACAGAACCTGCTCCGCTACATTGGACAGGTCCAGCGGCAAATTGAGCTTGAGTGGAAGAATGCTCAGGAGCTTCCGGCTCGCTTTTTGCGCAGTGTCAATGAAGACTTGAAGGAGAAATGCCAGTGTGATTTTATCACGGCGTGCTATCATCTCGTGGTGACTGGTCACTGCTATGAGCCGATGAAGGAGTTCCTTGTGGATATTGTTGGCGAGAGAGTAGGATCACCCGCAGCTATGGAAAGATTCACACTGACGAAAAATACAGGGCCACAAGAGATGGGAAAAGGCCGTTGCAGGCGGTTACGAAAACATCCGTCGACTAACACACGAATGCCTACTTCCCGCCCTGGAGCGCGGCCAAGTTCTGCTCGGTCGATTGGTCGGGCTTTCAAAGTTCCATAAACTAAGCGATATTCTTGGACTTGACAAGACCAAGCTGAATGCCATTGTGGAGACACTAGACTGTCTTCATGTTCTGGCACATCGCATTCTCAACCACGCGAACGAGGAGTTGGATCAATTCAATGCCTTTGCTAGATGGCTTCGTCACGAGATCCACATCCTGAATAGCGAACCCTTATCACAGACCCTGGAGGAGTTGCAGGAAAAGAGGGATCTCTTCGACGTTCCTCCTACCGTGAAGTACATCACAGGAGCCTTGACCAAGAGTGCACTCCGCAATTTTATTCGACAACTTCCCATGATTGGAGTGGTTCCTCCTCCTGCTCCTCCCGCCGGTCAATGGCTCCCCGATGGCCACGACCGATCATTCTATGACACCTTCAAATCACTTCTTCGGCAGCAACAAGTTGCCCGAGAGAAGGGTGGGGACGGTACTTCGATCCAGTCGCCCAAGCTCAATGATTTGACCAAACGCATGGAGATGCAATTCGAAAAGGTCTTCGAGGAAATTGCTCTAACTCAGCGCAGGGGCATTCTCCATCATTCGCCTCTAATGCTCCACGCTGATTGCGATCAGCAAGTGTTCGATCTCACTGTCTGCTACGAGGTATGTGCTGTGTATGTCTTTCATTGAATTTCTGCTAACTTGTGACAGGATCTGGTAGAAGGTCAGCCATGTACCATCTACATTGCCACCAGATCAGCTACATCTAAACACCAAGGTGAGTCGTGGGTATTGTTGGTCTCCCAAACAATCTCTAATGTCTCTAGTGTACCTCTATCGCGTTGTTGTGGACTCAGTCGGCGGAGTCAGCTCAACACGAAGCACATCTCTCGCAACCCTCGACCTTGGAAATGGCGAGATCCGCCAACTCCAGTTTGTGAACGATGACACGATCATGATCCTCTGGCGAAACAGCAGTCAGTCACAAGACATATCCCTTCGGTGTGATCCAAGCTAATTGTTTCAGTAGATGGCATCTCCCACCTCCTCAACATGCCTTTCCAACCTATTTCTGCGCGCCAACATGATGCGGACGAGCCCTCAACTCCAAATCTCATATACACTGAGAGCACTAGTATCTCTTCTCCAAAGCCAGCGGTTCCAACCACATACCTAGATTTTTCGGCTGGCTATCCCTGGGAAGGTGTCCTCAAGCACATGTTCGCTGCTCATGGGCCCAAAGCAAAGCCTATCCACGTGGATGTCAACGGGCGGAAGGGGAGGCGTGCTGTCTGTGTCTTATATGGGGATTCAATGCGCTATGAGGTCCTGGATCTGGATGCTGCTATTGAAGAGCAGGAGGAAATCGAGGTCTCCTACGCTGATGCGGTGGAGGAACTGATGGATAGTGAGTGAACTTGCATCAGCCTCGTCTCATATGATCGGACTTTAGCCTTCCATTGTAGTTATATCCATTCCAGTGGAAAGAGTGATACCAATTAATTCAGCTGGGGATGCTAGATAGCTTTCGATCAAAGACTACGTAGACCAAACCTCGACCTCCACAACCTCCTCCCCCATCCAAATACGACAATCCCCCTCCCTATAACACGACCAAAAGCAAGAGGAAGTCCAAACTTCAACCACGACAAAGGCTGCCAGAGTGAAGCCCTCGGCAAAACCGGCACCATGCGACCTCCAACCGACTCAACCTTCACCCCAGTAAAAGCCTCCAAAGCCTCAAAGATAATCCCCACCGTCGCCTCAGGCTGACTCAAAAACGGCGAATGACTCGTCCGCAACTCTCGATGCTGAACATCCCCACCCATCTCCCTCGCCATCCCAACCCCCAACCGCTGCGCCAGCACCGGTATCCCCCTATCCTCCACAGTCCCAATATACCACGTCGGCACATCCTTCCACCCACCATACGTATACTCACCACCCTCAAACAAAGCCTTCAAACTCTGGTATGTCAGCTGCGAAACCCAGAACTCAGCCTCGTCCTCGGGCAGATCATGATAAAACAGGTCCCGCGGATCGGCGACCAGTTCCGCGAACCCTGTTTCCTGGTTCACGCGCCAGGCTGGAGGTGGGTGGCCCAGGAATGGATCCATGAATGAGAGCCCGGTTAGTGTGAAGCCGGAGGCTATGAGGATTAGGCCTTGGATGTGGGCTTGGCCTTTTGAGTGGGATTGGGCGAAGCCCTTTATGGCGCTGTTGCCGACCATGCCGCCGTAGGAGTGGGCGATTATTACGACGTTGCGCTCGTGGTCGAGCTCCGTGGAGATGGCTTCTCGCGCGACGTCGAGATCATCTTTGAATGTTGCGGATGGGTTGCCCGTTGTTGAGGGGAGGGTTATTGAGATGCATTTGAAGTGTGGTTTGATGAGGTTGATGATTGGATCGTAGCAGTTTGCTTGGTGCCAAGAGCCGTGGATGAAGATTAGTGTTGTGCTCATGTTGGCAATTGTGTTGTGGTTAACTGGGTTGGTGGTCGTCGCCCCGCGCTGAGCTCGGGAAGATATAGTCGCGGTGGCGAATGCGATGCTCAAACCAGTTAGGGTGTCCGAGATCGATGGCAATTCCAAAATTAGCGGCGATTCCAACCTTGAAGTTTTCATCTCTATGAAATTGGTCTAGAATATAGTACTGCTGCAGTTTGCATTTTCTTTAGGGCTGTTGAAGTGCATGGATGGTTCAAGGGAGGGTAGCCATGATATATATCCAATTGCAACTATATACTCTCACCATGGATTTCCTCAAATACTTCGTTTTTATGCATCAATCTTCCATGTACCTACCTACCTAGGTAAATACTTTCCAAATTCGAGCAGGAAAATGCAACATGTAGATTTCATGGATGTGAGTATGTTCGCCCCAGGTCTTCCAAGTTCCATTGGAGGTATCGAAGCAACCCGCCCAGGTGGGCAGAGAGCCTTTCAGATTCAGTTCTTTCTAGATGATATTGCTTTCAGAGTGACAAGTCGACTGATAAACTTCGTGTGCATCCAACCTGGAAAGACTGAAACCTTGGAAGTGGCGAGGGGAGTTTTTGTGTGCACATTTCTATACAATGACCGCTATGGAGTATGTGAAATGATACTGAATACATCGATGAAAGCCCATTGAACAAAGAATTTTTTGTATACGGATACCGTATACTCCGTACCTCTGCGAGTACCCCGGAGGTCAGTCTTTGCGAGTCCTTTGTGCTATCTGTGCGTTGCATGGAGCTAGCGCTTGATCTTAGCTTGAACAGACCTATCACATCAGTACAAGATAAAGACCTGTCAGAAAGAACCCTCTCTTACTCCTTACCAGTACGGAGTACTCCGTACTCCGTACATACTCCATACAGAGTCTATGTAAATATGTACTCGATAAAATAACAGAGCCCTAGGACACTCCTTTCTAGAGGATTCTTGCACCCCACTGTGGAATCGGTCGCTGGGGCCACAGGCTGACCAATTCTGTAAGAAGAAAAATCAAAATAAGCAAAAGAAGAGAGGGGCTGCCCCTCCATACGCTTCGAGTCGACAACCCTGTTGACCGGGATGTGAAGAGTAAAAAATTCCGGCTTGAAATTAGGACCGAATCAAACGAAATCCCCTAGGGAAAGCACACAGCGAATGGTGATGGCTTCATAGATGGAAGTGTAAGCCAAGAGATCGTCAGAATATGGGTCACGTGATATGCGAGAGGCGACCTCGAGGCCAGAAGTGAACGGTCGATGTCTGAAGCGCCAACGAGAAATCGGACATTGGACGAGAATGTAGTTAGATAGAAGCCATTATGCTCATGCTGCTCTTGTTATTTTCATTTGCAACCGAGCATTGCTGAAGCACAAAAGTCCAATAGTATGCGCGACGGAGCAAGGAGCCTGAGGTATAGACTCACGTGACCCATGACTAACCAGAGCCGCGGCAGCCAATCAGCGGCCACCCCCCGTAGAACCTCACCCATTGTGGTCTTTCTGGCTTCGAATCTGCATTCTAGTCTCTTCACATCCTGCTCAACACCTTCTTCCTATTTCCAGAATTTCCCCCACTTTCGCCGTCCGGTGTTGAAATTTTTGGGCGTGCACTCCAGGCACCTTTTCCTCTCTGTGCCTCTGTCGCGGAAAGACCTAGTGCATGCCGCCTCGTCATATCCACAAAAACACTCCGTCCCTTCCTCCCACTCTCAAATACCTTTCACTGCCATCGTGGTGCCTGTGTTCAAACCGACTGATCCTGGCTTAGAGCAGTTCGCCTTCTTTTTTTGATAGTCTCCTTTCGACTCCCATTTTTTCCTCCCTCTTTTTTTTCTCCCCCCCACCACATCCTTTTCTTTGCACACCATGGATGCTCGTCAGGTGTTGCAGAGCACCCTCGCGCCTGATGCGGCCGAGCGTACTAATGCCGAACAACAACTCGCACACGCCGCGGAGGTCGACTTCGTACGTATCCCTTATCGCCCTACTGGGGACCCATTTTTGCTGGGCATTGCTAACACCGCCTGCGTCGGATAGGCTGTCTACCTTATCACCCTCGGTCAAGAACTTGCAAATGAGAGCAGCCCCGCCCACATCCGTGTGGCTGCCGGTCTCGCCCTGAAGAACGCCTTCACTTTCCGGGATCAGGCTAAGCTGCGGGAGGTCCAGCTTCGTTGGGCCCAGAACATCAGCCCCGAGACCAAGACACAGGTCAAGGAGCTGGCGCTGAAGACCCTCGAGTCTGCCAATGTGCGCGCTGGAGCTGCCGCCGCCAACTTGATCGTGTCCATTGCCGCGATCGAGCTGCCGCGCAATGAGTGGCCCGAGCTGATGGGCGTTCTGGTCCAAAATGTGGCCAGCGGAAACGATGCCCTCAAGCAGTCCTCGCTCACTGCTATCGGTTACATTTGCGAGTCCCAAGATCCAGACCTCCGCGCCAGTCTCACACAACACTCCAATGCCATCCTCACCGCGGTCGTGCAGGGTGCTCGGCGCGAGGAGCCGAACATGGAGGTTCGGTTTGCCGCTATTGCTGCCCTCAGTGATGCCGTCGATTTCGTGCGAACCAACATGGATAACGAGGGAGAGCGCAACTACATTATGCAGGTTGTCTGCGAGGCTACCCAGGCCGATGAGGTTCGCGTCCAGGCTGGAGCCTTCGGCTGTCTGAACCGTATCATGGGCTCCTACTACGAGAAGATGCGCTTCTACATGGAGAAGGCTCTCTTCGGCCTGAGCATTATGGGTATGAAGAGCGAAGAGGAGGAAGTCGCCAAGCTCGCTATTGAGTTCTGGTGCACTGTTTGCGAGGAGGAGATCGCCATTGAGGACGACAACGCCGAGGTGAGAATTTTACGAGTCCCGTGGTATCCTATACATGCGTGCTAACTTCTTTTCTCCAGGCCCAACAAGACGGTGTCGAGGCTCGTCCCTTCTTCGGCTTCGCCCGCGTCGCCACCCGTGAGGTCGTCCCCGTTTTGCTGCAGTCCATGTGCCGACAGGACGAGGATGCTGGTGATGATGAGTACAATGTGTCTCGCGCTGCCTACCAGGCCATGCAGCTCTACGCTCAGTGTGTTCAGGGTGATGTCATCCCCCCTGTTGTGAGCTTCGTTGAGGAGAATATCCGCAACGAGGACTGGCACCGTCGTGATGCCGCCGTGGCTGCTTTCGGCGCTATCATGGAGGGCCCCGAGCCCCGTGTGCTGGAGCCTCTCATTAAGCAGGCTCTCTCCGTGCTTCTCGGCATGATGGAGGACAGCTCTATCTCCGTTCGTGACTCCACCGCTTACGCCCTTGGTCGCGTGTGCGACTGCTGCCCCGAGGTTCTGGACCCCGAAGTCCACCTCCAGCCCCTTATCTCTTGTCTCTTCAATGGCCTTGCCAATTCCCCCAAGATCGCCAGCTCCTGCTGCTGGGCTCTTATGAATGTCGCAGACCGCTTTGCCGGTGACGATGGCTCGCAGACTAACCCTCTGTCGAAGCACTTTGAGGACAGTGTGAAGTCCCTACTTGCAGTCACCGAGCGGTAAGACTCCCTTCCCAATCTAGACGTTTCGCAAGTTCAGTTGATCTAACAGCCATACAGACAAGACGCCGATAACCAGCTCCGTACCGCTGGTTACGAAGTTCTTAACTCATTCGTTATGAACTCTGCCAATGACAGCCTTCCTATGGTTGCCACTCTTTCCGATGTCATTCTTCAGCGCCTAGAGCACACCATTCCCATGCAGCAGCAGGTTGTCAGCCCCGAGGACCGCATTCTCCTCGAGGAGATGCAGACCAGCTTGATCAGTGTGATTCTGGCTATTGTCCAGCGCTTCGAGGGTGAGATCAAGCCCCAAGCGGACCGCATCATGAGCGTTCTCCTCCAGGTTCTCAGCACTCTTGGTGCCAAGTCCAGTGTGCCTGATGTCGTCTTCGCCACCGTTGGTGCCATCGCCAACGCCCTGGAGGATGACTTCATCAAGTACATGGAATCCTTCAGCCCCTTCCTGTGCAACGCCCTTGGCAACCAGGACGAGCCCGGCCTTTGCGCTATGGCCATCGGATTGGTCAGTGACATTGCTCGTGCTCTGAACGACAAGGTTCAGCCCTACTGCGACACTTTCATGAACCTGTTGCTCAAGACTCTTTCGGTATGTTCTTTTCTCAATGCTTCGTTTATTTTCCAGCCGCTGACAATCCAAACAGGCTTCCATCAACCAGCTCAAGCCCGCTATTCTCGAGACCTTCGGTGATATCGCCCAGGCCATCGGCACCAACTTCAACACCTACCTGGCAGTCGTCGGTCAGGTCCTCCAGCAGGCATCGAGCGTCACCACAAGCTCTGACCTTTCATACGAGATGGTTGATTACATTGTCTCTCTCCGTGAGGGCATCATGGACGCCTGGGGTGGTATCCTGCTGTCCTACAAGGGCACATCCTCCAGTAAGCTACCCTCTATTCATCTGCCCTTTCTATTGTGCTAATTGTCCTGCAGTCACCCAGCTCCAGCCTTTCGTGGAGTCCATCTTCCACCTGCTGCACATCATCTCCACTGAGAGCAACCGAAGTGAGGGCCTCATGCGTTCCGCCATGGGTGTCATTGGGTACGTGTAACCTCAATTCACAATATCAGACAGGACTAACATTTCTCACCAGTGATCTTGCCGATGCTTTCCCCAACGGTGAACTTGCCCACCACTTCCGCAACGACTGGGTCACCGCCCTCGTTCGGGAGACTCGCACGACCAGACAGTACAGCGAGCGCACCATCGAGACTGCTCGCTGGACCCGTGAGCAGGTCAAGCGCCAGATCAACATGGGTGCTGGCATGTCGTAAAGCCATCAATGCACCTCACCTCATTGATATAAAAGCGTTTTCGACCTCAACTTTGAAAGCACCTGCTACCAAACTCGGAGCCATTGGTCTGGTTCCCAAGGCCACTGTGCAAAGTGGCCCCGGGGCAGACGTGCCTCCGTGTTCACACGGTGTCATTGGTGTATGCAGATAAGCTGTCGACCTTGTCGGCGACTCGGAATGGGCTCTTTGCCATCTGCCCCAAATTCCCCCCTCCCCTTTATTCCCAGCCCAGGTTCCCCCCCTCAAATTTGACCCTGAACCTCGTTCCCTCAACCCTTTGCTGGTGTTCATTATCCTGATGATGCACGTTCGAATGGAAGCCAGTTACCCTTACCTTTCCCCACGACCCTGTCCCAGTTTCTTTTCTTCTTGAGACAGCCCTTTCCACTTCCCCATCCTACCCTTTTCTACGTTGTTTTTTAATTAGACAAGACCCCACCCCCGCATTTATAGCATCCTCATGTAGCCCAAGAATCTATGTAACCCCCCCATGTCTCGCCCGCCCCAATCATGTATCCCCATCACGTCCCCCCCTTATCCATGTATCCCTTCCCCTCATGTCACACTACCAGAAAAAGCCATCGTCATGAAAAATCTCTCCCTGATTCCACTACCTTTCGTATATTCCGATCCTGCCCACGACCACTCCCACTTTTGGAGAATTATGTATAACAACGCTTGAAGACATCTACTGATGGAAGAAGTGAACGGCGGATGAGTTTCAATACCTGTAACAGTAGTAGTATCACTAGCAGCAGCACCAGATTTTCTTGTACCTAGGTATGTAGGCTGATCCATTTGATTCATTTGCGAATTGTATGGAGTAGACTTGGGGGTATAGATCGGTTCATTGCCTACGCCTGACCGTGGCTGTAATGAGTTGTTCAAGTCCGGCTAAGCCGTACGAAAACATATAGACGGTGCGCATACTCATGCCAAAGGCGTATCATTATCTAACAGGTCCAAGTAGCCACCACCGGTCCATGGACCCCCAGGAGTATTAATATTCGATGAGTTCGCATTCGAGTCCAGTAGTGCCAAGACATAGCGCCTAATCGGTCAGCGGTGAGGTAGCCCTAAAGAAAATGGCAGAATATGATAGGCGGTGTACCAGGGCTTCCAGCTCGCTGACTAATATTCTTCCAGCACAGTGAAACTTTTGCTGACCCGCAGACTCTTCCTCCGCTTCATCCATCGTCGACCATCTTTCGAGGTATGTTCCTTACCCCCCCATCAATCACAGCCTCTCGGCTAGTCTGGGGGTGCAATCATCTTGTCTAGATTGCTTCCAATGCCAGAATTATAGAACAATTCTCAGGAACTGCGGTCCAGGAAGCCAAGATGATACGCATCCCCCAACTCGGCACGGGCTGAAGAACTCCTTGCAATGCAAAAAAAGGGGCACTCTTTACGCTCGAGACTAGTGGTGGCTGACTTATTGTGCAATTTGAATCACCCTGTCGTTCCGTGTCGGAATGAGGGTGCTTTCTGTTGCGTTTGGCCTACAGATACCTCATAATCTTTCTTTATCCCAAACGATTTGAGAATCTCGATTCCTAAACCGCCAAAATGGTCAAGACTTCCGTCCTCAACGATGCGCTCAACGCCATGAACAACGCCGAGAAGGCCGGCAAGCGCCAGGTCCTCATCCGTCCTTCCTCCAAGGTCATCGTCAAGTTCCTTGCTGTCATGCAGAAGCACGGTACGTTTTTGTGATATTTCCTCGATGCATTTTTCTTCGTCTTTCGTTTCTGTTTTCTGTTTTCTGTTTTTCGATTTTTCGATTTTTTTAATTTTTCACTCCGTTCCTGTCATGAGAAATTTTGTCACAACCCCTTCGGACTGATAACTAGGCGGCCGGTCTCAATCACCCACGACGTCTGCCTTTTAAGTGTCCGATATATTGACTGCGGAGATCTTACACGTTTTCAAAGCGCTATTATTGCTTTTTCAGTATTTGACGACTTTTAAATCTTCGCAACATACTGACATTATTTTCTTCAGGCTACATCGGCGAGTTCGAGGAGGTCGATGACCACCGCTCCGGCAAGATCGTTATCCAGCTTAACGGCCGGTATGTATCCACCACCAAGTCTGCCAGTCAACCCTACTAACAACCCTTCCAGCCTCAACAAGTGTGGTGTCATCAACCCCCGCTACCCCGTCCAGCTCCGTGACCTCGAGAAGTGGGCCACTCAGCTCCTTCCCTCCCGTCAGTTCGGTTACGTCGTCCTGACCACCTCCGCCGGTATCATGGACCACGAGGAGGCTCGCCGCAAGCACGTTGCTGGCAAGCTCCTCGGCTTCTTCTACTAGATGGAGTTCTAAAAAAGAATTGAAAAAGTTCTTGCTTTGTGGCTGGTTTTATGCATGGCGTTGGTATACGGGGCTGGCCCTGGGAATGTAATCTGGATGTAGCTGTGAACAAAATACCCCCGTTTCGCATCTGATAGCTTGCAGAGTACTTGGTGCGCTCGTATCCCAATGCTAGATGATTCTGGTCCGCAACTCGTTTCACTTGTATCTTTCTCGCCTTCGGTAGATCGTAGATTGTAGACCTCGGCAGATGTCACAACTCACCGCCCGTAGTCATTGATATGCGTTCTGCCTCCCCCGCAACCGAGTAGATAAACCATTCCGTACGGAGGACGGAGTACTGGATGATGCCTTTGGACACGATTTATCTGACGCGCCATGGGGTATGTGATTGTCGACAACAAATCCAAGTCCAATGGTCTAATAGATGCAGCATCGGCTCAACTGGACCATCGATTTCCGCACGGGAACATACAGAGCCCAATTCCCCACGCCGACAGGGAACCCTGCAGATCCAGCTCTGACCTCGCATGGCGTGCGCCAATCGCATGAGCTCGCGGCCCATGTATCCGGGTCTCAATTCCACCCGAAGCCATTCCGCGTCTACTCCAGTCCTTTCTACCGGTGCTTGCAGACCATCCAGCCAACAGTCGAAGAGCTGAAGAGGATTCACGAGTCTGGTGAAGACCATGGTAGCCAGGATGGCTCAGGTGTCATCGACCAACATGCGCAGTTTGATGTGCGACTTGAAAACGGGCTAGCGTGAGTAGATCTTGTTCACAGGATGTGAGTTCATGCTCATTGAGATAGGGAATGGTTTGGCGCAACCGATTTCTTCGATCATCCTTCGCATCCGACGGCGGAGGAAATGTCAACACATTTCCCGACGCTGCTTTCAGCGGCTGCTGTCGATCGCAAGCCTTTGTTGATTCCCTCTAGGCGCGGCGAGACAATCACTCAGCTTCATAATCGTGTTGCCACGGCTCTGGAAGGTATCATTGCTGATGTTGATGTGGAGATTCGTGCCATCGAAGAGACACAGCCTTCGGAACAAAGGACTAGTAAATCCATTCTGATCTGCGCGCATGCGGCTCCGCTCATTGCCATGGGTCGTGTTCTGACAGGGCGTATGCCGGACGATAGTTCAGAGGAGGACTTCAATGTCTTCACGGCTGGTCTGAGCACGTTCAAGCGGAGAGGTGTGGCGGGTGGTGAATCCGATCAGACGGGATCCTCGGAAGCCCCGTTGGCCGAGGGGACTACGCTCGTTCGATCGTCGGGTTCTGTGCCACAGTGGAGGAGGCGTGGTGTCGGGGGTGGATGGGACTGTGTTGGGAATGGGGACTGTAGTTTCCTCAGTGGGGGTGCGGAGCGTGGATGGTGAGTTCATTGCGTTGATTCGGACTTGACTTTACTGATGCGGTTGATAGGCACTTTGATGGCGAGGAGAACTTCCAATCGGGTCCTATGGGCCCGTCTTCGGAGGCTGCGACTACTGCTACCACAAAGCTGTAGGACAGGATGCTCGATTTTATTAGATACCAGGCTGTTTACTACGCCATAGACAGGGGTGGAGGCTCGGAGCCATACAATCTGTGGATGTGCAGATTTAATCAGCTATGGGTATGGGTCTACCAGTGTAGAAAGAATGACAGAATTAGGGTTAGGCGTCAGTCACCACTACGACGGACCCCGTGGACTCGAAGAATAAGCTGGGGTTGACACTCATCGCAGTTGGACGTGAAACGACGAAAACATGGAGACATGGAGACATGGAGACATGTGATGAGGATAATGAGATGGGGTGAGGGATGGGGTGATGATGATGAATGTCATGAGTTTTCATGTCGAAATATTCAAGATCAAATTACGGTATACACATGAGTCGGGTTGTCTTTATGGAAGCATTAAGGTTACGGAACGGGAATTCCATCAAGGGACCATGGATGGGGATGGGGAGGTCCAAGGGGAGGGGGAGGTCATCATCATCATCATAGCCTAGGGTTACGAGAATACGAGGTCAAGTCTGAATAGCTTCTTCTCCAAGGGCCCGGACAAGCCGAACAATTGATGAAGAGTCGCGTCAAAAGGGGATAGTGTAAGCCCAGTGACACTGTGCGGCCCGGCATAGGCAAGCCCAGAGGCCAGGCTGCGGACTCCAAAGAAAGGAATGAAAGAGGTACTGCCCGTAGGCAGGTTACCGGTCGTCAAACCGATAATCAAGCTCTACTACACTTGATCTCAGCCATACGGCAAAGAGAAGGTGGGGGAAAAAGAGGAGACGGAGAAAGGTTGCCCCGAGCCGGGTATATATATCCCCCAGTGGTCACATGACTTTGTACTGACATAAGCACATGACCTGAGGTCACATGGTCAGGGTTACCAGCCTGAAGAATCAGGTGTCAACCTGGAACAATAAGACACCAAAAGAACCTTCCAGGTTGTGTCAAACAAGTTGTTCTCTTTGTTGCCCAGGTGTGAATACCTGGTCAGGGGACCATGTTTGCCCAGATCCATGTATATAACTAGCTCACACACTGTCTCTCCTTCCCTCTTTTTGCTTTTCCCTCCTTCACCATCTATCTGACTGGATTTATCCATTAACTCTTTCTAGCCTCTCCCTTCTATCAGTAGAAGGGTCAACAAGTCCACCAAAAGAACCATATCATTGGAATTCAGTCGGATGAGCACTCGGGGATGAGATCGGGGCACACTACGAGGTCCGGCCAAAGCCCTACTTGTGCTGAAACGATGAAATGTCGGGCCCCGGAAGTATGCACCATGCAGAACACTTCACATTTTCATGCTTCTAATAAGCAAACGAAGTGAATAGGAAGCTATATATCGGAATATCACTTCAATGTGGTTGATCGCCCAAGACAAAACAGATCAACCAATATCACAAAGAAACGCCTGGTTTCTTTACCAGACTCAGCACAGTCTGACAGAAGTTACACTCCCTAACTGGTTAGATGCTTATTTACCACATGGAGTGTCCACTCTGCTGCAAGATAGTTGACCTATGGAAATCTTCCAAGTTTGTTACGCACCAGAAACTCCGTCGAACTCAACTTACAGTGGAAATCTTCCCAAAAGTGACTGCAGTAATGCTGCAGCAGCAGAAAAACAACAGCCGGTGGTATCCGGTGGCCCATGTCTATAAAGTGATGTCGTCAGGGGAAAGGTCATACGAGGACCAGCACCAGGAAATCCTCGCGATAGTCAAGGCGCCTGACAAACTGAAGAAAGAGCTACAGCAGTTCAGTAACGAAAACCGATTCGAGATTCTGACCGATCACAAGTCGTTCCACGCCTGGATGGCCATGAATCGCTCTACCAAAAGAAGTGTCAATAAGTCCGCCGCCACAAGAGGGACGAACCTCCCTAAGCAAAGTGTATGGGAAGGGTTTATTGGAATATCACTTCGTTTGAGGGGTTTAATCCCTCTTTTGACAGACTTTTCGACACTTCTTTTCGTGGCCAAGCGAGTCGCGGCCATCCAGGTGTCGAAAGACTTGCGATTGGTTAGAATCTCGAATCGGTGAACCGCTGCAGCTCTGTCTTCAGCTTTTCGAGCGCCCTGACTATTGCCAGGACTTCCTGCAGCTGGTCTTCGTATCACGTTTCTGCCCGACGACATCATTTTGGAAAGGTGGGCCACCGGATACCATCGGCCGTTATTTTGCTGCTGCGGTATTGCTGCAGTCACTTCCGGGAAGGGTTCGACTATGAGTTGAGTTCGACACGCTGGGAAGGACAATACCTAGGGTAGCCAAGACAAATGTACATATACCGACTGTTGTCTCGAAATGCTCTTATCCATAGCTGTAGTATGCTCCGTAGGTAGCCCGAAAAAGAATGCACAGCCATTCAACTTGAATCTGAGGAAAGTCATAGATTACTGGGAAGCCTTGTGGATTTGAACCAAATTGAGACTCCGCTGATGCCAACTGCATTCTAGATCATCTGGAGTACCTAGGTATGAAGATTGCGTCAAGAAGTGTCCATTACTCATTCCATTCACGCACTACCGGACTCATCCCCTGTGCCCGAGTTCCCCGTTTGAGCAGGAAGGGGAGCAACGAATCCACCATTCTGACCAGCCTGTTCATCCTGTTGACCTTGTTGACCCTGTTCGCTGTGTTGATGTTCACCCTGTTGATGTTGTTCCTGCTGTTCTTGCTGGCCCTGCTCACCACTCCCTCCATCATTCCCCTCAGCTTGTCTCTGCGCCGCCGCCTCCTGCTGCACGCGTTCTTGCTCCGCAGCCTCGCGTGCCCTCTCAGCATCATTCCGAGCCTGAACCTGGCGTTCCCCAAGCCCGGGAATCAAACTCGCAACAAGAAGGACAACAGACCGCTCCAGGCGGCGAATCTGCTCCCACAGACTGAGTCCCGGACCCCCGTTCGTTGCCTGAGCAGATGGATCCAATGGCCCACCGACATGTGCCAGGCTTTCCAGATGACGCTGAGCAGGCGCCACAACCGATCGGAGGAATTGCTGTGGGATATCGGTCTCGGACAAAAAGGTGACCAACAAGGCTAGAGTGACAAAGATATACCGTCTCCAGGTCCCGGGGGCGCTGGTCAGATAGCAGAAGAACCAGAGTCGGGTGAATAGCCAGATGCGGCGTATGTGTCGTGCTAGGCCGTTGTGTTCGATGTTGTTGCCTCGACGTCGCTGGTTGAGCATTGCTTGACGCACGACGTTTTGCACAATTGCTGCATTGGGGTTTGGTTGTGCCGCAGCTGGATCACCGCCTGGAATTGTGCGGGTAGGGAACGGCGGCTGTACTGTAGAAAACCGTGGGTTGAGCGCTGGTGGCCTGTAGATGAGGCTTTGTTCCCCGCTTGGTGAAGATAGCACGTAAAAAGACGAGATCTCTGCGTCCGTTTCGGCTGAGCCTGAAGCATTTGAAGACTCCATTGATGCACTGGCTTGGGAGGGCCGCTGCCGCGATCTGTATTCTAACAGACGAGCTCGTCCTTGGGCAGCGAGGATACGCGTCAATAACTCATTGACTCCGGGGGAAGGAACACGTCTTTCGTAGCGCGTGTCTTGGATTTCAAACAGCTGGGTGCGAATGTCGATGATAAGCTCCATGGGTGGCACGGTAAGCTGGTCTAATTGCCGTTCTATGAGTTCAACTTGGCTGCGAATCATGCGCACTCGCGGATAGAACTCTGCACCATCCGCTTCTGATATATGTGGGTTGGGCCAAGGCTGACCCTGTGATGAGTTATTGATAATTTGCTGAAGAGCGCTGTATGGAGGAGTCGCGGTGCCAAGGGAAGGCCTGACGAGGTTAGTAATAGATGGAGCATTTGTTGGCGGCTCCGATGAATGAGTACCCAACTGGCCAGCCGTGTTGGATACTTGAGCAGAGCTTTGAGATACAAGGTCTGCGAGTGAGGCATGCGAGGTGCTCGGGGCCACCGGAGGTTTCTCTATTCTGGCGGGCTCGGGTGGCAAGACAAGATGTATACTATCGCTGTCATTGAACTCCTGCAGAGCTTTCATTAAAACCAATACCATGTGAGAGATTGGAGATTGTGCACCTACCTCTCCTATTGCTATTATGGTACTTAGTGCGGCGTCTTCGGCCCTGAGGGGCTTTCCTCGATATATCAATCTCTGAGTCGATGACTGAGGATTTCCAGGGAAATCCTTTTCGATCCGCCCCTTCAGCTGGGCAATTGTTGTCGATAGTGAGACATCTTTGAGAGTAAACCGATTTGGAGGTGGTAGAGACTGGCACAGAATGTGTAGAGTAATCCCATTGCGCGGCTCTCCCGGAGGCTGGGTTAAAGAGGTCTCCATTTGTGATATGCCGGGTTGTTTCTCTGAATGTATAATACCACGTTGAGTGCTTCAACGCTCAGACCAACGCTAGTTGGGGGCCTTCGAGGCGCCGTGACTTGCGCGGTGTCGATACTGGATTGCGTTATCGAGGTATGTGCAACGTTGCGTCGGACGGACTGCGTGTTTTACTTCGGGGGATCCTAGTTCTTTGCGTCCAGCCCGAGAGGAGATCGAGGTCGAAAACCGTTGTTATGGGCCTTGGAATGGTTCAGACTGCAGTGATGGACTATCTAGATCCGATATCTGGCATCAACCGATAAGCAGGCCTGGGGTATGCTCGTAGCCGCGGAGTCAATTCAATTCGGACAGATGCAGGGCTTGCGTAAAAGCAGAATATATGCCGCCAACGAATCTCACAAAGTCACAGCAGGCAAGTCAGAAGAAGAGCAACAACGAAGCAACGAAGCGCAACACATCTCCACGTGCCTTTCTGCCCGGGCGGTGAGTCGGTAGCAAGTCAGATCCCCGTTTCGGAAAAAAACGCTCAGAGCTTAGGGAGTTAGCGTCTGATGGTTTAAACATTATGGCCAAGCGCCTCTTCACCACCCCGATCCTTCGCTGTCCTCCTGCTTGCCTACGGACAGGGGCTGTGTCGATGGAGATTCTGTCGTTCCGGGCCACCGCCCGCCATCCCAGTCTGCGCCAGTTTTCGTCCAAGTCATGGCGACAATATCACAAGGACAACAATGAGAACAAAGGAGGGTTTGGCTCACGGTTACGCTTTGCGCTGCGTAACACCAAGGTCGAATGGTACCCCATCCCCGTTGGGCTGGGTATCGGTCTCCTCGGACTGCTGAGTTTCTACAAGTCGCAACGTGCCGAACGCGATCGCCTGGCTCGTGATGCCGCTGGAGATGAATGGGAGGAGGGGACACGACCGCCGCGCCGCCCCCGGATCTCACTATCGGGTCCCTGGCATGTCCAGATCATGTCTACCCTGCCCCTGAAAGCCATGTCGCGACTATGGGGCCGCTTCAACGAAATCGAACTCCCTTACTACTTCCGAGTCCCTGGATTCAAGCTTTACTCCTGGGTCTTTGGTGTGAACCTCGAAGAGGTCGCCGAGCCCGACTTGCACACGTACCCGAACCTGGCCGCATTCTTCTATCGCAAGCTGAAGCCCGGTGTGCGACCCTTAGACCCCAACCCGCACGCTCTACTTGCACCCTCGGACGGCCGAATCTTGCAATTTGGTACGATCGAACGCGGCGAGGTGGAACAGGTCAAGGGAATGACATACAGTCTGGATGCTCTCCTGGGGTCGGCCACACCCGAACACGCCGACCACACCAAGCGGTTGGCCGATAAGGGCGAGGCGGAGACCCAAAAGGATGTCGAAAACATGTCCGCTCATGAGGAGTTTGCCCGCATGAACGGTATTTCTTACACACTGCCCACTCTCCTCTCTGGTGAACACGATGCGCCCAAAGGCCAAGTATCATTGGATGCCTCAACTGCATCCAAGTCCACCTCGGAAATCCAAGTGCAAGAAGAGCTGGCTCGTGGCGATGGTACACCGTGGTATGCCCCCAAGACTGCGGCCAACCATGCCTTGTTCTATGTCGTGATCTACCTCGCTCCCGGTGACTATCATCGATTCCACTCCCCCGCTCCGTGGGTCGTTGAAAGCCGTCGCCACTTTGCTGGCGAACTGTATTCCGTCTCCCCCTACTTGCAAAGACATCTTCCCGGGTTGTTCACCCTCAACGAACGAGTAGCCCTCCTCGGTCGGTGGCGATGGGGATTCTTCAGTTACACACCGGTCGGGGCGACCAACGTAGGCTCCATCAAAATCAACTTTGACTCGGAACTCCGCACCAACAGCCTCCTCACGGATACCGCTGCAGACTTGGCAGCGGCCTTGGCTTCGAAGCGGGGTGAGCAATATCCCGGTTTTGTCGAGGCGACTTATCGCCACGCTAGCCGCACCCTGGGTGGACACCCCCTGCAGCGCGGAGAGGAGATGGGCGGATTCCAGCTTGGCAGCTCGATTGTGCTCGTGTTCGAGGCACCCTTAGGAACACGGTCTGATGACGCTGGCTCGTCCGACAAGGCCCCTGATGGCTGGACCTGGAATATCGAAAAGGGACAGCGCATCAAGGTCGGCGAGAAGTTGGGTTCTGTGGGTGACACATGAGGCACAGTTGCACAGCCTCCTGCAGCAGCCACTTCCGTCTCTTTTGTCTTTTTGTAATATACCAGTGACCTTGCAGGTCTTGAAAATAATTTAGCCATTCAATTCGAGCAGTTCTCATGTAGAGTAAAGATGTAGTATATACTTAGTTATACTAGTAAAGTAACTATAGAGAAGAACGTATAGATCGCGATACTTCCGAATCGGGGGCTTGGCGTGATATCACCACCACGCGTCACCAACTTGGCCTTGTTTTCTTTGAGACGGTGTAGCGATGCAAGTAGTACAGAGTACGAGCATACATGCCACCTGGACACTAGTATTCAATCGTACTGTACTCAGTAGTAAACTGTATAAATTCGTAAGCCAAGCCCTGGAGATCTGGGCAGCCACTGTGGAGATAAGGCGACACTTCCAAGGTTGATAGCCACTGCGGTCTGCGGACAAGCTCCTTTCTTCTCTTCACCACGTCTCTGTACAGACCTGACTGCCCATGGCCATTTTTAACTCGCCTCGGTCTTTTCAACATGTCAATGCTCAAATCCCGATGGGTGTCAACCGCTCCTTCATGGCAAGCGCCCATGAGAGCCACCCGCCATTCCTTCACCTAGTCCTGCTCGTTTTCGAAGCCGTGCTCGAAGTCGTCTGCGTCAGTCTTCCTGGTTACATTGCCGCCCGCACGGGCATGTTCGACGCCGATGCGCAGAAGCTCGTGGCGAATCTCAACGTGACCTTGTTCACTCCCTGTCTGAGTATGAGCGCCCTAGCGACACCCAGATCTTGCCAGGATTGGTATAGCTAACTCGTGCCAACAGTCTTCACGAAATTGGGTTCGCAGTTGACCGCCGAAAAACTCACCGATTTGGCGATCATCCCCGTCATCTTTATCGTCCAGACCTGTGTATCATACTTCTGTTCCTTCGTTGTAACAAGATGCTGCCGCTTCAAGAAGCGCCAGTCCAATTTCGTGGCTGCCATGGCGGTAGGTATTATGCTTTCTCACATGCCAATGGGTGCTAATGTGAAAACAGGTCTTCGGCAACTCGAACTCCCTCCCCATTTCCCTCGTTGTATCCCTCTCGCAAACCCTCAAGGGTCTTCACTGGGACAGGATTCCCAATGATAATGACGACGAAGTTGCCGCGCGCGGAATTCTATACCTGCTCATCTTCCAGCAGCTGGGCCAGCTCGTCCGCTGGAGCTGGGGATACCATGTCCTCCTCGCGCCCAAGGCCCGATCCCTGGAAGAGGCCGAGCGCGACGAGACTGGCCAGTCTATAATTGACCAGGGCCAAGCTCGGTATACCGACAACCCCGACCAGACCGACCCCGACGAACCTCTGGTCCGTACGCGCAGCTCCGACGACCTCCACCGCGCGCATCACACACACAGTGATCGCTTCCACTCTGGCGACCAAACCCCCGTCTCCACGCGCGCATACTCCTACTCCAAGATCTCCACCGCGTCGGAGTACCCGGAATCCGACGATACCCCATCGGTGATTGGACCCCCTCCCACCGGCCCCTTCCTGGCGCGCCAAAGCACCCAAGGCGAGATTCTTCAGTTCCCGGACGTGGAAAACACCGCCCGGGAAGTCCAAGAAGCAGAGCAAACCCGCTTCCAGCGCTACAAAGCATCTGTTCGCAAATCGCTGGACCGCCTCAGCCGCTGGCGCGAAAAGAGAGTCAAGGCCCTGCATGCGCGTCTCCCCACCAAGGTTCAAAAGGGCCTTGCCTCGGTCACAGGCGCTATGCGCCGCTTCTGCAATGGTCTGTGGGACTTCATGAACCCACCTCTGTGGGCCATGCTCGTGTCAATTGTGATTGCCTCCGTTCCGGACTTCCAGCGCTTGTTCTTCGACGAGGGTACTTTTGTCCGCAACTCCGTCACCCGTGCAATTGATCAGAATGGACAAGTTGCCGTCCCGCTGATTCTGGTGGTGTTGGGTGCTAACCTTGCTCGCAACACGATTCCCAAGGAAGCGTTGGTCGATATCGAGCATCCCAACGAGGAGCGCAAGCTGATTATCGCCTCGCTGGTTGCGCGTATGCTGCTTCCCACTATCATTATGGCTCCGTTGCTGGCTCTCATGGCCAAGTACGTGCCTATCAGTATTCTGGACGACCCGATCTTCGTGATCGTCTGCTTCTTGCTTACGGGCGCGCCATCGGCTTTGCAGCTGGCGCAGATCTGTCAGATCAATAACGTCTTTGTGGGCGCTATGTCCAAGCTCCTGTTCCAGAGTTATGTTGTTTGGTATGTGTCGATTCTTGTTTGTTTCCCTGGCTTTTCTCGTCCTTTCTGGCTAACTTACTTCCAGGATCCTGCCCTCCACTCTTGTGCTTGTCATGTGCGCCTTGGAGGTCGTCGAGTGGGCTGCCGCCTCTTCATAAGCCTCGTGCCTGTAACTTGAACGGTAAAGCTCTTTGATTTAATCTGGCTGTCAGTATTTCGGACAGCCTGGTCACCATTCTCTTAGTAGCATTGGCGTCGTATTGGGTACAGAAAATCCGCACTTCTTCCTATCACTACTGTACGAGTGCAATTTCATATTTTTATCTACATAGAATGACTCAGGATCAATTAACATGTCGGATGTTCTCCTTAAAGAGTCCGGAGTCCGCACGGAGCAGCAAGATCTGGTTAGCAGCGTTCGCAAATGCAGGGCATAGTGGCTACGCTGGAAGATTTGGCCCCCGCCAAGCCCTGAAAACTGCAAGGCGAGAGGCGCAGAGAAAATTGCATCTCCACTACCCAGGCTAGTTTAAGCCTCATTCGGATGTTCTAGTGGTTAGTTCGGTAGTTTTTCATCTCTAGTTAGTACTAGATACTAGTACTTGGATCCTTTATAAAGAGAGACACAATCCATTCAATCTTGAGCCTGAACATACGACTCTACGAGTACATATATAGAACAATTCCAAGATGCCTACCGTCTCATTGTCCGATGGATCGTGGAGTTTCGACAATCTCGGTCCTCTGACAACAACATTCACCCAGCCCGCCAGGTGCACCCAGACGCCTATTCATGGATTCATCACAACGGTACTCGATTACCCTTTGTGGCAATATGGAGTCGAGTGCAACCCAACAGTCGACGCCTCATGTTACCCACCCTCCACCAACTCATTCACAGGAACCTGGAACCCAAGGGAATGGCTCGGCTACGGTGACTACTACTCTCCAGGCCTGCTCTGCCCATCCGGCTGGGCCACCGTCGGAGCAGCCACCCGTGACGAGCACCACTCACTCACTTTCTCGGGGGCTGCCCACCCCTCCAAACAACCAGAAAATAGCTGGATTTACCTGTACCGCCCGCAAACTGCATTAGCCAGTGCGCTCGAACCCGGCCAGACCATGGCCATGTGCTGTCCAAGGTAAGTCGCCCCGCGAAGCTAAGATATACATATATCATATATGATATACAGTTACTCACTGCAATGCAATAGCTCCATGACACCCGATGCCCAAGGAGGATGCTACTCCACGCTCTCGGAAAGACCAGCCTCGGCCTGTGTGGTGTATCAAGAGGCGGATATTGACTATTCTTCTGTGCTGAGCACTTACACGGATGCTACGACTACGGAAACGAGCTGGTCAGCTACTTTCACGACGACGAGGGCGATTACCACGGAAACTGATTATTTGACTGGCACTGGGTTCCTGGATGAGCTCACTCCTGTTTCGTGGGTTGATATGATCATGATTGTTCATCACCAGTCGGACTTGTCGGAGGCTACTGGTGCGGCTACGGCTACTTCTACTTCCACGTCTACGTCCACGTCCACTTCTACTTCTACTTCTACGCCGAATGTAGCGGGTAGAGTGGGCTCGAGGGCGTCTTGGGATGGGCTGAATGCTTCACTTAGTGTCTCGGCCTTTGCGATGGCCCTGGGTGCTGCCATTGTGTTCATGGCTTGAACATATGTTGAATATTTCTATTCAATCTGTGTGAACATGGCACCAGAAAGGGTAATCGGCGACCACTCGAGGAAGTTAATGTGTAATCTGAGACTTTGGCTCAAGAATAACGAGTGAAAGAGATTTAATAGCGACACCTGTATAGCAAATGAGATTTCAATGTCATCAATGCAAATTTCACCGCTCTTTACATTCGACTTCTTACAGACCTCCTGATATTGACTTCCACGTCAATCCGAGCAAAAACCTTGGAAGTCAACCATTGCCCACAACATATCTCCATCACCATGTCAAAATCCACAACAGACATCTTCATGAGCATCAAACCAGAGCACATCCAAAACATCGCCTTGCGCACCAAGAACCACGAATACCGCGGCTATCTCCTCCCGTCAAGCATCCAGCGTATTTGGTTCTATACATCGAGTCCTACCCAGAGCATTGAATACGTCGCCCATATATCGCATGGCAAGCGTCCAGGAGAACTGCCTGACGATGGCGGCATCGGAAATACAGAGTTCAATACGGGCTTGAAGACAAGCGGCTATGCCTATGAGATTCTCATTCTCTGGAAGCTCCGGGATCCTCTTACTCTGAAAGAAGCTATCAGAGACGGGCACTTGAAGGGACCACCGCAGAAATATTGCTGGGTGCCTTTGACATTCCTGGAGGAATACCCACTGGAGAAATTGATTCTGTTATTTTCGACAATTGATTGAAGTTTTGGTACAATGGATGGAATATGCCCGGGTATAAGATGAACGAAATTTGATTCATCTCTCGCTGTAAGTTGTAAGTACTATCTATGAAGAGTTCTTTTCTGAATAGAATAACAATTCGTTAATATGTACATCAGATATCTAGGATGCATCGAAGTTATGCGCAGCTACTCCTTCCGGATCGCCTCGAACGTCAATCAGCATAGCCATACCCGTCACAGAATGCCAGAGAACATGACAATGCAGAAGCCACACCCCAGGATTATCAGCTCTGAAACGAAGCACTGCATACCCTCGACTGGGAATCTGGACTGTATCACGTAAACTGGCCCGTGATAGATCGTACTGGCCTAATCCATCGCCGCGGTTCTCTGAATCAGAAATATGGGGTGGGATCTGGTCGACGAAGGGATTGTATGAGCCCCAGCCGTACTCGGATTGGTGGGTTGCTAGGATGTAGAAGCTGTGGCCGTGCTGGGATTTGAGGTCAGCGTCAGCGGTTACTTGATATGGGAGATTGGGTGCTTACTAGGTGGAATGGGTGTGGTCCTTCGTCTAGGTTGTTGATGACGAGGTCTATCCATGCGGGACTTGGACCTGTGGATATTGATAGCTGATTTTTATCCCATTTGCTTCGGGGAAGATAGATCAGTGGGAGAGGAGGGACTTGCTGGGGTCTCCATGTCGTTTGATTGAAGTAGCCGAAGGGCTTGTTTGAATACCGAGCCATTTTTTGAATTTTGGTGTAGAGAACATGTGTTTGATGTGCGTTAGGGGGAATATCTTGAATAATTGTAGATGAAGAGGGCATTTCTTGGATGTTCAAATGACGGATCTTGATTGGAGATGTTGTTGTAGTTGATGAAGATCGAGTTTCGGAATTGAGGATGAAGCTTTGATTTGGAGTGAGTGCTGGATTCGCGTACTTGAAGCATCTATTTTGATGTTAACGTTATGATCGCCACGGGCGTGCGCAGTGAAATATCATACTCTTGGTTCAACTGTACTGTCATAGATGAATGTCGCTTGGTATCCTCTGTCGGGATCAGAACAAAATCCATGCGCTGACCGGGATACAGAGTGCCGAGTGAATTCATGTATTGATCTTTTGTGCGCTGAACATCAACGCTATCTACCTGTAACAGATTAATCGTGTGGTGATCGAACTGGAGATCAAACCCGGCAAGCGCTCTGAAAAACAAATGTCAGCCAATTGCTCACCGAGCTCTCATAGGAAGATCAGCTACCCCGTATTTACTACACGGATCCGGAGTTTGAGTTGAGGATTAAATCCAAAGGAACGATTTGTTGATTGAGCAACACAGTCAACCGGTCTTGCAGGGACTGCCATCTGGCATTCAAAACGCCCCACGCCGTTGATCAAAAGTGAGTCAGGGACAGGCTAGTACTTAGTCAAGAGAGCTCTCTCTTGTATCCGCAGCGAAGATCTTACCTCGTTTCCAAAATTTCCAGGATCTGTGTACCAGTCTAAAACGTCCTGCGCAGGTCGATGATACCAGTCCCCGATTAAAAGCAGAACCTCTTTGTCGTATGAGAAGCCGGGGGTCTGACTGAGTGTATTGGAAGCTAAGCCTCTAACAGTTGACTTGGGCGCCGGAGCATGGACAATCAAGCCGCCGTAGAGGCCGTCTGCCCGTGAGACCCCCGAGTGAGCATGATACCAGAAAGTACCACTTTGGCTTGAAGGGATTGTCAAGTTATAGACGAAATTCATCCCAGGCGCAATTGGATCTTGGGAAACACCTACTGCGCCATCCATGTCATCTGTAGAAGTTAGCGATTTGGGTACATTCAACGTCTGAACACGTACTGGTCACCAAGAGGCCATGCCAATGCAAAGCGATTGATTCCTCTGGCAATTCATTGGTGACGCTGATGATCAAGGTATCCCCAGATCGCGCTTCAATTGTTGGCCCGGGGAACAGGTCTAGAATGGTGACTTTAGTCAGTTTGCCGGCACTTAGACCTAATGGTTTGTTGAACTGACCATTGATGAGACAAACTCGCTTCAAAACGCCATCCGGCCGGCGGTGGGCAGAAGTGACTCGCCAATCCAAGTGCTGTGTAACAGGTGCCCGGTGAATATGGTCCTCCGGATGAAGCTCAATCTGTGGCCGAATGACGAGCTCATCTTTTTGATCATGCTCAGGTACGACTAAGGCAGCCGGAGGACTTGGTATCAACTGGAGGAAGTAGGCTAGCGCGATTAAAATGCATGCAATCAATGAGCAACCCGCTAGCCAACATGGTCGCCCGAGCTTGGACATCGGGTGAAAGTCGGGTTGTTTTGAGGCAGTCCGAGCTTGACTGGTCATGTCGGCCAGCCCAGCATCATTAATTTATGGAAATTCTGCGGTAAATAGACAAGGTGTATTGCTTTCGAGCAGATCGGAGCTTGTCGAGAGTCCGATGTATGACTGTGCCCTTGCTCCGAAGGGGGACTTTGTCTCGGTTGCGACCTTGCAGATCTGCCAACCCACGTGCCTCTGTCGGTCAATCAGGATGAGGACATATTTAATCCAGATCTTTTTCTGAATAAAGTTGCTCGCTGAGGAAATGAAGGAATTGAGAAGTGAAGGTCGGGTTGAAGCGCTGATCTTCACGTGGATCCACGGCGATATCAGATTGGACGAGAAGTATAGGAACAGTGATCGACATGTAACTATCCCTGCGCTTCGATCTCCCGGAGTGCTGTACAATGTAGTAGTCACCGGTCTTGGGCATATTTAAGTACAGCCATCCGTTAGTCTTTGCTGCAAAATACCTTCCGACATGGCTTTCAGTTTGCTCTCAGGTATCGCCCTGGCGGCTTTACTCACGCCAGCTTCGGCAGGATCCTTGAAAGACATCGAGCATGTAGTCATTTTCATGCAGGAGAACCGCTCGTGGGACACGGTGAGTCCCGATCTTACTGCATGTGGTGAGCTTGGCTGACTGCATCCAAGTACTTCGGTACAATGGCTGGTGTCCGGGGCTTCAACGATCCCAACGTCCAAGTCAATCCAGACGGTAATACGGTGTGGCACCAGTAAGTGAGAAGCATTCCCATCTGTAGTCAATGTTGACATGATCAGAATCGTCGAGCCCGCTCAGTCAAATAAAACCAAGACTTTGTTGCCCTGGTACCTGGGTCAACAGGGTAGTGATTGGCTTGATGCCATTCAGTGCTTGACTGCAGGTAGTAATGGCTACAAGGAGAACCAGCAGTCTTTAAATAACGGCTCCAACAACCACTGGGTCACCAAGAATACTCCGTGGAGCTGGGGCTACCTGAAGCGACAAGATATTCCCGTGCAGTATGCGATTGCTGAGGGATGGACTGCAGGAGACATGTATCAGGTAAGATCTCAGGCCCGAGGAAAAGAAGGAACTAATGAGAGACAGGAGAGTCAAATCACGGCCACCAACCCCAACCGAGTCACTTTGGTCAGTGGCTCGATCAATGTACCTGGCAGCCCTCAGAATAAGGACCAGGGGGGTGTATACATCGACAACAATGAGGTTCCAGGTATGCACTACTCAGTTATCCTCCTTTTCTCTCACCCATACACAAGTATTAAACTGACCACGCAAAGGCTGCGATGACCATGGCATCAACTGCTACCCATTAAAATGGAAAACAGTCTATGATTTCTACGAAGCAGCCGGAGTCTCATGGCAACTCTACCAAGACAAGAACAACTTCGACGACAACCCTCTGGCCTGGTTTGAACAATTCCAAAAAGCATCCAAAGAAAGTCCCCTCGCTAAGAAAGGCACATCATTCGTTGGCCTGGACGCCTTCTACCAAGCTGCCGCGAATGGCACCCTGCCAGAAGTCAGCTTCATCGTCGGCCCGGCCGAACTCTCCGAGCACCCGCCATACATGCCCAAAGACGGAGCCTGGCTTCAGAAGAAGGTTGTCGATGCGGTGACCAGTAGTCCGAAATACAATTCCACTCTCTTGATGATCAGCTATGATGAGACAGGTGGCTTTGGTGACCATGTCACACCTTTCCACTCTCCTAGAGACACCCCAGGAGATTGGATGGAGGACCCATTGGGTCTGTTCGAGGATATTTTCGTCGGTCCAGGATTCCGAGTCCCTTTCTATATGATTTCTCCTTGGACGCGAGGAAATCGCGTCTTCACAGAGAGGGCTGATCACAATTCTCAGATCCTCTTCGTTGAAGAATGGCTCACGGCCCGGGGGTACAGTAATGTCCGTACTGATCAGATGGTTTCATGGAGGCGCAAGCACATGTCGAACCTTGTCAACGCCCTTGATTTCGATCATCCGGACTACACTCTGCCTCATATTCCCGATGCTGCTACCCCGGAGACCAACTCGAAAAGTGATTATGTGGGTTCGTCGAATTGCCAATCTCGTCACGCTCAGACAAGACCTCCTGTTCCGTACGGAGAACAGAACATCACGGATACCAACTCCTTGTGGTTCGAAGAAGGCTATAAAGAGGTGATTGGATATCTGACAGAGGGTCGATTCTTGGTTATTGAGAAAGACGGAATGGCTATCACGAATACCGGAACAGACAAAATCACTACCAGTCGTGCAACCTCGCAGCACAGCGCCAAGTCTCAGCGCTGGGTCATTCATTACAATAAAGACGAGGAAAGCCAGGTCTTTACCATATCTAGTGCGGTTGACGGGCGCTGGATTGGCTCCAACGGTGTCTTGCTCCCCAAGAACCAGGGTGCAAGTGCAGCACAGGTGCACCTCTCTTTCCAGGGGCCTAGTCACGGCTATACTTTGCAGTTCGCCGACCAAAAGCAGTACATTGACATCAACGGCCAAGGTGTTTTGAGCGTTGGTCGCAGGGCTGATACTACCGGTGGCTACAAGATTTTCAGCGTTTCTTACAGGGACTAAATGCCTTGTGAATTGACGGGCGTCTCGCATGGAATACCTGACTCTCGAGAGTCTCATGATCCCGAGCCTTTGATGAAGCTCTTAAAGAATGGATATTCATGACAGTCACGAATACACACAGCCCACTTTATTGCTATTATCAAAGCTATGAACACGTAGTGGCTGAATCGCTATTAACTGAAGAAACTAGGCTGCGCCAGTCCTCGCATGGGCAAGATCGGAATTAAGATTCCAAACTGATCTAAGCCTTCGCAACCGTAAAGGGCCCAGCAGCGTTGAACAGGGAGGGCATCTGCATAAGATTAGCACCTGCAGCCATCCAGCAACGACAAACAGCCTCGAAGACTCCACTGCCGAGCAGGTTAGAAAGGAAATATTCAAACATACCTGAGGAGCAGTCGACAAAGTAGTCTGGACTCTCAAGTACCAGACCGAGCCATCCTTGACCTGGGGCAGGTTCTTGGGAATGGTGACATCCACCGCACCGGCCTTCTCCTTGATGCCATCAGTGATCTTGATCGACTGGTCGAAGGAGATGGTGTCCTGCTTGCGGACGGGGTTGTTGTACAGCCAGACGCTGTAGTCGTCGCCGGGGTACTTGGTCAGGGGGTCTGCGCAGTGGGCGGTAGGCTTCCGGTCGAAGCGGACCTTGATGGTTTGGCCGGCGGTGACGGTTGAGCCTTCAGGGATGCCCTGGTAGACATTGACACAGGAATAATCCCGCTTGCCCCATGCTAAGTGAGAGCAGAATGTCAGTTTCCACTTTTCGCGGGGTCAGAGGGGTTCGATTGCATACGCTGGTTCTTGTCAAAGAGAGCGGTGCTGGTAGCGACCAGGGACGCGAGAATGGGGATAGTGAACTTCATTTTGGATGGAATATTACAGATGAACTGAAGTATTGACACAGCTCGAGATGTGCAGGGTCTTTTATAACCGGAATTATGATGTAGTGCTGAAGACCCCTAAATATAGGATCACCCAACTCGGTCTGCGTTGAGTGATCGGGTTTCACTCGGTTTCTCCACTTGACTGGGTCTTTGGAGCTCCAGGATCTTGGCGTGAGGAGTGCCCCTATTACAGATCGGCTGTGTCGATCTCCATCCGGGGTGTCAGAAGCCACATCTGCACGATGCTCACCGCATACCTTGGAATCCGGGGGCTTCAGCTGAGCTCGCAATTCGCCTTTTCGTTTCCTGCATGATCGCTTGGAAAATCCCTCGTGTGGGAACTATTCAAATCGTATTGCTCAAGTTCCACATCGGTTGCATATTGCATTTCGGCCAGGACTCAGGAGGGTCCAGGGACGTCCGTACATAGCCGGGCCATCCTGCTGACCTTGGAATCCTTCTGATGTTTCAGATTTGCGCTATTCCAGACAACGGCAAGATCAATATATTAACCCTTTAACATCTGAACATCTGAACATCCGAACATCTGAATATTGAAGAACATATGGACGATGTTATCGTAATTATAGTCCGAAAGTGGGAAAACACTGAACTATCAGACAGGGGGTCGCAAATAGAAAACAGATCTCGTTCAGATGATTCCACTGATTCCGAAAACTGAATTGAAAACAGAAAATAGGATATCGGGACCACAGGAGACTCGAACCTTGAAGCTCAGTCATCTCGAAGTGCTCCCGAGGTCTGTCACTTGTGTCTCTGATCGGGATGCATACACCAGTCTTGCGTTTGCTCTGATCCTAAGGAAAGTATGAACTACTTGTCTCTCAATAGAAAACAAGACGATCTCGATAAACACCTTCGTCGCCCTCTTGTTTGACGAGAAATGTCTTGTCTCACCGGGCCTTGGCAGGCCTGGAGTGTCAGTCAAACGGATTTCTGTAGCTCAATTCGACGCGTTGAATGGCAAGGGCTATTGTACTAAAATCAATATCACAGCCGCTGGAAGATGATGGCGTATGCAACACAAACAACAAGCCAGCGACGCGACCATTCACCATGCTCGGCACATGCCAAAACTACCCCATGACCCTCTTGATCTATTGTATATTCCATTCTCCAAAATGTTCGAATCCAAGTCCGCAGCTCAATTATAAGCCTTTCAACTCGCTGACGGATCTCGGCACGGACAGTCGGGGAGATTTGGACCGATTGACGAGTTCGCATTCGTTGTAGCCTACAACCGATGGATCGACGATACTTCGGTGCACATTAGCCTGGGTATCAGTTCCTAGGCACTAGGCGATAGCAGTCTATCGCGGATCTTTGATTCCAACCTTTAACAAGTTATCTAATGGGCTTGGCGGTGACATACCAGAAAATACCGGCCAATCAGTGGACACGGGGGTATATAGATGTGGCATTGCTAAAGAGAGCTGGGATCACACGTTTAGCACGTATAAACTGAAAGTACAGAAAGCGTTTGATCCCTTCACATTACGCTCGCAAGAACAAACGAGTAATCTGCACTTCACCAACATCACCCTCCGCTTCGCACAGAATCGCGAACTCCTCGATATGGATCCGAGCGATACCTATCGCTATGTGCAAGACCGCTACGCTGAGGTTGCGGGGCAGATCAACCCTCGTAATCAAATCGATCATGAACGCAAAGTCGCCGGTGCGTTTGGGTATACTCTTGAGGATCTGCGTTCGATCCCGGAGGGTGCGAATCTAGGTGTCAGCTGTGGGAATCCACTGGCAACGGCTAATATAGCTGAGGTGGGTATGATCCCGGTCGCCGATGAGCATGAATTCTGATATCTATATTTAGGGCGAGACAGTGATTGATTTGGGTAGTGGTGGTGGAATTGACGTTTTGCTCGCGGCCAAAAAGGTTGGAGTGGAAGGAAAGGCCATTGGTATTGATATGACCAAGGTACGCACATCGTTTTCTGTCTTCACTTCCATCCTCACTGAGAACTGGCAGAAAATGCTGGAACTCGCACGTCGGAACGCAAACAACGCCGGGGCCGATAATGCATCCTTCCTCGAAGCGTCCATTACTTCCATCCCGCTACCATCGTCCATCGCGGATTGCATCATCAGTAACTGTGTGATCAACCTAGTGCCGGAGATTGAAAAACCTCTTGTCTTTCGGGAAATGTTTCGTCTTCTGAAGCCGGGAGGTAGGGTTGCCATCAGCGACATCCTGGCAAAGCGAGAGCTTCCGATGGAGATCAAGAACGATCTCTCTTTATATGTTGGCTGCGTGGCGGGTGCTAGCCAGGTTGCCGACTATGAAGAATATCTGAAAGAGGCAGGGTTCCAAGGTATCCATACTACATCCATGGATGTCTCAAGGTCTTCATTCGATCGTGTCCTAATCTGCATATTATAGATGCTGCGATCCTGAATACAAATGCCGATCTCAACGTTTATAAGGAAATGTGGCAGAGTGACAGTGTTAAGGAAACTGCCCCTACGGGTTCATGTTGTGATCCGAACACCCGAAGTGCCAGCGGGGAGATGAACAGTCTGCCGGGTGTGGATTTCAATATTTGGACTGGTGAGTGGGTTCACATAGGATCGAGACATCGCTGACAACTCCCCGCATGGCTCTCATTAAACAGGCTCTTTCAAAATATTTGCCGTTAAGCCTGACACTCATGACTGAACGTTATGCAAGCAGATTCCAGCCCTGCAAGCCTTCTTTTTCATGCAGAGGGAACTATTCAACATAGGTTGTGAAGCGCTAGTGATGAGATAGCCTTGCGTGTGAGATGTTAACTGCTTCACCTTTTATGCTACATGTTATCGATTTGTGTCGCGCATGAGTTACGGTGTTTGCTGAAGCTGATTCTTCGACAAGAGCGATAAGTAAGAACGACAGGCGTATCACGCCAAGAGTTTCGCGTTACAAGGGATTTGTGATATCTCCAGACTTGAATGAAAATTGATTTCAAAATTTGCTTGTGCATTAAGAGATCTCTGCGAGAACCGCCAATAGAGCCCCGATATCAACCCTGCAGTCTTCCGATTGTGTACGGCCCAGTCTGAAGCCGCTGCGGATCCGGATATCGATCTCCATGTCATCATATTGCCTGTTGTTGAGTTGTGAGATCAGTCTGTAAGCCACAGAACAGAGCATAGATCTATCCTCCCTTGCCGTTTCATCTGTCAATACAGGCCAGAGTTTTGGGGGAGATTCTGGTTGAGCCCTATCGCAGATCAATGTTTCAGCCCCTGTATCAAAAGGATCGTAAAACCACGGCGAAGTCGGAAAATAAGTTGGTGCATTGAGCCTCGTGCCATTTAAACGCGCGACAAAACCAGGAAAGGCTTGACTAGGCGCGGAGAATTGGTTCAACTCAGTGCCACTTGAGTGGGCAAGCAGCGGAGCTTGATTGGAAATGTGGGTGAACATAGGTGGTGCTTCCATGCCCAGAGACTGTACCTGCAGTTAGCAAATTAGTATTATGTTGCAGTGAAAGCCTGGATATATACAAGGGGAGATGGATTGAAGACATTCACCTGGGCATTTACCTGCCCCGGAAATTCTCTATACTCGAAATTGGTGGGACAAGAGGTTTGCGTTCGAGTAGCAGTGCCATCCCACTCCGGATCAGGATGTTTCAACCGGTCTTTGGGAGTCTGGTCTCGGTGATTCTCACTGACACTCGATGGATCAAATAGCGCTTTCAAAACTTCGTCTTCACCAAGGTTTTGTGTGTTGTCTTGAGGCCTTGTCCGGCATTGAGCTCCCTCATAGTATTTGACTTTCTGCTCTAGCTCTGCAATGTACTTTTGTCTCCGTTCTCGACAATTTCGCTGGTTGGTGCGAACGCGAGCGAGATCTTCGATCTATTGATAACCCAGTCAGCCCTGGAGGGATAAACGAGGAAAGCGCAGGCAATTGACCTTTTTCTTCTGTCGAGCCATGGCGCATGGAAGATATGTAATTTTTCAAGGCCAAACTCCAGTCGAGAGGATAAGCAACTTTTGGACTGCAGTACTACTTAGTGTACTGTCCAAGACTAGGTGCCGACGTTGGACACTTGAAGGTTCCAAGGTCCACGGGTCCCAAGCCCACCAATCCAGTCATGGAAGACCCCACTATGCGGAGCAATTTCCATGGATCCATGAACGATTGGCTCACAACCTTGTCCAATCAAGACTCGCCGGTGACATACCACCTGGGCAGGTTCATTACCTTAGGTAGATAGTTACCTATGTACATTTATATCTAAACCTCCCGAGGTCTTTTTCTGTTCTTGAGATACCTTCGCTATACTCTATGCTTTCTTTGATCAGGTTGTCCCCGATATTGAGGCCGGCAACTTCACACTTTCGGTTGCCCACACATTCAAGAAGGATGTTTTCCGCTGTCCCTCAGCAAGCGATTTCTGATACCCAGCGAACAGACACCTCACGATCCTTAGCATTGGCTCCGGATGAAGATGACACAGATACCCGCCAGAAGTACCGACCCTTCCTGCTGAACAGCAACGCCACTGAGGACTGGGTCAACCACATAGACCTGACCACAGTGCTAGACATGGCCGAGCATAACATACGGGATACAAATACGAGGTTGAAAGTTTTGGTGCTATATGGCAGTCTTCGGAAGAGGTCATACTCACGGCTCGTGGCATTCGAAGCCTCCCGCATCCTATTCCGACTCGGTTGTGATGTGCGTGTATTCGACCCCGAAGGTCTTCCGGTCAAGAACGATAGCGATGCAAGCCACCCGAAAGTACAAGAACTGCGAGACCTCAGTCTGTGGAGTGATGGTCATGTCTGGGTTTCGCCTGAACAACATGGCAATCTGGTGAGTTGCCTCTCCCACTTCAATCCCTAGGCGCGACAACTAATTACTCGATCTTGCACAACCATAGACAGCCGTGTTCAAGAACCAGATTGATTGGATTCCTTTGACCACCGGAAGTGTTCGTCCCACTCAGGGCCGAACGCTTGCCATTGCCCAGGTGTGTGGCGGGTCCCAATCATTCAATGCTGTCAACTCTCTGCGGATCCTTGGTCGGTGGATGCGCATGTTCACGATCCCGAACCAATCCTCGATCCCCAGGGCGTATACACAATTTCCGGATGAAGGTCAACCAGAAGATCAACGGCTCTTGCCAAGTGGGAACAGAGATCGCCTGGTGGATTGCATGGAGGAATTTGTCAAATATACGATTCTGATGCGCCCTCATATCGGGCTCTTTGGCGACCGCTTTAGCGAACGGGAGGAGAAGAGATCAAAGCAGGCAAATGCAGATGCCGCGGCGAGATGAAGACCATCCCAATCAATCAAGCTCTTTGTCAGAGACAGTATCTTCTGAAACAGTTGATCAACATACTTCCCGACACAAGCTGAGCGCCCAAGTGATCAGTGGTTGAACAGCGGCACGAGATGAGCACTCAAATAGGAGGGAAAAGGTATCGAGTGCCAGGGATTATCCGGTACATATGCAATTCATTATTAAACAACATTCGGCCCAGGAACACGCCTAGGGTTTCGGCCAGCCGTCCATATTTCCGAACCACCGCGAACGGTAAATCTCATCACCGATGTTGATCTTGCGTCGCACACCATCCACCACCAAGCTGACATGGAAGCCCCGGAACTTCGTCCACAGAGACTGAACATAAATATAGCTTCCATCAGGCGCCAGATTGAAGCTCTTCAGATCCGACTGCGGCAATTCCTCCCACGTATCATTCGTGTACCCATGCCGATCATCAGTGGTGACCTCAAAGCCAGGCATATATTTATCGGTGACTTCCTCATAGTGCGCCGTGTACTGACCCTTCTCGATATCGAACTCGTGCAGCCCCCGATCTTCAGAGACCAGGAACTTGCGCTCCCCAGGCACGGGAACCAGGTCATGTAACCCGGCCCACCAGGAGTATCCCTTGCCCCATTCGGCTTCGATGCGATTTGCCTCGTCGAGCTTATAGATGTAGCGATCGTCTTTCTCCAGCAAGCCCGTGTCGTTGTTCCACGGGTATCCGATGATAGTCCCGTATGCGGGAACGGGATCAGAGCCATCGGCTGCGGCGTCTGTTCCCGCTGCCCAGAGCATCTGGCCCTGCTCGTCCCAGATCAGCCCGTGGATGGCGCGGAGACCGGTGATATTCTGCAGAATGGGCGGGTTGGCCATCAAGGGCTGGGAGGCACTGGCGTTATACACGAGGATCCCATCCCAGGGTCGTTGGCGTGTGGTCCCCACGGCGAGACGGTGGCCGGGGAGTGGTTCGAGGGTGTGCGCATTCCACAGGAAGTCGTTTCTTCTACAGAGTGCAAACGTGATCAGTTTGTCGGTGGCTGGGTTGTCGGGCGTGTGGTTGATGACGAGGGCGAGGTCGCTATAGACGGCTCCGACACTGGTGCCGTTGTTCATCCATTTGACCTCGGTGGCATCGTTGGCTCGGGCGTATAGGCATTTACGCATGTCGGGTGGGAGGTCCTGCTTAACGTCCTTACGGTGGAAACTCCAGCTGACTTGCCCTTCCCGGTCATGAATCTTTAACAAGGGGGGACGGCCATATACGCCGGTAATGATCTGTCCCCATGGTTGGTTTTTGGGTAGGAGGCGCTCTTGGGGTTGGATGGGAGGAATGGTATAGTCGGCGAGGGGCTCGAATAGGAGGAAAATCCATCCTAAGAAGCCGCTCAGCATGGTTGTGTATCTTAGAGTGGCTTTGGAGCTTTGGGAGAGTCGATCTGATCACTACTCTTTCATGCTGCGCCGGGTACTCGTTCCGATGTCGCGTAGGGATGAACGAAAAGCTTTCGCTGGATGTCAAGATGTCGGTGTTTTCCCCCGTCACCTGGTTTCATTGGTCTTAGGCGCCCCGCCTGCGTCACTGGGAGATAAGATGTTCCCCTTTCCGCTCTTGGCTTCGACTTGTCAGTCTCTGTCCATTTCGATTGTTCCCAGATCTGGTATCCTTCCAAATCAAGCTGCCCCGTCACCCGAGCACCCAACTCCCCAAGTCGAAGAACATCGTACATCCTGACTTCAGGGCTGAAGTGAAGAAGAGAAGTGGTACGTACCTCGTACCGAGTGGACCGGATACGATTGGCTCAGAGCTCTCCCGGCGCCCCACTTCCGCTATAGTGAATAAAGTCTTTTCCGGCGACATCTACGAGCATGTACATGTTGGTTTCGGTGCTACATTCTCTAATAAAGTGGTTATTCGATGAATGCTTAATACCTGGGGTCCCGGTCAAATTTTTAATGTTGTCCCTCTTCACCTCAGAGTGGTCCTGTCTGAGATATCGCCTAGTGAAGTACTAGTATAGCGGCCCTTGGCCTGCGACGCTGATGACGTACGCCTTTTTTTCTGTCTCACAAAGTCCAAGCGTTTGCACTAGTACAATATACCAATACTACTGTGCAACATGACTGGTGAGATTCTAGGTTGGCGTCGGGGTAGGTGCTCACGCGAACTGGATTGATTCGATAGATCCTCGTAGGTTAGGAATGCCGGAGGCACCATAGATGTGAAAACCTAAGGCTAGGTCCACAAGCCAGAAATATGCATCTACTCCGTACTCCGTACGGAGTATATCAATTTCATTTAACCTTCGTTTCTTTCCTTGATTTTCGTACTCCGTATTCCAGGTCTGAGTCCTGACATGTCACTAGGCACGGAGTACTATCTCAGTCCATCACAATACTGCACAACCCGGAAGGTCCCGGGAGCTCGCTAGGGGATGATCCAAAGAACTGTGCGGCTTTCCTACCATCATGAAGTATCGCGAAGGAGTGTGCTAGCATCTCGGCGTAAACCTTGCAATGCGTCCGGAACTTAGGAGAGGTACGATTCTCTCTTCGCGATTTCCTCGAATTTACCTAGGTACGGGACAGGCGTGCGCACTTCCCTGGCTCTCTCATGCTGCCAATGTTTATATGTGACCATTACTCTGTACCTATGTATGTATGGACGTGCAGACTAGATTCTGCCCGATGCATCCCGAGGCCGATTGGATCTCGCGGCCATGTTGGCCTCAGGCCTCAGGCCCCACTCAACTCTGGACATCGCGGGATCACTGTGCTTATGCACCAAATCCTTCTGCACAACACTGGAAGAGGCAGAAGATACCTCAAGTGATTTGATGCATTGGCAGATACAAAAACCTGGCCATGCCTTCGTCGCAAAGGTCTGGCAGAATTGGCCGTGCTAAATCGAAAACAGGGTGCGACACTTGCAAGTCAGTCTATGTTCCATGAGCCCTGGCGCAGCAAGAGCTAACGACGACTAGAATCCGCCGTATCCGCTGCGGAGAGGAGAAGCCGTCCTGTGTGAAATGCACCAGCACTGGCCGACAGTGTGCCTACAGCGCCTTGCAACCCCAAAGAGCTCTGGCTTCTCCGTTTCCACAATGGCATTCAGGCCAAAGGGAACGCCGTGCTTTCGAGTTCTACTTTCACCAAGCAGGACCGGCTCTTGCAGGCATCATTGATCTCACCTTTTGGAATGGGGCGGTCTTGCAGATGTGTCGACTCGAGCCAGCTGTGTGGGATGCTGTCATTTCACTAAGCGCTCTGTATGAGCGCCCGCCGATCAATGACTCGTCTCCTTTTTCGCTCATCCACAGCCCGGCCGATGTGCGTTATGACTACCACCATGAGGCATTGGTTTGGTACTCGCGCTCATTGGCTGCTTTGCAACAACGCATTCATCGAGGCGTTGCGGATGTCACTATATCCACGATCGCTTGTATCCTGTTCATTGCCATTGAACTCATTCAGGGTCACAGATCAGCTGCAGTTGCACTGTACACAAAAGGGACGCAGCTTTTAACTGACGTGACAACCTCCCCGGCATCTGGCGCTGAGCTTGAATTCCTGACGGCTACTACTAGCTCTATCTTCCATCGCCTGAGGGCGCAGTTTCTCATCTCAACAGATGGCACATTGTGTGAGTCGCGGGCGACAGATTGTACTGAAATGCGCAAACAGTTCGGTTCAATCACTGAAGCCAGAAACGCGCTTGCCGACCTCGTTGGGGAATGGAAGATTCTGAACAGGCGTGTCAAAGATAGTTTGGAACAACTTGACGGCCGCAGTTGTGAAACATCCTCCGCAATCCAACAACGACGAGACAATTTGGAGCGTCGTCTAATGGCCTGGCATACGTCCTTCATACGTCTTTTGTCCCCATGGTATCCGCCCAAGATCTATACCCATCCCCACAACAGTCTGACGGCCCGACCTCTCTCCTTTTGATGACCTATATCAGCATATTGATCGAAACTCAAACATCTCTTGCTTTCAACGAGATGGTTTATGATAAATATGATGCAGAGTTCACCCATATCCTAGAGTATGCGCCCAAGGCTCTCGGTGCAACTCGCACCCTGGATGGCCGCCAGCCAGGGTTCATGTTCGAAATGGGGGTTTTCCTGCCCCTCTTCATCACAGCACTCAAGTGCCGGAATCCCAAATTGCGTCGTCAGGCCTTGAACTTCTTGTTAGACGCTCCACCCGTGCAGGGTCTTTGCATGTGCTCTCCCGTGGTTGATCTTATCGCCATGATTATTCTCGTCGAAGAGGATCTCGTGGCTCTGGACCGAGCCGAGTCGCTGATAGGTGTGCTGGCAGGGCCGGGGAGATATCCAACCGCAGATAAGCGAATCGCTACATTCAATGTATCGTCTTATCTGAATAATGATGGACGACGGGAAAATCGACTCCACCTCGCTGCCTATGTTGCCAACGCCGAGGGGAGATGTGTACTTTCGGGGAGATCGGTCTTGCTTCCATCTCCCGGAAGCGAAACGAGCGCATGACCCCTTGACAGACTGCGCTGGCACCACCGTCGATCCATTCTACGCGGATGTGGAAACACAATCGAGAAGTAAGGTCCAGGCGGAGTTCTGCTATAGCAAAGGTCTAGCCTCCATGATCAATGCCCGTGACATCTATAGAAGGTCTCTGGGTGCACTCCCATGTGCAGCTTGCCAGCAGCAAGGGTCACCTTGATTGTGAATAGCACTGTCTGCACCTATCGCATATATTGTCTGTGTAGCTGATAACTGCAAGCCACCTAAACCGCGATGGTAATAATACAGCCATACGGTATTTTAATCCCCTCGCGAATGCACCCCTCCATCCAACTTCCACCTCTTTGCAGTTCACTCCATACTTGTACTGTACTCCATACTCCAAACCTCAGATGTGTCGTGCAAGAGACCGAGTCGAAGACTGTGCGCCGAGCCTCCACATGCCCTCGTATACGGGTCCAGTATCAGTCCCCACGCGTGCTCCGCCCCGGAGCGGAGACCAGCGAGAGCTGTACCAGTACTCCATACGGCCATAGATGTGGTATCAAGGACAATGTGGCATTGTGACAGGACATTGCGGTGTGCCCAGGTGGGACTGAAGTCCAGATAAGTGTGCCAGGTGGTGTGACACATTTCCCAATCCGTTCGCAGCCAAAGCTTTCCGCTCAGGGGCAGTTGGCGATGGCTCCTGATTGGTCCACTTTGGATGCCCAATTTACGAGGCTCCAAAACGGTCACCTGAGTGATAAGCCAATCGCTTTTTCGCCACTTTTTTTTTACAATTCAACACCCCGCCAGTGTGGTCATTGCTCATAAGAACGGGCAAAGAGTTGAGAATATCTGTGGTGAACACCTGTACGCTCGATCGTTTCCCCAGATTTCGTCATCGGTTGCGATCCAGGCACGCATCCACCGGGACGTTTCCGTTCGCTTGTCAACCCGTTTAGGGGTCCATTTATCTTCCCCCACTTCGCCTTCTCCTTTCTCCATTCATTCTCGTGGCAACCTGGAAAGCCCTGGCCTGGTCGCGTGATAAGCGAGTCCCTTATCTCGTGCTTCCGAGAACGGCTCAATAAGGTAGGATGCTCCTTTCCACCTCTTTTGTGCGAACCTCGTGTAGTAAAGGAATCCACCTCTTGCGTTGTGCGTTATTCTCCCCATATAAGATCAGTGTCGCCGGTGCTTGTAATCCAATGCCAATTGGAGGCGATTCAGCCCTCGCCCCAGCACCCCACCGCATGCGCCTTGCAAGAACCCAAGACTAATACCCAACAGACGCTTCGACGGGAAGACCTTTGGACCCCAATTCCCTGGCCAAAGCGTTGCGCGCAAGTGAAACTGCGGCCAGCCCGTCTGACGCAACATACCTGAAACAAGATTGGGCCTCAATCTCCAAGCCCATCGCGCAACCTATCCTCCATCAACCATCCGTCATGCCTTCTCTGGACGGGCAGTCAAGTGCCAGGCACGAAGATCAAGACCACACCAGTTTGAAAGAGGACCCCCAGCAGGAACTCCTCTCCCAAGTGTACGAATGGCTTCATCATGAGAAGACCAGGCGGCAAAATCGTAAAGCCCGCAAGTCCGAAGCCACATCCTATGCACCACCTGAAGACGACGCGCCGGCATCAGCCTCAGATGTTCCCTTAGAAAAACCTAGCTCGAGTCCCTCCTCCTCAGAGAGCTCATTTTCACTGGATAAATTGGAGAAGATTCTCCTCCAATATGCGACTACCCGCCCGGAATCCGCTGTCAGCACAGCCCACCGACACCCAGTCAAAAAGCAATCCCGACGCCGCCTCAGGGGCCTGCGCAGGGGCTCTGCCTCCGAGTCGGAACTCACAGATGCCGAGGCCCCTCCACCCGGCGTGGAGGCGTACCTGGACAACACGAAGACACTGGCCTACACCGGTGGCGGTGCAGTAGAAGAGAACGCCGATTCTAGCGCAAGCGTGAAGCAATCCAAGGAAGCAGAGGCCTGGACCATTTTCAAGTCTGAAATCGTTCGCCTGGTGCATACCTTGCAGCTGAAAGGCTGGCGCAAGGTCCCCGCGGAGTTGGCGGGAGATATTGAGGTGGTCCGTCTCAGCGGTGCTCTCACCAACGCTGTGTATGTAGTCGAGCCACCAAAGAACCTGCCTCCTCCCAAGTCCGACAGCAACACTCTAGTTTCGAGGAAGCCCCCACCGTGAGTCTTGACCTAGTACATCTATTCCGGGGCACGAACTAATTGGAACACAGAAAACTATTGCTGCGTATCTACGGTCCCCAGGTTGACCACTTGATTGACCGAGAGAAGGAGCTACAAATCCTTCGCCGCCTGGGAAAGAAGAATATCGGACCTCGCATCCTGGGAACATTCCTCAATGGCCGCTTCGAAGAGTACTTTGAAGCTCGCCCCCTTACACACAAGGAGCTGCGCATGCCGGAAACCGCCAAGCAGGTTGCCAAGCGAATGAGAGAATTGCACGAGGGCATTACACTCCTCGATGAAGAGCGCGAGGGTGGACCTATGATCTTCAAAAATTGGGACAAGTGGGTGGATCGTTGTGAACAAGTGACCACTTGGCTGGACAAGGAACTCGAGTCCCCTCAAAATGAGGCTAAGGCCGCAGCAGAACCATGGCGTCGTCGCGGATACGTTTGCGGCGTAACCTGGGATGTGTTCCGCAAAGCCGTGGAAAACTACCGCCGCTGGTTGGTTGCCAGCTCTGGTGGTATGACCGAGATCAAACGACAATTGGTCTTCGCGCACAATGATGTAAGTGTTGACTTTGACATTTGAAGTGCTTAGGCATTTACTAACACGTTCCTAGACGCAATATGGCAATTTGCTTCGCATGGAACCCGCTACACAATCACCCCTTCTTTTGCCTGCCAACGAACATAAGCAGCTGGTAGTTATCGACTTTGAATATTCATCCGCCAACACACCTGGTTTCGAGTTCGCCAATCACTTTGTAAGTTTATGAGCTCACTCGTGCCGCTGTGAAATATGCTAACCGTAGAAGACCGAATGGTGCTACAACTACCACGACGAAGAGCGCTCTTGGGCTTGCAACAACCGGGCGTACCCTACACCAGAGCAGCAATTCCAGTTTGTCTCAACCTACCTGACACACTGTCCCGGTGCCACCGGAACCGTTTCTCCCCTGGCCACACCCACTATCCGGGCTCGTGCGAATGCGGCAATCGCACCGCTCGACCTGGACGAAGCATCGGATGGACCGTCAGCGCAGACTGAAGTTTCAATTGAGGATGAACACGAGAAGGAAGTGCGATTCCTTATGCAACAGACCCGACTATGGCGTGTCATGGGCTCTGCTCAATGGATCGCATGGGGTATCGTTCAGGCGAAGGTGCCTGGCATGGAAGAAGGCATTGCAGAGGCACTTGCTGCCAAGAACGGACCAGTCGAGGCCGAAAAGAACGGCAACGGCGAGGAGAAGAAGCCGCCTGTTGACGAAGCCGAGGAAGAAGGTGATTTCGACTACCTGGCTTATGCCCAGGACCGCGCCATGTTCTTCTGGTCTGACCTGCTCGCTCTCAATTTGGTCAAGGCCGAGGAACTGCCCGCGCCCCTGGTGGAACATATTCGCTCTCGACTTGTCGAATACTAGGCGTCGGAGAGGAACAGTGATAATACTGACGAATGCTGTTCATACACAGGCACATCACGACTCACGAGGTATAGTGTGGACGTCAGTCCGTAGACTGCGTCAATTAGTGATTTATCACACCTATGTATTTAGTACGCTACAGCGTTGATGCTTTCAACACAGAATACCATATCATATCCTTATTTCATTTCGATCATCTCAAAAGGGGTATCTGAAAGTGCCACCAAGCATGAGGACAATACAACCCCCAACCATGCAAATCAAGTCTACCGTCTCATCTCAAGCTTCTTCCTCGTCTCCTTCTTCGCACCCTCCACCCACTCCTCATACGCCTTCCCCTGCGGATCCTTCGCCTTCCCCGCAACAACCCCCTTCATAACCTCCCCAATGAACCCAACAAAATTGCACCTCCGCAACGTATTCTCCCACTGCCACGCAGCCCTCTTCCTCTCCTCCCTCTCCAATGTCTCCACATCCCCAATCTCCCGCGCCCGTCCCCTCGGATCCCGCACAGCAGCCATCAAATTGAAATGCGTCTCTCCAGCCGGATACCTCGCAATCCTCCGCTGCAGCACCTCAATCACCTTCTCCGGGAACGACCCACTATCACACGCCCCATGGCTAATCGGATGAGGCTGCAATCCGTCCAACTCATACAACTTCCCATTCACAGGCGTATACGCAATGAAATGGTACACGTCCGCGCTGTTCTCGTCATCCTGAGGCCGGGCCGTCTCGTCCGCGAATGGACTCGCGCGCGCAAAGCTATTGTGCGCGGAGCGGATGGCCTCGCTGTTCGAGAGGGCTTCGCCGCGCAGTTCGGGCGGGAATCCAGTCGTGAATTCTTTGAACGATTGTAGCTCTGGTCCAAGTGTGATGGCTGGGAGGGGCGCGGGCGGGTTATCGTGGTTCAGGATCACGGAGAGGATGGCTTGTGTCCCGCAGGCGTTCTGGATCGTTTGGGCTGCGAAGAAGAGGTTGTCACTTGCTGTTGTGTCGTAGCTTCCGTCTAGGGGCGCTTCCGCGCGGGCGCCTGCTGCTTCCCGGGTCCATTTGAATAGGAAGATTACGCCGTAGACGGGTCTGTTGGTGGTTAGGATTTGTGAGGATTGGATGGAGAGCTGGGTGTGGATGCGGAGTTTTGGAAGGCTTACCCGAGTGATCGGATTGTGTCTGCGTCCAGGGAGATGAGTTCTTCGAATTGGGTGTCTTTCACGCCGAGTGTTTCGATCAGAGAGGTGAACAAGCCCTGGATGAGGTTAGTTGGTTTTTCGTGGGGTTTGTTGCAGTGTCAGTACCTCGTCTGATTCAATTGTGCTCCATCCACCTGCGTCGGCCATGTTGACTGAATGTTTCTGTGTGTGTTGATCGAGCTTTCGGTGTTGGTGCTCAGCTCAAAACGTCGATGGCTATGTCATTGTCACGTGAAGATTTCAGCAACATCACATGACCCGTTATCATTCCAAACGCCTGCCCAGGTGCAGAGCAAGCTTTCTTTGAAAGTCGAGAGAGCGCCCGAGTATTGGAAAAAGTTGGGATCTCGGGCTCGTTATGGCATGTTTCTCACTTAAGGCCTTTTCATTCCGACCATCTCATCGCAGCGGGTCGCAACAGGCCCAAGGGGTTGAAGGGTTCATGAGTATATCCTGTCATGAACATTCATCCCGGAGAATACATAGGCAGTGTCCTATGGTCCTTCAATGTGGAGAGGGCATATATAGGTGTATGGCTACAGATGTTGAGCTTATCCAAAATTTGATTGACAAAAGGTCAGCGAAACCCAGCTAGCTTCATGCTTTGAGACACAGGACTACGGTGGCTCATGTCTTGGGATTTCTTCAAATCCGGACTGCGATCAAGAATGTGGAAATTACTACACCGATGATCTGCACCTAGGTATGAACTAGTCGGGCTCAGGTCCTGGATGTAGTCACTAGTGCATCTGAATCGCAACTAAAAGCCGCCATGCCAGGTATTGAATCGAATCTTAGAACATGAGATATTCCTTGTAAGCTGCAGCCTTGAATATCTAGCTCAGCTCTGATATTGACGTCAGATTCAGTCATGAAGGCCAAAGTACTGCATATAAAAGAGGAAGCAGATACTACTAGAATGTATATTCATCATGGATGGACCGAGTGAGCTGGACGACGGCAGACAACCTTCCAAGTTGGAAACAATAGTGGTTCAGACAAAGACACCCAGCCAAGTGTCGCCAGAGCCCACAGGCTCCGAACAAAGCGTGAACTAACTGGTGCTATGACCGAAGAAAGGGGCTGAAGTCATGTTCAGGGTGCTATCGAAGACGCACTTGTTTCAGTGCGAATGGCCTGATACTGGCCTGCGAAGCGAACATGCATATCCAGAACATTAAGGGTAATGAAACAGCATGCCTAGAATGAGAATATCACTAGTCTGTAGGAAATAAAACGAGAAATAAACATAGACCCGTGTCGATCCTCATCTAGCATGCACGATCCTTAACAAAGAGTAGATGGCCCAAACCTTGAACGCCTCCAGCACCCCCTAATAAATCCATGAATATCATACGAGAGCAATTTTCAAGGTTTGGTATTAGAGCCCAGCCTATGCACCATCTGCCTGAAATACTTAACCAGTACTTACCTAGGTACAGAGAACATAGGGCATCCAAAGCGACACCCTTAACACCCTAACCATAAGACCTGCGAATATTGCAGCCCCCAAATCCCCTCTAATTAACCCGGTAGCGACCCCTATATGAGTTCATAGACTTCGACGAACCATTCATCCCAATCCGTCCTAGCACAGCTCGGACAGATCTGGGGAAGCCAAGATAGCGGCCGAATACGAGCTCTGGAGACCAGCCTCAATGAGCTGCCAATGAGAAACACGAATCTGTACTTTAATTTTCCTCGATGGGGCCTTCATCGTATCTCTATTCTTAGCTCGGGGGGTTTCTGGCACGTACTCGCAGCACGTACTCCGTATGTTCCTGTCGATCGTGATGCAGGGTTCGAGTCTATGGTTTTGACATGGGTGTTGCTATCTTGAGACTTTGGGGGCCGGAAGTGAAATGCATACATGTGAATCCTCGGCTTGTCGAGCTGGCCATGGCCCATGTGTTCTAATTTAGTGAGATGGGATGTGATATGTCCATGAGTATAGGTGACGAGCATGGATACCAGTATCAGGTAGAGCTCTCTACTTGGAAGATTTTCAAATTGTAGATCGTGCCAGGCTTGTTAGAATTCCATGAAATGGGGGTATATATGTAAAATCAAAATTAACGGAGTTGCCCCTGCAAATAAGCATATCGAGAATAGACATCAAGATCAGACTAGGACAATCCACCAAATCGCTCATGCTCAAGAAACGCAAAGTCCGAACGAAAAAAAGGAGTCGAGTGTGAGAAACCTCGAAACCGAATAGACCAACCCCTGGCCCTATATTTGAGATGAGAGCTTTCCATATCTTCATTCTCCCTCTGGTACCCAATAGCCAGAATCAATGACCCTCTTGTATAGAGTCTGAATATCCCGTGGATTATTATATTTGTGTTTGTTTTTGTTCTTTTGTCCAAGTTCTGGCCTGTCATGCCCAGAGTGAGGCGGGGGAAACTAAGCCCGAGATCTCGAATGGATGTGTCTGTGAATAGACTTCCATGTTCAGACCGAGTGAGCCATCTCGGGGCATTTCATTGCACATGGCATCGCCGTATGGTGGGGTGAATGCAGATGATTGTGGAATCGAATGCGTATGTCCCTGGCTTAAATCTGACAGCCCTAGATGCGCATTATGGGCGTCCAGTAGATGAGGCGAGGGCGGGAAGAGCGAAGGCGCCGTGGAAACATAGCCATCCTGTAGCTGGAATGGGGAGTTGGCGACTTTGACGGCAGGAGGGGATTGCAGAGGTGGCGTGTAAGCGGCGTATGAGGGGGAGGCGGAGGCGGGGGAGGATGCGACGAGAGGGTATTCATGCAGGGTGTGGTGATATGGGCTGGGCGGGCCGGGAGAGTATTGATCGATGGAGGAGCGAGGGGACCAGGGGAGACGGCTGCGGTAGCGAGCGACGACTCCGCGCGGCAGTTCCATCAGGGCCATGGCGAGACGGAGCTCGGCGTTGAAGGGATCTGCTGCGCTGTGGGTGGCGATGATGCGGTAGATCTCTTCGATGGGTTCGACTGCTGTAGCGCCGAGGTATGCGCCGCCTAGTTCTGGGAAGAAGATGTCGAGGGAGATGCCGATGGCGAAGAACTGGGCGAGGATGGGGAGAGCGCTGATATCTGAGTCGCCATTTCGGAGCATGGATGGTGGGAGCCAGAAGAGCCAGCGGCGGAGGATCTGAATGCGCTCAAATGATTGTTCGGGCGTTTGGTTGGGATATTCTTCTCGGAAATGTCGAGTGAAGTCGATGAGCTCCCCTAGGCGTTGAGAGTGCTCGAGATTGTGGGATACCCGTTTCTGGGCGACTTGCAGCGCCTGTATTGTTTGGTCTAGATGCATGATGTCCTCGTCGAGAGGCTGGTAGGCGGCCATCGAGAGATCCCTGGTGCTCAGCGCTCGCTGGGCCTCGACAAACTGCGCCAGATCCGACTCTTGCTTCCAGTATGGGTGCATGGACTCCAGGACGCTGGAAATGCCATGTTGCAGCGAAGACCAATTTTGTCTGAAGGTGGTTAGTTGATGCTTGTGAATCGAACGGATCACTTACTGTTCTGCCGCCTGCCACGACAGAAGGACGGATGCCGCCAAGATGGCATCGCAGTTATCCTTCGAGAACGACCCTAGGGCCGCCTGTAGTCCCTGGAGAGCAGTCACCTTGTGGCGAAACGCCAACTGTTTCGTGTCCGGGTCCCGGGTCAAGAAAGCCAGATGAAAGGCCGACAAGCCCAGGATGGCGCTCATCACAAAATCGCTGCCCAACGCAATAGCGAGGAAACTAGGCCTGTCAGTATCACCCGGGAAGAGAGAGGATGGGGTCCTTACTTGGGCATTTTCTGCGCCCAGAGGGTGCAAGTACTCAGCCCACGACGATGTAAATCGATGGACAGGCCAATAATGTGATGAATCAAGCGCAAGTCGACGCGCGACAGTCCCGCCCACCCCGAGCGCGGGCACTGCAGCAGCTCAGGATATGGCGAGACGCCCGTTCGATGCCAGTTCTCGATTTCCCTTTCGATCTCTGGCGACAGGAGCAGATCGGGCCCCCGGGGCGGGGGGCTCGCACCTTGGGCCGCGGTGGTGTCCTGGTAGTCACAGCGGCAGTTGTGCTTTGTACAGTTGCGACTAGCGAGGGTTAGCGAGACCCGGGGCAGACGAGGGACACACCCACCATTGCGGGAATGTTTCGTCGCATCTAATGTGCCTCCTCTTGCACGTTTTGCAGCCGTTACGGGATTTGGTGTGGCTCTTGCGTGGGGGACCACCGCCAGGGCCGACCATGATGGATAAAGTAAAGTAAAGCAGTTGAAGGAGGAAGAGAGAGGATAGCACTAAGGTAATTCTTATTCCAGTGACGATCGGTATTTTGAGCCTCTGGGTACAGGGGAGATAAACGGCCAAGAGACTAGGATATAAAAGAAAAGCCCGAAAATCCCAAAGGAGACGAGACAGAAAATGAGAAAAATAAGCAGAAAAAAGCAGAAAAAAAGTAGAAAATCGGGAAATTGATAGATTCCCAGCGTGTTGGGACAGTCTAGAATAGCACCGAGCTTATAGAGCTGCCTCGCTGGGCTTAGATCATTACTCATCTGACTCTCCTCCTCCCTCCAGGGCTGGCCTAGATGCTGACTGTGCTGTACGGCGTGCCCTTAGGCCCAAGGACTGGGAGGACTCCCCGTTCGTACGGAGTCCTCTCGCCAAGACTGCAGGGGCCACGGAACAGACCCCAGAATAACATGAAGGAAATTAGAAAACGATCCTAGATCTGGAGGACCCTGGATTGTGGATCGCTGTCAAACACCGTTAACCGCGTTGGGCAAAAGAAGGTGCCCATCGAGGGCTATGGGAGACGCGTCAGACTGTTCGCTAAGCTTAGCCTGACAGGCGGAAGTCGGCCGTCTCTATCCGTGAGTCAGAACTCGGTAAAGACTCCCGAATTGAGAGTGCAGTTCTATTTGGACCCCAATATTGCAATACTGCACTATGGCAATATGGCAATCTCGCAATCTCGCAATATCGCAATATTGGAGGCAACGCAAACTGGCGGGTTAGTCCGCACTCAGGGGGTGTAAGACCACTCTGCCGGGATCAATCTCGCTTTCGCTTGCGACCTGTTGAATGGACTGGTAGACGTCAGGACCGGAACGGGAAAATGGACCCCATCTAGAGTGGTGAGGTCAGCTCTCTGCATCCGAACCTGAAACTGAGTATGTACAGTAGAGAGTCCCAAGAATAAAGAATAAAGAATTAAAGATGACGGATCTGACCACGTTTTCCGGGGAGACGTGTGTCGAATGTCGGTGTGACGCTCTCACACGTGGCAGTATACAAGTAGTAGTACAGACACAGACTGTACAGGATACAGGGAGTACCTGGTGTAGTTCAGAGTACTCCGTACACTAAGTAGGGACAAGAGTACAAACTATGGAGATCCGGAAATGTTCGGACGAGAATAAGATCTATCCAATCACCACTGATTGGCCTCGCTTGTCGCGACATCCCTCCCAGAACGGTTAGGGGCAGTTGGGGGCCAAAAGTACCATTTGACAACTCTATTGTGCCAAGGAGGTCATCCTGGACTCACGATCAGCACGAGATCGCCAACCATAGAGGGTCATCTGCTGCTCAGAAATCTATTTCCATTCTTCATTAGAGTCGTTAGCGTCAACTTTATCATAATATACGGCTGAGTATTATACTCTGTAGTATATTATAATCTGATCGGGCATGAGATCATGATGAAGCTTGGGCTGTCATGATGAGAAGATGAGGAAATAATGACCGTATGCCCAGCCTCAACTCCCTACGCTATATCCATGTCAGAGGCAAGAGGCAAAGTTAGGGGCAAATGAAGGGCAAATGAACCAGTACTTGGGAGATGCATCTCTGAACTTTCTTTCATTCTCTCTGTCATTTGGACTAGACCATCGTCGGCCGCTGCAAGATCTTGGTCTTCGCATTGTACCCTCAACCTTGTCTATTGGCTTGGAGCCCAAACTGCCCCGTCAGGCCTCCCAATTATATCAAAACCGTTGTCCAACACCTCACAATGGGCTTCCACAAGTCATCCATGGAAATCAAGCTCAAGGACGGACACGTCCTCACGGCATATTGCCGTCGCCTGTCAGGCGACGCAACTTATTCCGAACTAGATCTAGACGAGTTTTTAGGAACGAAGAAAGGTATGAAACATGGATGCTTCCCCGGCCTTGACTAAGTTTCAAATCTTAACTGACAGCCTCATAGGACAATTTGCCTGGGGATGCACCGACTTTTCCACGCACTCGGCCGACGTGGACTTGCACCTAGAGGGGCCCACCAATGAACCGATGCTCCACGCTCACCTCGACGATGGAACGGGCAACATGCAGGACAGTGAGGTGAATCTGGCCTCCTGTATCAAGAACATAGATGGTAATCTGCGCTTCATGGATTGTTTCTAGACTAAATTACTCAGAATGCCAAAGCAAAACATCTCCATGCATAGATGCACGTGAAATCGCCCAAGTTCCTGTCCGTACCGATGTACATGAATCTCTGAAATGCGGCTGAGTGAAATACTATTTCCCGTCCCCAGTCGATCTCAGTCGTAACGCGGGAATTCGTGGCATGGAGCCCCCTTAGGCAGTGTCCACTGTCAGCCCGATCCAAGCCTCTCATTCCCTACCCCAGCCATGAAGATCGCCCAGGTACGGCCATGTCTACAATAACCCATTACTCTGCAAGCCGCAGTAGGCATAGCCTCGCAAGCCAAGGCGCAGCGCTCTTACCCAGCCCGGTCAAACCCAGAGCCACATCGGACACTACTCCTAGGTACCCTTCACCCGGTCCCACAACCCTTTTCACTGGAGTGGGGTCTAAGAGGGCGCCCCGTTCGTGAAAAAAGGTCGTTAGCGGTAAGGCTCGCGTCTTGGTCGCCGGGCCATGCTGGTCTAAGCGGCCAATCGGTGGGGGCGCGTTGGAGGCTTTGGTTGCCGACTATCGAGAACGCGCCAATTAAGCGAGACTCGCAATTTGGTGTAGATCTGTTGGGCTCGGAGGACAGACTGAAACGCGGACTTGACTATTAACATCTCTCCGCGGAGATGGCCGTATAGTGTCCTTGAGTGGCACGATCTGGATATGTAAGGGATATGGTTGCACGACAGCTGCAGGTGAACCTTTTAAGTCGACTTGTAAATTGTACTCCGTACTGTCTCTAAAAGACTTGGGCTTGCGTCTGCTTGTGTCTGCTTGAGCTTAGTTGCTCTGGTTGAACGGGTCAAAGTCGGGTCGATCAAGAGAATACTGTACTCCGTATGTCCGCACCGTGGGCCATCATTTAACACTAAATCTCCTAGCCACTCACATACTCCATGCTTCTAGGGCTATTCTGAGATCACATTTGCCCTTTCTCCTTTGCGTTGGGACGAACAAGATCCAGCTATAGAGCCCTAACTGTAGGAAGAATGGAGAGCACCTACTAGGTAGGTATTGAGACCAGCTCTGCGATTTCAAACTTGGAAAACCACTTGATAATAAACTTAAATACCACAGCTGATTTCTTTTAAAACAAAGTCAGCTTGGGAGACAAGCAATGTCCACTCTATCAGATTCACAACACACCGAGTCATAAGAACCCGCACCCACAAACAAATCTTAAAATGTGTGAGCGAGTGGTCTATTATCCTGTGCTGCTTCAGACTGCAGTATATCTCAGATGTTTAAGATATCCCTAGGTAAAGCATGATCATAGACTATACAATCGGTCCGCTCTCAGCAAAGCGTCGGACGACCTGGCCTGAATGACTTCGACAACCCTCAGATGGAATCAATACATCAAATACATCAAATACACTACAAGAACAAAAATGGGTTGAGATCTTCATTGAGATCCATCTATCTAGGTATCTATCTAAAGGGGGATAAGGATATGCCACAAGTCAACCAAGCCCAGCGCTGACAAAAAAGGAAAACACTACCCAGGAGCCCTGACTTCATGATATGCACAGTAAAATGCAGGATAAGTAGAATGAAACAAGCAAACAAAAAAAGGAAGTCATTTCAGGTCATGCAATCATGAGATGTAACATAAGAAACAGCTAAATCGCAGATTGCTCCTTGTCATGGTTTTCCCCCCCATTTTCCCCCTCTTACTATTATTCGGACCTTGCACAGCCAGAAGACGACCCTTTCCATAATCCCCCCCCCCCCGTCTCATCCACTCCCTGCCAGCTGACCCCGTGTGGCTCCAGCCTCCAGCCTCCATACTGAGCGATCACGGGGACCATATCCAGCCTGGATCTCAAGTGAGATCCAAGTGAGATCAGCTTAGATCTGGTAGACCGTGCGCAGAGTCTGCGCCACAGCTGGAGGCAGCTGGCCGAGGAAGTCCCCGAAGTTGGGAATCAGGGCCTTGTATCCCTGGAGGACCTGGGAAAGTGGCGTTAGTAAGATTCAATGCTGACGAAGAGAAAGTAAAAAAAGATCATACCTGTTGGAACGAGACCTGGATGTCTCGGTACTCTTCTTGGGCCAGGGAGCGAGCAGGGAAGGAGGCAATGGCGGTGAAGTAGTCGAGCAAGCTCGATTCCATGGCCTGGGGGTTCTTCATGACGATTTGGTTGAAGCCCAGGAAGGCGGAAGCCTTCTCTCGTGTGAAGTCAACCTTGTCCATGGACTTGAGGAATGCACCAGAGAACTCGCCGAGGTGGGAGGCAATCTGCTCCGCGCAGCAGAATCCAAGACGGCCCAGGGCAATGGCGGCGTTCTCGTTCACCGAGTCGATGATCTCCTCGTTGGTGATGATGGTGATCAGGCCTTGGTATAGCTGCTCCACGTAGGAGTTCAACTCGGAGTTTTCATGGACGGCGATTTCACCCAACGACCAGCAGGCGTTGTTCAGAACGCTGAATCCGGTGTGGCGATCGTCGTCGCGGATCAAGTCCAGGTCGAGCTGCTTGATCAGGATGGGGACAATGCTGGGAATGAAAGGCTTGAGCTGTGGGAAGATGCTGATCGCGCAATCGCCAAGCAGTGCATAGGTAGACTGGCGAACTTCGTAGTTGACGTCCTCCATGCAGTAGCAGAGGAGTTCGAAGAAAGGCGGTTTTGAGGTGGCAACAAGCTCGCTGCTCTTCTCCGGGTCGATGGCCTGGATGATCGCACTCAGGAGATCAATGCTGGTGACGAGGAAATCCTTATCAGGCTCGTCGAAGGCATCGTTGCTAGCTGATTGCACGGAGGCCCTCAAGTTATCGTAGATGATAGTCCGGCAGCGAGAGAAGAGGTGAGGGGCGAACTGAGCAAAGACATCACCGTAGGCAGCAGCTACGTATCCAAGGCACTCTAGCAAGGGGAAGAGCTCTCGGGAATCATCGGTGACGGAATTGTAACGACCGATGAGAGCAGGCATCAAAATCTCAACCAGCTGAGGCTTGGCCAACTCGCTCATCACACACTCGGCGAGTGTTTGCACACAATCATACAGGATGTACATGTTGCGGTCCTTGTACTTTCCGAAGCACGCAACGAACTGGCGCAAAATCGGCTCGCAGTAGGGCACCAGATTTTCATCAGCCTTCTCCTCCAAGCTGGCGAAAGCCGAAGCGGCGGCTTCTTGGACCTTCTTGTTGTTATCAAGCATGCGGTGAAGGATGCCCTCCATCATGGGCTCGAAGAATTGCGCTTTTTGAGCCGGATCGCGGAGGTGCGCAGCCCAGCCGGAGTAGCGGGCCAGACACCAACATGTGATTTGACGGACGACGGGCTGTGCGTCGCTGAGAAGGGAGATCAGATAAGGTACAAGTTGGGGAAGGTGAGGAGTGACTGCATCCATGCAGCCATCGGCCACGGCACCGAGGGTGAGAACGGCGGCCTCGCGGTTAGGCCACTGATCATGACGCAAGGTTTCCATGAGATACGGCAGAAGGATCTCGAAGACAGGGCGGTGGTACACATTGGAGAAAACGTCAAGTGCGGCAGCGGAGCACTTTCGCAAGGTCCAGTTGCCTGAAGGGTCATCTCCGAATTCTGAGTCTTCAATCTCGCCATCACTGAGATCTGAGTCATCCTCTGTCTGTTGCTCTTGCGGGGCATTTGCTTGGTCTCCGGGGCGCGAGGTGTTCAGACGATCACCCTTGGACTTGGCGAATTGGGGACGAAGATCCTCGGCGCGATCTTCAGTTTCGGCATCATCCTGCTCTTCCATCAATCGAGCAACTTCCTCCTCGTCGTAGATCATGTTTTGAAGGAGGACCGGGATGATCTTAGGCATAAACGGCGCCAAGTCGTCCTTCAGGCGAACTTGTTCTCCCGCTCCGATCCAGAATTCGGCTGCGTCTAGCGCAAGCTCTGGGTCGTCCTGAGATTGCTGCTGCATGATGATATAGTTTACCAACCCTTCCATGTGGGGCGCCAACTTCTCTGGCGCGAACTCCACGAGCTGGGAGAATGATTGACACACCATCTGGCGGACAACGGGGTTTGCATCGCTGGAAAGACTAAATAATGTTGAAAGGAACTGGTCAAGCGATGACATCAGGGCCTGGGGTCCGTAGGGCAGGAAAATGAGGATGGTGGTAAGAGCAGCGGACCGGATTTTGGAGCTCTCGATCGAAGCGAACTGTAGGAGACTGGGGATGATGGTATCAAGAGGACGCTGTCCCGAGTAATCTCTGTCCAGAACCCGACGGTTATCCTCGCAGACCTTCAGAAGAGCATCCATTGCAGATTCTCGAACCGGCATGGGGACGTTACCAGCGGCATTGCCGACGAGACACAGGAGCTCATTCACGATTTCCGGCCATGCGAGCAAGCCTCCGCGGGTGACCAGTTCGGTGATGATGCTTCCTGCGGTTCTTGAAACGTTACGGTCGACGTCGCGCAAGGTGTGCAGAGCTGCGGTCTTCACGTAGGCCAGGCTCTGCGGGGTGATCATGCTATAGGCCAGTGAGATCTTGGTCTTGACATTTGTGCCAGCGGCAAATCTGACGGTAGGGTATTCATTGACGTGAATGCCTGCCGAAGGAGGTGATTGGGGGTGGGAGAAGATGTATGTAATGTAATTGATGTAGTCGGGCGAGGAAGTCGCCTGTGCGAGCATCTGCGATCCAAAAAATATGCGATTAGTTTCCACGTCCGATCATTCCAGTGTAGCATCTGGAACCCCGTTGGAGGTTGCAGAGCACAAAAAAACGGCAAGAGTGATTACCTGCTCAGCTTTAGCTCGGGCGGGATTGTTTCCACCGGCGAGCGAGTCGCGTAGGAAGCGAGCTAGATTGCTCAATGCCTCCTCTTCGGGCTGCCAATCCATCTTATCGCGCTGTGAGGATCTGCGACAGTGAAAGTCGAAAGTGCAAGTGGCACAAAAGCCCCGCCGAGATTGTGGGAACGGGACCCCTTTGGTTTCCCCAGATCGGTGATCAGAGTGTCCACCAAAATTGCCGGACCACTTGAGAGGTTCCGCAAAAGCGAGCGCGGAGAATTGGGAGAGAAGGAAATAGGGCAGGGAGGTCGTAAAGAGACAACCGGCGGAGATCACCAGAGCACTGAGGGGTGTAGGCACTGTGGCAGAAAAAAAGAGATCAGTCAATTTGGTAGGCGGTGTGTCACCTCTGCTGAATGTATATCAGATCATGTTTTTGTGTATAACTGCCTGGCGGCTGAGATGAGAAAGAAAAGGAGAGATGCAAGGAGTCATAGTCAGCTGGCAAACGCGAAAAGCCAAGCGGTATATATCATGAAGAGACGACATCAGCGCTGCCAGAGAGAAATGAAGTAGGTTACCTCGAGGCGCAAAATGGGTGGCGATGTCACTTCCGAAGTTCGCCTGCAAGCAGTTCAAATAAAAGACAGCGAGAGAAAAACCTCGGAGTTACCTGGGCAAATACGGGTCAAGCCACGAGGAATAGCGGGTGGCTCTTATGTACGGAGTAAAGGCACTTCAACTTGGAACCTTGAAGGCGAGAGTGAAGGTAGGATGTGGCGAAGTAACAGTGGCAGATGGTCATGTAAGCCTAGAAAGAATGTCAAGGGATCACTGTTCTAGTTGAGCTTCACTGGGCATGATCCCAAGAGTCAACATCCATGATCGTTGCTCTATATATATTGAGGTTGATTTCCGGATGCGTGCCCAGGTGCTGCCATAATCCATGCCCAATTCTAGAATTTTGATCATTCCGGATCTTCATCGTGTCCATCATTTATTCAATAGGGCGGTATGTAATCACGTACTCTAGAGGAACGCAATGCTGGGCATAGAAGTGAAAGGAAAGCAAACAAGTGAAGCGGCGAAGCATGCCAGATCCGATATCGACAAGATCAGGCCCAAACCATCTTCTTGATGTCATAAACTAGATACTCCAACCATCCAGTCCGCTTCTTAGCATCGGCCAAAGAAATAATATCGGACTGCTCAACCAGAGACGGAGCATCGCCACCACGACCATGGCCTGCCAGCATAGCGCGCTCGATATCCAAGCAGATAGAGCGTACGCGATCCATTTCCCTGAAGTTCCCACCGGTGGGACCTAACTTCGGACTGGCTGTGGAATTGGACAATGGAAGACCCTTGAAGGCCATGAAACGGGTCGTGGATGGCTTGCTTCCACGCAGCCAGGAAACAAGATCCCATTCACTGTTTGCGCTGGCTGTGGTCTCCAGTGTGCTTAGATCGACATCACTTTGGAGTGAGCGCGTATTCACACGTAAAGTGTTGATGTCGCCATCGCGATACACGAGGACGAGACCGACATTGCTTGCCTCGTTGGCTTGGCTGTCTGTGAGAATGGAAGTGACATATGTGCCGTAGTGGATGCGAGAGACAGAGCGAAGATCAATACGTTCGAATGAAAGAACCTTGTCTGTCTCCCAGTCAAATCGACAACTATACACCGCTGCATCTGTGAGGAGGAGGACGGATTCCTCGAAAGGCAATGTACGAAGTGTGTTTGGCTGGCGGGGTGTGAGCATTGTCCAGCCACCGAGGAATTCTTCAGAGGGGCTGCTGATGACAATCTTGCAGCTTGTGTCGATGGCATTCTGGCGGAGTTTCTGGACCGAGATGCCAGGATCAGTCGTCTGAAGCTGGATGGCAAATTCGTCGAAGACCTGAGTCGACACATTGCCCACGAGATAGTCGATACAAGCCTGGGAGAAGAAGTCGTTGACTATGTTGTTGTAATATCGGGAGAGGGTAAGACCCAGGTCGTTCAGGGCACCTCTGTAGTCACGTTTGCGAGTACGAGTATAATCGCCCTTCAAAGCAGCAGTGGATGAGTATTGTTTGGAGATAGCATCTCCGTTGTCGGCCCAGAGAGTGTTGAACCATTGTGTGGAAGAATCACCGCCAAGGTCGATATCTATGCCCTCGTTCTCGAGCTGACGTTCAAGAGCCCATTGCCCGAAAGCACACTGTGCAACGCCAGTGCGGTCAAGACAGTCCATGCAGTTGGTTCTAATAATGCCCTTCTGTGTCTGTAAAACCTCGTTGTTTGCAACAATGGTGTAGCAGAACTCATTTAGTGTATCTTTCAGGCGGTCGACGAGGCGAGAAACGTTTTCGAATTTCATTCCTCGGCATTCGCGGTGGAATTCGAACCATTCCAGCTGCAGTGGTGTGCCATCAATACCACCAGCTTCGTTGAACGACTCGGTATATCTTTCATATTGCTCCCCCAGCTTCAGCTCCCCGGCCAATTTATCAATGAGAGATACGGCTTGAATCTTCCCATACCGACGACTCATGTCTCGGAAGTGTCTGCTAAAAGCAAGAAGATTCGTATCTGCAGCGTGATGAAGCACAGGAATTGGCTTCAACGCGTATGGTGACTGCGAGAAGTACAGAGGAATAGACCCCCTGACCTGCAGGTATGAATAGGCAGCGTGAGAGGGACTCCAGTCTGGCACAGAGAGAATCTGTTCAGTCTCAACGGTGTTGGCCGTATTGCCTTCATCGTCAACACCACGGCGCAAGTAACGAAGACCAGGCCGGTGGACAGAACGTCGAGAAATGAGGGTCAGAAGATAGTTATGTTTGCCGGGGTCGGTCGAGGCATTTTCGACCTCGTTTATTTCGCCGAGGACCCGACCTCGGGCGAGTTCCTCTGGAGATTTCCCAGATGGCTTCGGGGTAGCGCTAGCGATCGTGAATTCACGTTGGCCCACAAAGCCCTGAATTAAAGGGAGAACAAATCCATGTGCACCGTCATCAATGAAAGTATGCATCAAATGTCTGTTCCAGAAATACTGCAAATGGGTCAGCGCAAGCTTGCGGAAAATATCAACCAAGTCCCCTGATGCATACTGATGGATCCACGACTTTGTGGAGTGGAAGCTGATCTTTACGAGCTTCCTGGGTATTTAAAGAACGCGTAAGATCATAATCATATGCAAAGAAGAAATTATGCGATGCAAATAGTAGCTTTGTGTAGCGGAGAAGCTTCGGCAGCAGATCCGCAGCCTGGGCAGACTTGGGCTGTTCTTCGCCTTGAGTCTTCGCCTGGCTGGCTGGAGTTTCTTTGGCAGCCTCATCCTTCATGTCAGTATCTTCATCCGACGAGATGGGAGCTTCCTCAACCGGGGACTCTGGCATGTCCTGTCCCAGAGCCCCTGGTTGGGGCAAGCCCAGGTTTTTGCGCGACAGCCAGTTGGCTGCGAATCGGCCGAAGCGGACTCTTTTTCCAATCACATCTTCTGCTATACTGCCGACGCTGATTCCACGAACATGTTGGGTCGTGCGTGTGGGGGATGCGGGCACGCTCGCGATCTCTGCCTCGGCTTCCGCTCTGTCTGTTTCATTATCGGGGACGTCATCCTCGTCGGAAGATGGGTCCATATTCACATCTTCCTGGGAAGTGTCCTTCCTGGCCTGGGAGATTGCGCGGCCGGCATCTTCTTGCGATGAGACGGGAATGATTGCGACCTTTGTCACTGCGTAAATTGGACGGCCTTGGATGTTCGCTACCTCCTGTCGCTGGGTGATGGAGACCAGGAATGAGTATGAAGCGACAGATAGAAGACCTACAGCAGGATTGCTCCTACGTTAGCATCGGTTGCCCCGCAGCTTTGACCTAGATCACCTACCCACGAGACCGTAGGCTTCTAGGGCGTCTCTTCCGAGGGATTCCGAGGCAGATGCGGGCAGAGCGGTGATTTTGTTCGTCTTGTAGTCAATGCGAATGGAGGAGGCGTCATTGTTGCTGCCATTATTGCGCGGTCCGTTGCCGCCCGCATGAAGGACTAGACCGTCAACCGCGGCGACGATGGCCAGCTTGCGCCACAGAGGCATGTCGCGCAGAGCAATACTATACACAAGGAATACAGTGAAAGGGAGTTGAAAGTTAAGTGTCGGAAGGGCATCCATAACCGGCCTACATCATCCGCCCCACCGATTATCTATTCGGCAGAAAAAAAGAAACTATATACATCCTTAGCCGCCAACCGAAAAAAAAAAACAATAAAACCAGTCATATCCAGTCATTCATACAGGCAGTTCCAGTGCCTGACGAGCCCGAGTTACCCCTGGCAATTTCGTCGAGTAATAATACAAGGTTCAAGCCCGCAGCTTGCAAGTAGTCGAAGATGAAAATGAAATCATGCCATATGCCTCATTATATCGGACCGTCAAGCTCACAGCTGACTGTTCCGCTTCGTATGCATCGCGGTTTGCGTCTCGGTGTGCGGGAACGTCGGGCCGGGCTCCCCTTCGGCAGCCTCCGTCAAGTCGTTCATGCCAATCCCGCTCTCGGCATCATACGAATGCATCAGTCCTTCTCGGTCACCGTGGCCATTGAAGTATATGCTCGAGGAGCTGCGGCGAGACTGCATGGACCGGCGGGTCTGGAAGCTCGTGAGTCCATCTGTGGGCACACCATCCTCATCCAGTTTGGAGTTCACCATCGAGTGTCCATCCGGGTCATGGCGCGACAGGTTCAGTAGGTAGACACCCGTGAAGATGATGAGGAATCCACAGAGCAGCGATATCGTGTTGACGGCGTCGGTGGTGTTGAATCCCTTGAACAGGATGAAGGAGGCGCAAAGGGTCGCGGTTGTGAAGGTCACATAGTAGAGGGGGTTCACACTGTCGGAAATCGTCCGTCAGCATGGGCAATTGGTTTTCGGGTGTGGGTTAGCTTACATCGAGGTGGAGAAGGAGTTCAATGCCTTATTGAAGTAGTTCATCTGGGTGAGAATGCAGAACCCAGTCACGATGGCGAAAACATAGGTGGATGCATGCACGAATTGGTTGTTACCGCCAAGGGTGAGCTTGAGAGCAATGCCAAAGGCCTTGACGGACATGACCGAGACCGATCCAACAGTGGAGCAGATCGAGATGTAGATGAGTGGGTTCTTCTTGCCATAGACCGGCGCAACCCGATAGATCATCACCGTGGAGAAAACGGCAACGGTCAAACAATAGAACAGGAAGCCCGGCTGAACCGCATATCCCAGAATCTCATTGACGGTGTCCACCTGCTTGTCTGGGGGCGCATGCAGGACGATCACGACCGATCCCAACAAACACAGCGCACAGCCCAATTTGCCGAGCACTCCGAGGATTTCGTTCAGGAAGTAGGAGCTCAAAACCGCACTGTTCATGTTAGCGATGAAAATCCAACGTCGCAGACTCGAAATTGTGATGCCTACCCGATCAAAACACTGAGTGCGCCCAAGGGCGTAACCAAAATCGCGGGCGCAAAGGCGTATGCGGCAAAATTGGCGACTTCGCCGAGGGCCACTGTTGATCTGTTAGCCTGTGTCGGGTTCTCAAGGTCGGGTCTCGCCATGGGCTTCCGTACGTGTCACGATACCACCCCACCATATGGGGCTCTTGAGATATGAGAATCCTTCTCCTTCAAAGCCATGCCGTTCGGAGGCTTGCATTAAACCCTGGTCGCAGTTAGCAATCGCACTCCAATCCCACTGTGTCCGATGGAAGCCGCGGAGCCGCGGCTGTCGCCCGGACCACCCTGGCCTCAATCGCCTCCGGATTCGCCGTAGACCGACCTTTTTCGTAATCACAAAGCTGGTGCCGATCGCCATGGTGGACACGATGGCTAAGATGAGCCCGACATATCTAAGAGCGCGAACACGTTAGTTCTGGTCGCCGGGGCCCTCCGAGCCAATTCATGAGACCTGGCGAGCTTACTTGTCTGGAAGCATGTTGACGCGATATCTGATCTAGGAGCCGAATGCTCCTATTGTCGAAAGACCTCCAGTACTGGCAATGGATTGGACAGCGAGAGACTCGGCCTGGGAGGATAGAAGGATAGAAGGACAGAGTGAAGTGAAGAATGGCCAAGGGGACAGAAACGAGCCAGCCCGAGGTTTCTGCAATGTAGGATGAGCAAGGGAGGACGGAAGTGCTCAGGTGTTGGAAGGTGTTTAGTGCCGTGCGGTGGGGTTCCGTTTCAAGCCTGGCCGATCGGACGCGTAAGAGGACTAAATTTCCAAGTCCTTGACTTTCCACCCTCTCATTTCACCCTTTTTCTTTTTGTGTTTCTGGGGATGCGGTGACAGTCTAGATTTACACTTGATCCGAGCGCTGGGCTATAAATACTACGAACTGGATCTATACCACTCTATATTGTACATGGACTATAGAGTATAGTACTGGTACTTCCTCGAAAACTGCCCAGGTGTCAATTGATTCTGCAGCAAGTACCTGTCTGGATGCGTCGTATCAGAATCCGTTGGACCCTGAAATGTGGCAAAGATCGTCATGTAATCTCGTCTCGGTCCGAATGCAGCATGTGTTACTATACATAGGGCATCCCCAGATATGTCTCACACCTGCGAATCGCAAAGTGGATAGCCCTAGTGAGATCCAGTAATCTCCTGCCCTGCCTTCTTTTCCGCGCGTCCTGGGACTCTAGGTAGTTTTAGACGTTCGTAGCAATTGGCTGTCAATTGCATTCAATTGGACTAACATTAGTCGCCTTGTGCTCAAACACTACACAGACCATCTACGCTAAGGTCTCACTTGGGCAAATATTCATATTGAAACCTAGAGCACGTGGACTAACTCGCGCCAATACGCCAGGGTGGGAGAATGCATTCATTGTCCCACCCTTCAACACCGAACACAGATTTGGGCCGAAGACCGAAGTGGTATCTCGAATCGCAGGGAAAGAAGGGGCACAAATGGCACAAGAAAAAGCAGAAAACGGAAGAGTTTTTGGAGCACATCTGAAGATCGGTCCAGATGGGCGGTGGTGGCACCATAGATGAAAAGACGGGGGACCGCCTGGGCGCGTGGGGGGAATTGGATTGAACATACCTGTAATGATTAATTCTCAAACCAGACCTTCCATCAGTCTCGGTCGCGCTCGTCGCTGGCAAATCTGATTAGTAGGTTGGGGAGGACCAAGTGGAAGTCATCGAGGGGTCGGATTCACTGGCCACCAGGTGAGAAGGAGGGGGTGGATGTGGGATGAGGATGTTGAGAGGGCGTGAGAGATGTGAATTTACGAAGGGCGCCGACGTTTGGCATCCAGAGTGGTGTCCTCGATGGTCCAGTCGTCTTCTTCGTCGCGGGACCGTTTGGTCGACGCGTTATCGTGAGATTGAGACTCCACAAGGGATGGATCTGTTTCACCAAGGTCTACAGCCTCCGTGTCATCAAAATTGGCGTCATAGTCGCCAAACTCGTTCTCATCGAATTCTTGGTTGTCGGCTTCGTGACCGCCAACGGATGCAGGGGCAGCGAGGTCATCCTCGTCTTCGTGGTACTCTAACTCATCGAAGTGATCAAGCTCATCTTGCTCGTCGTCCTTGGCTGGGGTTTGCATCAGATCTACTGCGATGCCGAGCAATTCATCCGCTGGTGCTAGTGGCTGCTCCTGGGCTTCAGTGGCATTTTGAACCTCGCTGTGAAGTGCAGATGTGTCCTGTTCGTGGGAATTTTGGTTTGCCTCAGCTGATGACGACTCAACCGAGTTGACTGCAGCGGTGGACTTGGAGTCCGGCTTGTTCTCATCCTCATCAGGGAGGGTTTGCTGGGCGATCGGCTGTTTTGATTCACCATCCTCGGTGTGGCTAGAACTCTCCTCTTCATGGGAAGCGTCTGGATGAACGATGAACCCAAGTTCTTCGTCTTCATAATAGTCTTCAGGTCCAAGATCATCGTAATCATGATCCTCTCCATGGGCAGTATCATCGAAATGCTCAATTTGCTCATCGGGTGGATTTTCTTGCAAGTCAGTCTCAACGGGTGCTGCGTTTACTGTGGCAGTAGATTCGCTGCCCGGGGCCTCGGAGTCGTAATGCTCGTCGTTTTCTTCGTTGGCATCGCCTTCGCCATTGTAGACTTCCTCGGGCTGGTTTTGGTCATTGGATTGAGAGTGGGCGGAGAGTGGGCGAGCCTCATCAGCGACGCCAGCGCCTGGCTCGCCGATGTGATGTTCTTCTTGAACTGCAAGGTCTGGATTCTCTAGCTGTGCCTCCGAAGTTTGTACCTGAGCCGACGGAGAGGGGGCGGCGGCTGGCGCCTGCTCGTCTTCGGGCTTTGAGGGTACTTCGTCATCAGCAAGCGACAATTTCTGTTCGGCTTCGGTTGTGTAGTAAGCTTCGTCCTCTTGCTCCTCGGCCTCGTGTTCGAGCCCGTGATCTGCTTCAGAGAAGGGCTCAGCCTCGTCATATTCATTCCATGGATGAATGTCGGACAAAGTTTTGCCATCGTTGGCAGCATCGAGCAAATCGGCGATTTCCGCTGGGAAGGCACGCTTGCTGCTTAATGTAAGATAGAGAGCATCGGGGTCATTCGCCCCATCGTTGCGACATAGTCTAAGGTAAAGGTCTACAACCTGGTGCAGGGTCACCTGGGATGTATGGAAAGAGTCCTAAATATCGGTTAGTATCGTAATGGGACACGCTGTCGTGGGGGTGGCCTACCTCTGTCATCTGAATTCCAAGCGTATCGACATCAATTATCAGGACCTCGTTATCCGCCACATTGCCCTGGAGGACCTGACGCAAGGCCTTGAACAATTGAGCGACACTTTCGTACGCCACATCCTCGTCATGGAGGAAGAATGTCTCAGCAGAGTCGCCCTCAAACGGAGGGAAAAGGGCAATCTCATTCTCTTGGTAGATTATCTTCACTGGGTGAAGGGTTTCGTGCGGGGCAGTTTCAGGGTGTGAGGGTTGGGCCTCAGTTGCGCCCGGCTGTTTTACCTCTGGAGCAGACTGCGCCTCTGCCTGCGTACTAACAGGTTCTGGATGAGTCTCCGTAGAAGCTTGCTCCTGATTTCCTGCAATGTCTTCCTGTGAAGCATTCGTATTCTTAGGGCTTGACGCAGGCTGGTCTGTTTCATTAGCCTCCTTGCTAGGCTCCTTTTCAGAGTCATTATGAGCCCCGGCAAGATGGAGTGTTTCGGTTGGTGGCTCCGCAAGCTCGTCATCATCAGATGTACTGGGCTCAGCCTGTTGCTCCTTGTCCTCGGCCGGGGCACCGACTTCTTCTTGAATTGGCGCTGGGGGTTCACTTTGAACTGCCTCTGTCTGGACACTGGGATCCTCGGGGACTACGTGAGAGGTCTGCTCCACTAAGACTGGCTCTTCCTGAATAGGATTGGGGACATCTCCGGTGGTTGGTTCGATGGGAGCAGAAGTGGAAACGTCGATGACGGAAATTTCGGGAGCGGTAGTTTCGACCTGGTCGCCTTCGGTCATTTCTGCCTCAAAGGGCTCCTCTTGAGATTGCACGTCGATGTCGTGGTCTTCTTCCACATAATTGTCGGCGTCAACCATAGAGCCCTCCGAAGGGTCATCGGCCATATCTGCATCAAGGATGGCCTCGTTTACTGGTTCATGAGGCTGTGAAAACTCATCTGCGCCCATCATATCGCTGTCCATGTTTGAGTTATGGTCTTCCATAAGGTCAATGTCGATATCGAAATCATCGGCCTGCCCCATGTAGGGCGAGGCCATTTCCATAGAGTCATCCATGGTAGGAACTTCCATCGTTGTGTGTGTCAAGTGGTCGGAGGGTGAAATGGTAGGTAACGCGTAAAGGAGCGCGCTGGAGTGTCGGGAGCTCGTGAGAAATTTAGCGAGGTCCCATGAAAGCGGTTTTGGTGCAGTTTAGAGTGAAAGAAAACAAGTGACAGTAGTCTGTGATACTCAAAAGGCCAGGCTAGTCCCTATCAGAGACTCGATGGGCGGAGTGAGGATAGGGGTGGTGACTGCGAAGTGAGATACGAAGTGAAAGGAAAGTGTCTCTGTGACGACTAAGCGAATCCGATGCACGGACCAACCGCCGAAGTGAACAGAGTAGCTCCCTATCCGTTGCCAACCATCAAGTTTACCCCACGACTCTCTATCCCTTTCTTCAGTGCCCTACTCACTTGTACTGTTGCTCCTCTGCGCTGATTTGAACCAAGATGGTAAGTTGCCACCCCAATGGGAAGTGACACTTGACTGATCAACACACAACAGGTCGTCCTGGCAGCGTCGATATGTACCCGCGGAGGTAAAGCGGTTCTCTCGCGTCAATTCCGCGAGATTTCTCGGTCTCGAATCGAAGCGCTCCTAGCATCTTTCCCTAAGCTCGCCGACTCCGGAACCCAACACACCACCGTTGAGCAGGACAACGTGCGCTTTGTGTACCAGCCGCTCGACGAGCTGTACATTATCCTGATCACCAACCGCCAATCGAACATCCTACAAGACATTGACAGTCTTCACCTCTTCGCGCAAGTGACTACTAGTATCTGCAAGAGTCTGGACGAGCGCGAGATTCTCCGAAATGCATTCGAACTTCTCAGTGCATTCGATGAATTGGTGACCCTGGGATACCGTGAGAACCTCTCCTTGACTCAGATCAAGACCTTCTTGGAAATGGAGAGTCACGAGGAGAGAATCCAAGAAATCATTGAACGGGTATGTTTGGGTCTGCATGACGGGGTCGGATTGTGGCTAACACAACAATAGAACAAGGAGTTGGAGGCCAGCGAAGAGCGCAAGCGCAAGGCGAAGCAACTGGAAATGCAGCGCAAAGATGCCGCTCGCTCAGGCCGTTCCGCGGCTCCTCGAGCTCCTTCCTACCCTGTCTACACACCTCCTGCGCGCCCATCGGTGCCTGACACCTACGACTCATATGAGGCCGAGAAGAAGAAGGCCTTCTCCAAGTATGTGCATTGGCGATCCTATGGCTCTGGTGGAACCGCGTGCTGACCATTTTGACTTCTAGGCCCATCCCTACCCGTGGCAAGGGTATGCAACTAGGCAAGAAGTCTAAAGCAACCGATATTTACGAGAAGGTTCGCGGTGATGTGGGACCTGAAATCGAAGAGGAGAGCCCATTGGTGGCCCCACAAGTCGCATCTCCTGTGCAGGATGTCTCCTCGGCGCGCCAATCTCTCAACACAGACCGGGAACCCATCCAGCTCACAATTGCCGAGACTATCTCAGCCACCCTCACCCGCGAGGGAGCTCTGAAGTCCTTCGAAGCCAAGGGTGACCTGCAGCTCCGCATCTCTGACCCCTCATTTACCAAACTCCGCCTCGACTGTCAGGCTATTCCGACACACGGTGCACAGTTCCGTACCCATCCCAATGTTGACAAGGCTCTATTCAACGAGTCTTCCATAATTCAGCTGAAGGACACCTCCAAGAGCTTCCCTGCCAATAACTCTATCGGCATTCTCCGATGGCGTGTTGCCAGCTCAGCCGATAATGCTGATATTCTCCCCATCACATTCACCGTATGGGTAAACAAGGGCTCTGACTCGACCACCGTTACGGTGGAGTACGAGCTTACCGGCGAAGACAGCCTCCGTGATGTTGTTGTCACCATCCCCTACGGCACATCAGAGCCTGCCGTGTCTAGCTTTGATGCAGTTTACGAGGTTTCTGGCGACAGCCTGGACTGGAACCTGGGCGCTGTGGACGAGTCAAATGCCTCTGGCAGCTTTGAATTCGAGGCGACTGATTCCGACGAAAACGAGTTCTTCCCCATGAGTGTTAGCTTCACAAAGACCAAGCCCTTCGTGGATGTCGATGTGAGCAATGTCGCCTTATTGGATATGGATGGCCAGAGCACTGCCTTCTCCAAGGAGATCCGCAGCGTCGCGGAGAATTTCCTCATCGAGTAAAAATGGGTGGGCTACTGTATAGAGTTCCTAATGATGTCTGATTTGTGTTAATTGTTTCCAAGATCGTGTTAAGCCAATCTGATTTGAGTCCAAAACCTCCGCCTGTAGCACCTATCTTCGAGCAATTGGACATCTACTGACGTGGCCTTTGACTTCGAGTCCCTAAACGTCAGAATCATCCCAACGTAATGCACAATCAAATCCCAGCCAACAACAGCGGGAAATTCTGATGAGAATTGCCGTCAAGCTTTCCGTACCTCGCACCTCGCGGGCCCTGCGCCTAAAACAGTGTTTTAGCACTCGCCAACCAGGGACGAACCGCCCTAAGGTGTGTGCCGCCACCAACACACGTCAGATTGACTTCGAGCTCGGGTCTGGCCCACGAATGAGTGCCGACTACTGAGTACAGCGATGGTCTTTTTCCTTGCTCGACACAAGATGGCTCGTTGAGTGTTGTGAAAGTCCTCATGGTTCAGGAATTATGTCGGAGTATAGAGCTCGAGGGCTCTCACAATGCCCTGGGTCGTCTTTCCAACCAAAACCTCAGACAAATTGAATTCCTATACTTCACCAGATCCTTGGTCGGCTGCATCGGATTCCAGAGCCAGTCGGTTCCAACAACCGACGCCCAGCCCTGGAGGGCTGTCGACAACCTTGGAAACACATCACCAGGGGTAGGAACCCACTGGTTAGACCAATACCCCAGTCCCTGCTATATGTCCAGAAGCAAGGTCCACCACGGCGGTTTGGTTGATGGCAAATAGCGTGATCAATAACCGAAATCAGATAGGTTTACTCATGGAAACGTTGAACGTTCGCCTCTTCACCAGCGCCGGAGGCAAAGTGCCTAATCGCTATACCTCATTCGGCGAACGGTGGCCATTCCTGTGCGCTTACGAGGAGTCCGAATTACCCTGGGAAGCCCAGATGAGCATGTCATCTCTGCTTGACCCAGTCTGCGGTGCTAGAAACCCGACCCCCTCGTCTTTCCCCGAGTTATGCTTCTTTTGGGTCAAAGTCTGGGGTCGTTTATAAAACCCATTGGCCTTCTGATCATTCTACACCATCTTCGTATTTGACAAGTCTCTGGGACTGGTCTGCTCCCGATCTATCTGCTTTGTGATATTCACAGGGATTCGATCCACACTGGTACGTGACTCGGCTTTGCTCTCATGCTGGACTCGAACACTGAATCTTCCTCAGCAACCAGTTCATCTCGGCTCAGAATGAGTAGTATTCATTTCCCCTCCTGGGGCGAGCAGCAGAGCCTCTTGAAATTGTCATATGCTGATGCAGAAACGTGTAATCAGTTGGCAAGTGTGGTAAGTGTGAAATCATTCGAGCCAGGGAGTTTTATCTGATGTCGATTATATAGGATAATCCAGTGTCTCATCTTGAAAGCGGTGATTCTAAATTGACTACCAAGAAAATGGCCATCCCACGCCTGGCGGAAGGTGCCGAGTCTGCTTTCACTTCCCCGGGGAGATTTCATCGACGACATGTTCGTCGAGCCTGTGAGTCGTGTCGACAGCGAAAGACCAAGTGTACCGGAGACAAGTCCGGTTGTCGAAACTGCCGAGAAGCGGGCATCATCTGCTGCTATACGGATGGAAAAAGAGAGAAGTCCAAACGGTAGGCATGGTTCATCTGCTGGATTTGTTGTAAGGATTGACTTTTGAGCTCGCGTAATATAGGCAGTTGGCAAGTCTTTCAGCCAAAGTGCAGGCGTACGAGGATGTCATCAGCAAGTTGAGCAATCGCTTTGGTGTATCTGATGAGCACTTGGTGAACATTGCCCTGGCAGCGGTATGAAGTTGATCACTACTCAACAAGAGCTTTTCTAATGCCAATCAGGAGTCTGCGCCAAATCTGACGCTGGATTCGAAAACGTCCGTTGCAGCAGCTGGAGAGCCGAAGACTGCCCGAAACACAGGCTCTGAGCCGCCGCCCTCCCGGTCTTTATCTGCAAGCCCCCCGGACTCGGGAGACCATACAGAAGAAGACTTCAACAGGGATGAAACCTCCCGAGCAACAGGGTTCATTGGAAGAAGCTCGGAGATCACCTGGCTTCAAAAGCTGAGCAAAGTCGTCAATGTCGAATGTGAAGCCTGGCCTGCGACTTTGCCTAATGCCAACGAAGACAATGGCCTTCCATCACCGACATTGACACCTCGACCCGATAACCCAAATGATCCATGGGTGGTTGCGTTCAACTATTATCTCGATGACTTGGATATTCCTACTGCAGATCCATCGGATATGTATGGAGTTCCCTCTCGAGAGACAGCTACACATCTACTGAACGCCTTCCTCACGTCGGTCCATCCCTCATTCCCCATCATTGGGGTTTCGACCTTCGTACCTCAATTTCAAGTCTTCTTCAGTCAGCCTTCTCTCAAACCAGGAAACAAATGGCTCGCCATCCTCAACCTGATTTTTGCAATTGCTGCAAAGTTTGGTCAGTTGACGAATGCCGACTGGAGGGAGGAAGACGATGATCATCAAGCGTATTTTGCAAGGGCACGAGCTTTGAGTTTGGAAGATCAGATTCTCCATCATCCTGATCTTCAGCAGCTGCAAGTCGAGGGTCTCACCGCATTCTATTTGAATGCACTGGGGCATATCAACAGGTATGGTAACAGGTTGCGCAATGATTGAATATCAACTGACATTTGTTCTCATAGGGCTTGGAAGCTTTCCGGTAGCGCAGTTCGAGGAGCACTGGCTCTCGGATTGCACCTACAGAATGTCGGGGTCAGCATATCGGACAGCTCCAAAGAGATCCGCTATCGGGTGTGGTGGTCATTATATACACTGGACTATCTGCTGGCGCTTATGACCGGACGTCCGTCATGTGTTAACGACAGCTCCTGCACTACACCAATGCCGGTGCCTTTTGACGAGGTCGATTTCCAAAAGAGCGAAGTGTCTCGAATCATCAACACCGCTGCCCTCCGCACTTGCAACAATTCTGAGAGGATGCCGAAAAACAGTAATACGGATGATCGTGAATCGACGACAGACTCTGACTCCAACGATGCGCCTGCCGAAGATGAAGCGAAGCTAAGCTACGTCGAGTATTTGAAGAGTCTCCCGCCGTGCACTTCCCTGTACTTCCTACAATTGGCGTCATTGACCAGTATCTCAAAGCGAATGACGGTAAAGCTTTACAGCCCAGAAGCTCTTCAATCGCCATGGGCCAGCACCGAGTTCACAATGCAGAGCTTGACGCTCGAGCTTGATTCGTGGCTTATGAATCTTCCCGCGGCATACGACTTTACTTCGACGCAGACGTCGCAATGCCCCATCAGTCAGCGTATGGGCGTCGCCTTCCTCTTCTACAGCACCAAGATTGGAATCACGCGGCCATGTCTCTGTCGCTTGGACCAATCGCTTTCGGAGGATGACAAGACGTATGAGTTCTGTAGCAAGGCAGCAGCAGACTGTGTCGAGGCTGCGTGCCACATGCTCACGTTGTTCCCGGATACCCCAGACGCAGCATTATTGTACAAGATGTCGCCATGGTGGTGTACATTGCATTACCTTATGCAAGCAGTCACTGTTCTGTTACTGGAGCTGGCGTACAGATCCCAACATGTTCCCGAGAAAGCGGCAATGGTCTCCAAAGCGGCGAAGAAAGCCCTGGACTGGCTCTCCACGCTGTCTAAGACAAACATGGCGTCCGAGAGAGCTTGGAAACTTTGCGATGGATTCATCCGTCGTCTCGCCCCACACATTGGCATCAACGTGAATGATATCCCCATGAGCGAGGAATCGGATTCCCTCTTCAACGTCCCTGATAATGCAGAATCTACTAGCATGGAAGAGCCCTCTGCAGACGACGTGGCCTTCGATGCCTCCGAGGCCATTCCTTCCACGGTGGCCGTCGACGCCATCTCTGCCGAGTTGGATTCCATCACCTGTACCCCGGTGAACCAGTCCAGTACTCCGTCTGCTTTGCAGGAGCCCTACGATCTCGGGGAACCCGATCTCCTCGACCAATTCATCAAGCAGGAGAAAGACCAGAGCTCCTACGATGAATGTTTCCCTTACGATCCCGCTACTGGTCAGCTTACTGGCTCGTTCTTCCCCTCGGGGCCCAACATGGAACTTGATATGGGTTATTTCTGGGGTGACCCTGTTTGCTGAATTACTTGCACCCCCAATTGAATTCACAGAAAAGAACCAAGATTGAAAATGGAATGGACGCACGCAGAATCAAATTGGAAATCATATCTGCAGTTATCTGGCTTGGGGTCTTTTCTGCCCTGCATGAAATGAAGTGAAAATCTACACATGTCTTCCAGTAATACAAAAGTGATTTACATTATCCCATGGCATATACCCTATTCACAACTTTGGCATGGTACATCTAAATGACTACCGTGGATCCGACTAAAATAGTCCCGGCAGCGAGCCATGGATCGCCTACTGAGCCGAAGTAAACGGAAGGCCGAGACCGGTCGACATTGACCTCATCTTGTCGGCCTTCAAATGTCCGTGTCGCGTCATGGTGATCGTTCATCGAAAGTCCATCAGATCCACGCTATGTATACCTACCTAGGTAGGTATTACTCCTGTAATCAATGGACTTTGGCAATTCTAATAGCATATATTGAATCACTAAGGCCTGTAGATAACACCTATACAATGTACCAGAACCGTGGAAGATCTAAAGTGAAGTATGGTCCCAAACAAACCCAAGCCCTAATTTGCTTTCCACAATCCCTTAATATCCTTCTTCATAGGCCTGAAAACAGCTTTGAACTCGGCCTTCATCGCCTTCCTGTCTTCCCGAGACCACTCTCCATTGCGTTTAGCCTCCCGCATCTGACGGACATGACCAGTGAGCAGCGTTGAGATGTTCTCAGCCGTGCATCGTATACACCGGTCCTCACTTGCAAGATCACTCAGAGCCTGAGATAAGCTCTTGATCACCTCTTGTGATCTGGGCTTTTGGAACTCGCGTTCCAGTAGCGGGGCCTGGCTTGGTCCATGGGTTGAACAGGGTGTCTCGGATGCACTGTGGAATCATTCAATTTGAGGCTCAACTGATGATGAAGTGGCCATTTGAAACTTACTGTTGAGTCTCCTCTGTGCAGACATGTTCGATGGTGTGGATTGGCTCCTTGAACTCGGTGAACTTGGGTTGGGACATGACCGCAATGTTGTCTTTGGGGTTTGGGATTGGTATTGCTTCAGTGGAATAAATCAAAAGTGCTGGTATACATATCATCCTCGTCGACTGGGGTTTGTACTCTGTTATACTTGTCAAGCTATCCGAAAGGAGTAAGTACGTTAAGTCCGAGGGGACTACCCAATGTAGAATTTCGGCGGAGATTCCACTTTTGGAATCGTATATACTCCGTACCCGGTTCGGGATATTCGAATGACGCTCCTATTAACAAACTCCGAGCTGAGAGTCGCGGATACGTTTGGTGTTTGTACGAATTGCCTCTGGGCTGATGAAAGCTCCGCAGCAGGTACTCGGGGTAGGGTCAGGTATATCTTGCCAAGGGACGATTGCACGAAAAACACTATTCCATCCCAATGTTACAGCCAAATAGTCCAGTCTTTTCAAAACCTCGCATGAACCCAGATGCCGCTCACTAGATAACAGAAATGTATATCTAGATGTAAATCTTGTCTATGCAAAGCCTCAACAGAAAGTCAATCCCAACCTTGGAAATCTCAAACAGCCCCAGCTGCACTCCAATCCCTTTTCGCAGCAGTGAACAGCATCCGAGCAAGTTCTTCTTGTGACATTGCCCGGCCAACATTCTTCGATGGCGCAGAAGGGTAATACACAGCCGTCACTCTCGCGAACGCGATGTCTACAGAGTGTTTCCGCCGTAATAACTCAGCCCACGGAGTCCACTTCAATGTCTGGGAAGCTTCCGGTGCATGGATATCCGGATTCTCAGGCGTGATCCCAAGTAAGCCTCGGTCATCCCAAGCAAACTTCTCAACGCATTCCAAGGCAGGCATGATCCGACGCCGGACACCACACCCCGTGTGAGCCTCGTCAATTGGATAGTCGGGGTATTTCTTGATGGAGGAAATGATCGCGGTGATATCCGAGGCTGGGCCTGCAGATTGGTCGTTATTGCTTTCCAATATATGCTCATCTTCGGGGGTTTCGCTGAAATCGGGATCTAACAGAGTCGAGCCTAGGAATATTGTCTTCGCTCGCACAGAGAAGAATCGAACCATCTGGCCCAATTGGAAGAGATCACATTGGCTGGCGTTGTTGAATCCACCTCTGCATTGGAATTGACGAGAGTGGAGAAGCGCAGGGGCAGAAGTCGTGAAGGCTGCGCCCAGTGTTCTACTGGGGGTTGACTTCGTGTTTTCGGTATCCTCCATTCCTCCATAGACTCGCAGGAAATGAGCCTGTATGTCAGTTATTGTATTGAGGACCAGTTGGCGCCGATGATATATTTCCTCTGTGCGTTGAAGTAAATTAGCTTCCGAGATGCGGGCTCTCGAGTGAAACTTACCCTCAAGTCCATTTGGTAGATATTTCCAGCGTAAGTAATCTCCCTCAGGGCTTTCCAGTCCATTCGTCCAGAACTTGGAGCCCACAACAATCAAGGTATGGGTCATTACTCTGGTGACTCTCGCATCACCCAGGAACGTAGATATGAAAATGATCTGTCGAATCCTGTCTTCCTTGGCAGACAACAGGGCAGCATTAAACTTGGTCAGAGGCGCGGATTTTGCTTTGCCATAAGAATATCCCACTCGTCGCAGCATATCCCGCACAATGCGGGGGGAATTGAAGGAATCGGCCAGCTCGATTAGCCTTGCAATCAAGGAAGAAGATTGGTATTTTAATTGATTTTCGAAAGCACCCTTTTCCGTTTCCTCGGTCGATTCGACACACAAGATTCGTAAGAATAATTCAATGGCGTCTTCTCCGCACATCCTGGTCGGCTGAATGGCCGGCAGTGTGACTGTTGGCAGCGTATGCTGTGACAAGACATTTGAATCTTGGGACTCATTCCAGGCTTGTTTCTGGGTATTGAAATGCCTGCCCTCGGAGAATTTTGTAGGGTCCAACAATGCTTGGAAATATGGACTGTTGGACGAAAGAAGTTCGCTTGCCACCTGCCATTTGCGACTCACAGCCAACGGAGAATCACTGGATGCAAGGTATTCCAGAATGAGGTCGCCATTCTTAGTGATTGGTGTTATAGACGAGGCTGCAATGTCTGATTGGGGATCACTATGACCAGCCTCATGCTGTCCGCCTGGGTTCATGGCTGACAAGTTTCCCACGTTCTGTCCACCTTAGGGAGTTCGGTATGAATCCAACACTCAGGATGAAATCGGGTCATTGAAGCCAAGGACAAAGAGGGTAATGGGGTTCAGAGACTTGATCGTTATTCATAACAGTGTTTGTCGGAAAGATGTTCAAGATGTTGGTGGGTCCAGTAATGCCGGGTTTCGCCCATCGAAACCGCCCGAGCCTGATAGACGTGAATGGCATAATGCGTTTCAACAGGACGAGCGGAAAAATCCACAGGTACAAGCTTCCTGTCGATTAGGGCTTAATGCCAGGATACGACTAATTGACTCGTGCGCCCGGGGCTGCAGGCGGAGATGCCGTTCCGGTCTGTAGGTGTTACGGGGTATAGATATGGAGCTCAACACAAATGGTTACTTGGACTACTAATACATCAGGAGTCAATCACGGATTTCTTTTTGTTAATTCCCGAAAACTGACGGAAGGTAAGTTGTATATAACTTCGACAATGAAGTTCCTAGTTTGCAGTGCCCAGGTGCCCAGTGGTATATGCACCGGGTCAGTTAGATGGCGAGCAACCAATACGTAGATCAGAAAAAAAGTACAATAGATAAACAAAGACAGGACCCGACTTGGAACTAGGATGCACTTGCTAAAGATGCCAACAAAAAGGTACAAGAAGCGCTGGTATGTGGTATTATGCAATTAGGATCACCGGAAGATGCACGATTTTAGGACCCTCGGGCGTTCCGGTCTTCAATGTGTCACCCTCACGCTCCTTTCTGTTCTTTTCCCTCTGCGCGACGGCTTTCCCGGTGATATGGAAGAGGTATTGCACGGAGGCAGGAGTTTCCGGCTCAAAGCTAGATAAAACATTCCCATTGGGTCTGAATGTCGGATCGAGCTCAAAGTCCAGACCCAGAGCAGGTGGCACAAGCGAGAAGACACCGAGGGACCTTTGCTGTTCACTGACATAGGGCGAGGTGGCGAATTTAGCACAGTCCATGCCTTCTTGCGCATTGCCGTTGCCATCAAGCATAGCCAATTCGAAGAGATCAGTTCCTCGATGATTGACAAAGAACGGCTCGGTCGTTACGAAGCCGATGACGAAATCCGAATTGGCGCATGCGGCGACTATCGTGCTTTGGCGGTACTCGGGGGTGAAGGCGGTCTCAATGGCACCGGGTAAACAAAGGGTTACGCCGCGGGCCAGCAGCGGCACGTTTGCTGCCCCGTTATCTCCCTGCAAGTGTGGCTGTGGAATGACGGATTCGGTGGTGACTGAGATGGTGGATGATTTCCGAAGTGCCGAGCCCATATTCTGCGGGCTGAATTCTTGCCAGCCACTACTCGATTCCCCGAATGGGGGTGTGATTTCCACCTCCTCTCCAGATGAGTAGTTATTGGAGTCTGCGAAGATCTCCGTTTGAATGGTCTTCGTCGTTGTCGCCACTGCCTCGCGGGCCGCCAGTCGTAGGGTGGGGATCAATACGTCCTTTTCTTGCTGATCAATGGGGGCTGCCGGGGCCCAGGAGGTTGCGAGATTCGACCACGTTGCGGTCTTCAATGGACCGCTGGTATATGTTTTCTTGATCAAGTCTGCCAGGGCCTGCCTCGACTCCAGCGGCGCGTCCGCTCTGCCCATGAAGTTCACCATGGAGTTCAGGATCTTGCTGGCTTCCCACAGGAGGAAGCCATGTTCCCGGGCTACCTGCTGGAGCTGTTCGATCACATCGCTGGACCAGTCATCGACACAATCGGCCGCGATTTCCAAGACTGCAATGTAGGGGCCCAGCTCGGCGGCCAGCCGCAGGAGCGAAGCGGAGTCGGTGAAGTTGTGGGAGAGGTAGGCGACGATGGGTTGTCCATGAGGGAGGGTTTTTTTGGTTGCGGCTATCGTTTGCAGGTAGGCCAGGATGGGGTTTTCGGGGGACCAGTCCCCGGCAGCTGACATGGTGACTTGAGCTTGAGGAATACGGGGGTCTGAATTGGATATATAAGAAATGTGACCAGGAGAGAAGTCCACCGAGCCGAGAATCCGGGAAGAGGGGCTAGAATATCCACCAACTAGCGTGTCCAAGCTTGAAAACTGACGAAGACTGCCCAGGTGAAGATAACCAATAATCCGTGTCCTCGTATGAATCCATTGGGCCCTCGGAGGAGGCACTAGGCGCTCGGTGGAGACATACCCCGAGAGAGGCGTTGGGCGTACTCCGTCAAGGTCTCCATCGCTGAGCTTAGCTTGCAGAAGTACCAGTAGTCAATTCCCCGCACACCATTGAAAGGATTGAGGATTTTCAGGGAACGTTAAGCTGCAGGTGCAGCTAACAGTAGAGTGACAGCGTTCCCACCGAGTCCAGAGTAGCCAATCCTGGTATAGCCTATTGGATGACCACCGCTAACCGCATCAGGCAGTCTTAGGTCAGCACCTTGGATAGGCTATCAGAGACGAACTATAGAAGTGGCATGACTGTAGCCTTCAATCTACATTTATATTGCTTCTTAGTGGTCTGACCATATTGCAACTACAAAGGACTGTACTGCCCTCGGTACTCCGGCCTCCTGCAAGTCGAAAACCTGAACTTCGAATTTTCGGACTCGGGCGGATCCCTGATTGGTTTTTGGTGTCACGCCACCCCTGACTTATTATTATTTTTTTGCCTACGCTTTTCCTGTCTTCAACCATCCGGTTCCTCGACCATTTGATTCACATTCCTTTGATCGCTCTTGACAATGCCTGGGAGGGTCCTGCCGACCTTCACCTCTGCCGAGGTTGAATCCCATAACACCGCCGACTCGTGCTACATCACTTTGGGCCGCAACGTGTACGATGTCACCGATTTCCTCGATGCTCACCCCGGTGGCGGGGACCTGATTCTGGAGTATGGTGGAAAGGATACAACCGAAATCTTGAAGGACGAGATCTCCCATGAACACTCCGATGCTGCCTACGAGATTCTCGACGAATACCACATCGGATTTATCGGCGAGGCGACACCCGGGAAGACAACAACTGTCGTGGAGACTGTGGTCGAGACCGACAATGGTCCTATCTATGCATCCACGGGAATGTCCCGCGCGGAGGATCTGTCCGTCGACACCGACTACACTCAGGATTTCAAGACTCACAAGTTCCTGGATCTCAACAAGCCGCTCTTGATGCAATTGTGGCGAAGCAAGTTCTCCAAGGAGTTCTATCTCGAGCAGATTCACCGGCCCCGTCACTACCGCGGTGGAGAATCAGCCCCTCTCTTCGGCAACTTCCTCGAACCGCTCAGCAAGACCTCCTGGTACGTCGTGCCGATCGTCTGGCTCCCACCCGTCTTCTATCTGCTCTCCGTCGGAGCCGCCGGACTCGGCACCACCCCAGCTGCTGCTTATTTCGTTGGTGGCCTGTGCCTCTGGACTTTGATCGAGTACCTGATGCACCGATTCCTCTTCCATCTGGATGGCTGGCTCCCTGACAACCGGGTGGGCCTGACTCTTCACTTCTTGCTGCACGGCATTCACCACTATCTCCCCATGGACAAATACCGCCTCGTGATGCCGCCAACCCTGTTCGTCGCCCTGGCTGCGCCATTCTACAAGCTGGCCCATGCGGTCTTCTTCTACAACTGGTATGCGGCTGTATCGGTGTTCTGTGGTGGAGTATTCGGCTACGTCTGCTACGATCTCACCCATTACTTCCTCCACCACCGCAAGTAAGTGTCTCTACAGTTTTGGCTCCGCAAATCACAGCTAACATTACATCTCAGGCTCCCATCTTACTACCAAAGCCTTAAGAAGTACCACCTCGAGCACCACTTTGCCGATTATGAAAATGGATTCGGTGTCACCAGTCGGTTCTGGGATCGAATCTTCGGCACTGAGCTGGTGACTCCTCCTCCCAAGGGGGCGAAGGCCCAGTGAGCCCATCCATGGCTATGTATCCTGGTTTCATTGGTTCTTGTTCATGATCTCACGCGAAGTATGATCGAGCGGCTGCTCTTGGATACCTCGGTATCTTGTTATCATGTGAATCTGGAGTTTGGGGTTTGGATGCTTTCTTGCACATTCATACAACTCTCTGGTGCATGTGGTTTGCTAGATGATTGAGGTAATCATCGGATCACTCCATTGCCCAAAGAGACTTTGTTCCACTATGCAACTACCACTTATGAGTGTACATTATCATTAATCATAATGCCAAACGTGATCTATCTACTCCGTATTCAAGGCCTGAAACACAGGCAACGTGGAAGCCTAGGTTTCAAGCATTTGTCAAGTGAATTTTGACGTCTATACTCCACAAGGAACTTTTCATTCGCCGAGACTACTGTAGTCGACATCGAAATCACGTCCACGGGTCACTCTTCACATTTCCAGGTCAGAGTGTATATCCTGTTCACTGACAGCGTGCAAAGTGGCACACTAGTTGGGGGCCTGGTGTCTTGATGTAGACGGAAAGTAGACAGGCCCCTAACCTTGGGACGCTTTAAGGTTGAAAGTACTAACTGCACAGCACTTGAGGTGTGATCCCAGACTGACGGCACCTGGGTATGAGGCGATGAGGTCAGAGGGCACTTTGGTGTTCTGCCGGATCCAATCACCGTAATTATTATGCCGGCAGAATCTGATTGTGGCAGAAAACCAAAGTGCCCCCCCCATTCTGCCGGATCGAATGACTGTAACTATTATGCCAGCAGAATCCTATTTCGGCAGAAAACTAAAGTACCTAGGTACCCTCCTTCAACATCTCATCTTTCACCGCCTTTTACAATCATCTCACTTGATCCCGTCCTCGACTTCAGACCGCCTTCCATAATCATCTCACTTCTCAACCGACCGCCTTCCATAATCATCCCACATCACCCAGACCGCCTTACATAAGCAGCGATGAAGGTCTTGCTGCTGACCGCCCTCGAAATGGGCAAGTCACGATACACACCGCCCTTTCGTTTGCTTTCTCTGCTCCAGATCGAGATCCCGCGCAAGCGTTATCCTCTTCCCACCCCCCAACCACTCACGAAGGGTATGCAAAATCAACCCACTTGTTACCCTCTACCATTCTGACTAGGCTCCAGTGAAACCATCTATTCCTTCGCCCTTCCTCAAAAAATTCAAATTCCTCGACTGGTTACCCAAAATGTCAGGACTCGACGTCGAGGCTCTTCTGGAGTCCGCCGCAGCCGCGCCCGCTGCAAACACCCCCCACCCCAGTGATCGTGACACCAGTGCACGCCCCGAATCCGAACGCCGTGACCGCTCCCGTGACAGGCGCCGCCGTAATGACCGCGACCGCAGCCGTGACCGCCGCCGTTCCGACCGTGACACCGATGCTGACCAGGAAATGCTGACCAGCCCACGGAGCGAGCTTGCAAGCGCTAATGAAAGCCAGCGAAGCCGAAAGCGCAGCCGCAGTCGCGAAGATGACCGTCGCCGTCGTCGAGACGATTACCGTAGCGGTGACTTCTACCGTGGCGGAGGTCGCGCTCGTGATCGCTCTCGAAGCCCCTACGATGACCGTCACTACCGCCCCGGCCGCCGTGATCGGGATGATGATCGCCGCCACCGCCGTGGCCGTGATGACCGTCGTTCAACCCCCGCCCGGCGTGACAGTCAATCCCCCGAACTCAACGACGATGAGCGTGATCGCCGAACTGTCTTTGTCCAGCAACTTGCCGCTCGTCTGCGAAGTCCCGAATTGAAGGCATTTTTCACGAAGGTCGCACCCGTCAGGGAGGCTCAGATTGTCAGGGATCGCGTTAACGGACGCTCCAAGGGGTATGTTGTCCCCACTACTGTCCCAATTGAAGCACCCTCTAACCTCATCTAGTGTCGGATACGTCGAATTCCGGGAGGAGGAATCTGTCGGGCCCGCTATGCAGGTCACCGGACAGCATCTCCTTGGCATTCCCATCATTGTGCAACTGACCGAAGCGGAAAAGAACCGCCAAGCACGTAACCCCGAAGCCAGCTCTGGGGCCAACCACTCGGCTCCATTCCACCGTCTGTATGTCGGGAACGTCCATTTCAGCATTACCGAAGAAGATCTTCGAAATGTCTTCGAACCTTTTGGCGATCTCGAGTTTGTCCAGTTGCAAAAGGAGGAGACAGGTCGAAGCAAAGGATATGCGTTCGTTCAGTATGCTCCGACCCTGTCCATTCTGTGACAAATTTGAAGCTGACTGAACTCTTAGATTCTGTGACCCTAACCAGGCCCGTGATGCGTTGGAAAAAATGAACGGATTCGAACTTGCTGGACGCGGTATTCGAGTCGGTCTCGGCAACGATAAGTCCGCCCCCGAATCGAACACCCAACGTACCCCAGGACCCCAATCTAGCTCCCAGTCGCATTATCAAGGATCCTCTTTCTCCGGACAGGGAGGCCGCGGCGTTCAGGCCGGTGGCTCTAACAATTTCGACCGTGCCGGTGGACGTGAGAATGAAAAAGGTGGTGGCGCAAGTGCCCTCGATGACACAGATGTTGCTGGTGTCAACTTCAACAATTACTCTAGAGACTCTTTGATGCGAAAGCTCGCTCGTACAGATGATTCCCAACCCTCTGTTGACGACCAGCAGAAGACGCTCCGATCCAAGACCGAGACCAAGCCGCTCCCCGTCAACGTTAATGCTGTTGGTCGATTCGTGAAGCTCAGTAACATGTTTGACCCTGCTGAGTACGTTTCACTGCCCATCCCCCATTACCACGCAATGACTAACCCCATCTTAGAGAAACCGGCGAAAACTGGGTCAAGGAACTGGAGGAAGACGTTCGCTCAGAGTGCGAGCGCAAATATGGCCACGTTGTTCACATCTCGCTAGATCCGAATTCCCAGGGAGAAATTTACCTGAAGTTTGAACGCATTCAGGGCGGCGAAAACGCCATCAAGGGTCTCAACGGACGTTACTTTGGCGGCAAGCAGATCACCGCCCAGCCCGTCGTGGATGCCGTCTATCGAAGCCTTTTCTCCCGGACCAAGGACCTCTAACTCCTCTTCCCTGAGTGTGGGTCCCTTTCATGACCCCTATCATGACATCTAACGCACTCGTCTTTGAAAGCAGGTCCCTATGACTTCTCGTGCTACCCTTTGGACAATCCTAGCTACCCTGGACACTCCTTGCTAAGACTTGGACCATCCTGGCTACAGCCCTGGACAATCCTAGACAATCCTGGCTACCCTGGACACTCCTTGCTATGACCTGGACCATTCTGGCTACAGCCCTGGACAATCACTGGCTATCACTGGCTATCACTGGATCCTGCTCCCCGTAGGTGTCAATCTGGCAGCGTTTTTTTTTCCCCTTGATTTATTGGACCCCTCCGGTGGGACCATTACCCCTTTGCGACTCGGAGTTCTTTAACAGCGTGATCTGGTGCATATTCATCGCTGCAGTTTTAGGGTTCTTCCCTTCAGACATTCAGCCCAATGGAAAATCTTCAAATGTTATCTTTGTCCTTGCGTAGCCATGTAAGATGCCTTTAGAGGTTGTATCCATAGCATTTTCCAACCCAGTGTAGCTTCCCACCTGGGCATGCCCAGCTGCCTGTCCAGATGTTTACCCTGATGGAAGCAACTCCGTAAACCAGGTACAAATTTATAGTGTCCAGTGGACATCCATACCACCTGGGCACCTGGCACTCTGTCAGCGTGATTGCAGCCCACAAGCTGCAGCTCCATCATGCATACTATTGGGTAGCTCCAAGGTTTGTTATCTGCCTGTTCTCAAAGATGTGTAACGATGTTCAAGGTTTGTGCAAGGTGTATATATGACGCTATTCCGAACTACATCTCTCTCCATCTAGCCCATATCCATTCCAGCCATCACCTTAAGCCACCTGGGCAGCACAAACCCCTCCGGTGCGTTGGCTTGATCGATAAACAGCGCTGTAAGGTCACCTATCTACACCAACCAAAACCATTAAAAGCATACACTAATTATCTTGAGATCTCAGCCAAGCTGTCACCCTATCACCATGGCCCGAACTAGAAAGCAGAAATCCTTTCCCAAATGGTCTATCTATGAAGCTCTCCACGGTGAAGTATCGAGGTTACTGGACGGCACAGGGCTCGCATTCGATTTCCACACCGAGGATAACGAGACCCATTGCATCAGACAGTGGGACTCGAACGTCATGGGCCGCTTTGTGTGTCACAATCCAGCATGCCGTTCAGATGGCTGGTCCAGTGTTAAGATCGCGATCACAATTCGTCAATATACCAATCACGAATACAACGCGCGAGTATACCACCAACGCTGCAAATCTTGCAATTGGCTTTCTAAGCCATGGTTGAGTTATTCATATGCCGAGCGAGTGGCCTATTGGCTGAAGAAATGGAACGGAGTGTACGTTGAGAAACCTGATATCTCGGGCTCCAGCAAAGGGCCTCATGACAGTCGCCTTTGTGAAGGCTGTAAGGCTGGACACTGCTCTCAAGATGAGGACAGCCTCAGCAAACGATTTAACCGGTTTGTCAGTTTGAGCTGTGTACGATTATTGACTGACTTCGAAATAGACTGTATGTCTAGTAGACAGTTTCTTGACTGCAGGGCTGGCAACGTCGATAAATTTCCCTTTTGCCCTAGTGGTCTGCCACGATGCTCTTGTATGCAAAGATTGGCTCACGAGGCGTCATATTGTCGTCCTGGAAAGCAGTTGGCCATTTGTTGAACAAGTGGGAAGTGAGCCTCCATGTGTCCACGAGAGAAGGATAGTTAGCATGGGCCTTGAATACTAGCTGCCAACAACGATACTGTGTACTCAAATGGTGGAATATTAGGAGCATTTTAGTTTTGATACGTAGTCATCACTGTTCTTTGGGTCTGGCCTTCTCGTGAGTATAGGCATTGATAGTTACCTTCCAAGGTTGGAGAGCCACTCAGGGAAGCCCTATACTCAACGGAATCACCTGCCTACTAGGTAAGTGGGCATCTGTAAGTGCTCTAGACATTCTATACACTGCTCATATATTATCTAGGGGTGTATAATTATCTCCCTGTCTTTGCCTACGTACTTATTTGCAACGTGTCCAACTACCATATCTATACCCCATGAAGCCCGGCCTATGGACTCAGTAGAAAAACCAGCTCACCAAGTATATCCCCGCAAATATCCCCACGCCCTGAGATGAACCTGAGCGAGTCCTGCATTGGTAAGTCAATAACAGTTCAGTGAAATCAAAGGAGGGACTAAGAGTATAGATATCTAAAGCGGATCCCAACGCGGAAAGCAGGTGCCGAGCCAAAGTATCTTATCTGCCGACGCCCGGGGCCTCCCCCACGCTTCTCTTTGTACTCTACTCCGTACTGTACTCTGTACCTCAATGGACCAATGACTCTCCTTTCACCGAGGCGAGTAGGCGGATTCTACTCCTCCGCCCGTCGTTACAGTACGTCCAGCGTATCTCCTGGGAGCTCCTATCGCTAAATCGCAATCTAGGCTTCGCCCGTCAAGCTCGAAACTACACGCCGGGCCCGGCCCAGTCGGCAGCAAGGAGGGATCCTCAGTTCCGTGACTACTTTGTGACCCATTTACCCTCGTCCTCTCTCCATCCTGATCCCCGCGGTCCGACCTCACCGTTCCACAAGCTACCCCGGGCCGCCTCCACGCCGCACACCGGAGATACGTCACAGCACCCGGCGGCGTTTCAAGCGTTGATTGACCGCGAGACCACGGTCGTCCGGATTCCCCTGCGCAGTGCGAAACACCATTTCGGCGCCGTCACTGCGCGCGGGACTCGACCTGCCAATGAAGACACGTACCAGGCGGGTGTCATCGACATCCCGGCTTTCGCAAAGCGCCCTCCCGCCTCGTTAACGATCAAGCGCAATAAACAAAGTCCCCCAGCTCGGCCTCAGGAGTCGCGAGGGGCAGAAACAGCGAGTGGAGATCCGCAGGTATTCTACTTTGGTGTCTTTGACGGTCATGGCGGCACCGAATGCAGCTCCTTCTTAAGAGACTACCTGCATGAGTACATTCAGAATGCCGCACAGGATATTGAATTACAGTCAAGCCTACGACCTGGCGCCGCGGTTCCCTCTGCTAGCAGCGAGTTGCCGGTCATGCAAGAAGGCGACCGGCGGAGGATCGGAGACCTCGAGAAGCACCTTATCCAGACCTGGCGGCGGATCGTTGGGGGCTACTTTAAGCGTTTCAAGCCACCGCACTTCGCCTACGATGGTACGGATTCTACAGATCCGGCGATTGCCGATCACATCTCGATCGAAGAGGTTGTGGAATACGCCTTCCTGCGCGCCGATCTAGACTTCGTGAAGGCGCAAGCCTCCAAGCAAGAAGATGACCCAGTCCGGGCTGAACGACCCCTGAACGACGACGAAATATTCCACAGACCGAGTATGACGCGATCCCCTCACATCGGTGGACGTGCGCGTTTCAAGGGCGGCAGCACCGGGAGTGTTGCGATGATCTCAACCCCAACCCCAGCACCTTTCTGGCACCCGATCGCCCCCTCCAGTCTGCTCATTGCCCACGTAGGCGATACTCGAATCCTTCTGTGCTCGACCGAAACAGGTGAAGCCATTCCCGTCACTTCGAACCACCACCCCTCTTCTCCGATCGAGGCCAGCCGACTCCGACGGTACGCGGCCACGTTCGTCACCGACTCTTTCGGTGAGGAGCGCATGAGCGGATTGGCGAATACCCGCGCTTTCGGTGATGTGCACTCCAAGCGCATTGGCGTCTCCGCAGAGCCAGAGCTCAAGCGCATCGAGCTTGGTCCCGCGGAATTCTCGTTCCTGGTCATGGTCTCGGACGGTATCAGCGGTACACTCCTCGACCAGGAAGTTGTCGATATCATTAAGGAATCCAAAACTCCTGAGCAAGGCGCCCGAGACGTGGTCAATTTCTCCACCGAGGTTACCAAAGAAGGAGACAATGCTACCTGTCTTGTTCTTCGCCTCGGTGGGTGGGAGCGTCGACAAGAGGGTGGTGTCGGCAGCATGGGAACTCGAGAATCTCGCGATTGGCGCCGACAGGAAGCCACCGATCCGCGCAGGTCACGGACGTGAAGTAGATTTTTGTTCTGTATATAGTATTTATCCTTTGCTGATCGTGCATAATCATCGTTTATAGGTCATCAACGCTTAGTCTCTCAGTGTCCTCCAACTAGGAGTATAATCACTATCATAAAGGCCGAAGTGCAGCACCTGGGCAGACTCGTATACTTCCCGATTAGGACATGCTTACCAGTACGGAGCTCCAAGCACACCACCGACGTAGTGAAGTGGACCTGGAGCTTCCGGCGAACCCGCCAGGGCCTGCTTGTCCTCTAAGATTTTTTCCTTCGTTTCAGGTTTATGTGCTGATCGTCGTTAATCAAACACGCTTATCGCCTTATCGGGTCATTTTTTCTCCTTAATTGCCAGGCTGACAGCGTACGTGTCTTTGCGGCTTCAACGCATCCGGCTACACTCCTTCCCGGACTACCTATACCTTTTAATAATCCATTCCTTATCCACATCACAATGAGCGCCCGCACACGACGACAGAAGGCTGCCCTCGCCGAAGAGAGCGACTCGCCCAGCAATGGTTCCGTGTCACCCTCCAAGCGGTCCCCCTCCAAGAGAGCTCGATCTGCTGCGCGCGATGCGCCCAAGGAGAACATCTTCCTCTTCACGCCCAACCTGATCGGTATGGCCCCTCGATGGGATGTATGCATCGGTATCAAGCTCCAGCGCTAACCCCATTCAAGGCTACACCCGTGTCGTGTTGACCTTCGCTTCCCTATATTACATGCCCCTCCACCCCCGAACCTGCTCTTTCCTTTACACCGTGTCTTGTCTGCTGGACGGTCTGGACGGTTATGCCGCTCGTTACTTTAATCAATCCACCACCTTCGGTGCGGTGCTGGACATGGTCACCGACCGCTGCACCACCGCGTGTCTCCTGGTGTTCCTGAGCTCCGCCTGGCCCCGCTGGGCTATTGTCTTCCAGGCTCTCATCAGTTTGGACATGGCCAGCCACTACATGCACATGTATGCTACTCTGAGCATGGGAGGTTCCAGCCAGAGCCACAAGAAGGTCGACCCTACCCGTAGCTGGATCATGTACCAGTACTACACCAACAAGGTATGTCATTTCCATTTCATCTGTTTATTTCAATCCTAACTCTTGTCTTCTCCAGGCCGTTCTTTTCGTGTGCTGTGCCCTTAACGAGGCCTTCTTCATCGGCCTGTACCTGCTCTCCTTCTCATCGCCCATCCTGTCTCCCTCGCTCCTGCAGCCCGTCTCCGATGGCGCGTCCGCTCAGCCCGGCAACCCGGCTCACCCCGAGCCAGCCAGCCTCTTCTCCAGCCCCTGGAGTGCCGGTGCCCTCGAGATGGCCCGTGCCAACAAGCTCGAGAGCACCTGGCCGTGGATCATCACCGGCATTGCCTTCCCCGTCATGGCGTTCAAGCAGTTCGTCAACGTCGTCCAGATGGTGAATGCCAGCAAGTGGTTGGCCGAGGGCGACCTCAAGACCCGCCGCGCCAACCTCAAGAAATAAAGGATTGGAGCCCTAGGAGTCTAGGCTGCATATACGTCTTCTTCATGCCTCCGATTCCTTTCTTCTTGTCATGCATGTCTTTGGAGCTACGGTTTGTTTTCAGGGATGTGCGAGTGGTTGGCTTTCCATGCCAATCCTCCTCCCTGGGGGAATGGTTCTGGTTATTGGATCCTATCAATCAGCATCTTGGGTAGGATTGCGGGTCATCAGTGGCCTGTCATGGTCCGGCTTTGGGACCTTGTACAGTACACGCGGGTTGTGTTTCATTTGCTCATTTCTTCTTTTGTTCCCTCTTCTTCTTTCCCATTGGACTGGCATTACGCCTGGTCCCTCCATTTTCCTCTTCTGAGTCGTCGATTTTGCCGGTTTCTTTTCATCTTTAACGCTGTCATACATCATTTAATGCATTTCTCTTGTATTGTCGATACTAGTAGTTATCGAGAGAACCTTTTCTCACTGGCCATTGGGGTCCATGCTGATCTGTTGGAGTCTGGAGTCAGGCCCCAGCTTCGACGCGACGTGGATGCATCAAGCTGGGGAGCTCTGATCCGATTCAGAACGCCTATTGTCTCCGTACACGAGCTGCCTCCACTAGACATAACCCTGAAGCTGTGGACGAAAATACAGCTTCAGCATCCAAGTGCTGAGATGAAGACTGCCCGTGAATAAGCGGTGCCGATGATTGGATTTATGTCATCGGCGCCGATTTCGGAGCTGGCGGGGTCGGATTCACCCGCCCGTTTTTATAAAGACGAAGCTCTCCTACGCAGTTGACTCACTTTCACATCCTATATCTGCATAATGTCTTCCTTCAACGTCGTTGTTTTCGGTGGTGACCACTGTGGTCCTGAGGTATGCCATCCTTGCCAATTGGGCTAGAATCCGGGGACTGACTTTCTATAGGTTACTGCCGAGGCTGTCAAGGTAAATCTTATAGCTGCCACGCACACAATCGACATACTCACGATATTCTAGATTCTCCGTGTCGTTGAGAAGGCGCGCGGTGTCACTTTCAACCTGCAGGACCACCTGCTCGGTGGTGTGAGTGAGACCCAGTTCCCCGCAGAGCTCAATCGCTAATACTCGCAGGCTTCCATCGATGCCACCGGCTCTCCCCTGACCGATGAGGCCCTGACTGCCGCTAAGAACGCCGACGCTGTCCTTCTCGGTGCTATCGGAGGACCCGTACGTTCGCACCCACCCCACACCCACGAGAACCACATACTCACAAGGCAATAGAAATGGGGCACTGGCGCCGTCCGCCCCGAGCAGGGTATCCTCAAGCTGCGCAAGGAGATGGGCACTTTCGGTAACCTGCGTCCTTGCAACTTCGCTGCTCCCTCGCTGGTCGAGAGCTCCCCCCTCAAGGCCGATATCTGCCGTGGTGTCGACTTCAACATCATCCGTGAGTTGACCGGTGGTATCTACTTCGGTGAGCGCAAGGAGGACGATGGTTCCGGATACGCTATGGACACTGAGCCCTACTCCCGTGCTGAGATTGAGCGCATCATCCGCCTCGCTGCCAACTTGGCTCTGCAGCACAACCCTCCCCTCCCTGTGTGGAGCTTGGACAAGGCCAACGTCCTCGCCACTAGCCGTCTCTGGCGCAAGGTCGTCACTGAGGTCATGGAGAAGGAGTACCCCCAGGTCTCTATCGGTCACCACCTCATTGACTCTGCTGCTATGTTGATGATCAAGGACCCCCGTAAGCTGAACGGTATTGTTGTCACTAGCAACCTGTTCGGTGATATCATCAGCGACGAGGCCAGTGTCATCCCCGGTTCTCTGGGTCTGCTGCCCAGTGCCAGTCTGAGTGGTATCCCCGACGGCAAGAGCCGTGTTAACGGTATCTACGAGCCTATCCACGGTATGTGTCTTAGTCTGCTTCCAACTTAGGGCAACAGTATCTAACTGCTATAGGATCCGCCCCCGATATCTCCGGCAAGGGCATTGTCAACCCCATTGCTGCCATTCTCTCCATCGCCATGATGATGCAGTACTCCTTCAACATGATCGATGTCGCTCGCGTGATTGAGACTGCCGTCAGCAACGTCATCGAGGCCGGTGTTCGCACTGGCGATATTGGCGGCACCGCCAAGACCACCGAGGTCGGTGATGCCGTTGCCGCCGAGCTTGAGAAGCTCCTCAAGTAAATAGAAAGTCGCCCAGAGGCGCCAATGTTTCCATATGAGATACGACTAGCATACAAAACAACAAAATTGAATACCCGTTTTAGATGCAATGTTTCGCCGAGTAGCAAGAACATATCAGTACACTCGCCATGCAAGAAACCAGTAGAACCGGGTATCATGAAGACATCAACTCCATCAAAACCCCAGGCATAAAACCAACCCCATAAACGCCATCCTCGCTAATCCCTTCAACAATAACTCACCGAATAACAGGCTCCCCCATCCAATCCGGCTCATCCATCCCAACCGGCAAAGCCTCAACCTCCTCACTCGCCATCCCCCTAAGATCATGCTGCCCCCTCCGTCTATCATCCGCCGAAGCAGAAGGCCCATTCCCAATCTTCCTTCGAATATCATCACAAGCAAATACCTGGAATCCACGCACATGCGTATCCTTTCCATTCTGATGATTCTCCATAATCCGCATCTGAATCACCATAGCCTTAAGCACATTCCCTGAATAAGGATCCTCATCCTCATCCTCTTCAACAGGCTCACACTCCTCATCATGATCATGTTCAGCATCCTCGCAGTTGCGATACACAACGCGATGCTCAGCACTAGACTCGGGCTTTGAGTCACTTCTCACCCACCCGCCATTCCGGCCTCCTACGCCTTCGAGTGGGATATCGACCCATCCGCATGGCCCTTCGCCTTCCCACGTTGCGAACTCGACGAGATCGTTCCCGCCCATGCCTGCGGCGAAAATCATCTTCGTGGGCGTGTAGCTTTCGTCCAGATCGAAGTCTAGGAATACGCGCACTTTCACCACAGCGACCAATTTGAAGAAGTGCAGTGTTAACGTGTGTGGCTGCGGACCATCGGATTGCCAGTACTGTTGTGGAGAGGGATTGCGGAGGGCAGCGACGCCACAGCCTGGTTTGGAGGTGGACACAGTCCAAGATGCCAGTGAAGAGATCTCACGTAGATTAGGCGGGAGCGGCGTTGGCGTTCGCTCTGGATGGGCGTTGTGTTAGTGGGGTTTGGAGGGCGTTGCGGGAAACGTCCATACCGCGATCTTGCATTTCCTCGTCGACATCTCCCTCAAAGACCTCGTCACCATCTTCTTGCTGTTCTTCGATATCGGAATCGTCGAATTGCCCTTCTTCCGCTTGATCCACGTCGAATGAATCGTCCGGGCTGGGTTGGTCATCGCCCAGATCGTCCATCCCGCTTATGCGGGGATCGTAGTCGTCGTCGAAATCGGCATCCATCATCAAGGCTTGAGCGTCTGCTCGTGGTCTGCCGAATATCGTAAATGGATCTATCCCTGCTGCTGGGTGTCCCGCTTCGGCGGCTTCGGGGGTGAATGCATCGGGGCCGGTGGAGAGTTGTGTTGGGTTTGGATGCCGCGTCGGCGGGGTTTGGTACTGTGCGCGGAGGTCTGGTGGTGTGTTTGGGTTTTGGCTGGGGACCGGGTTGCGCGGGTGAGGTTGTCTGCGCAGGTGTGGCATGGCTGTTTGCCCTGGTGTCTGCTGAGGTTGTTGTTGACGCGCAGAAGCTTAATTTCCTTTTGCGGTTAGCGGCTTATCGGTATCTATACACGCCGATCTTCACTGCAATCGATTTTATAGATGAGTATGTATATCTAGGTAATGACTGAAAATAGTACGAATATGTGTAATAGGTCTCCTGCTCGTTAATTCCCCTATACCATTTCCCCTTCAGAGCAGCCTTCCTGAACCATGTTGCCATATTTCTGAGAATATCTTCAAACCCCGAAATGAATGTGAAAATCACCGGAACTCCAGCCTATGACTTTAAGACGCAGAGTAGGATGATTCAGGACCAGCCGCTCTCGTGAAGTCCTGCATGACAGGAGTGACAATGGTTGTCTTTTGGACTATCCCCGTCCGAGTGCGCGGATTGCCAATGCTCCGCCAATTTGTCATTTCTTCCGAATGATTTTGCGCAGTGGGGAGCCGGGCACTTGAAGGAGTCTGGCCGTAGATGTTTCTCCTTAATGTGACGCCACAGGGATGTGTCGTAGGAATATAGCCTTTTGCTTGTACAGCCTGCCCAGCCACATGTTGCTTGGCCGATGAATCTACTTCTTCATCGAAGTTAGATCAATCCAGCATCAGAGAAGCAGGCACTCTCTGAACCGAGAAGAAACTTACTTGGCTTTTGTTGCAGTGCGATAGCTATGTGGTGGAGAGTTCCCAGCTCGGCCACCGTTGCAGCGTTTCCCTTTGGAAGGTTGTCCCACTAGGGGCGAGGTCTGAGCGTGTTGATGGCCCTCAGCTTTTACGCCTTGGCAATTCAGCATGTAGCTATTTGTTTGATTCTCCACTTCGACCTCGCAGGCTTTGCCTTTACCACAGCAGGGCTTCGAGCCATTGGGATGTTGAGCTGGGCCTGATCCGCTCGAGATGTTCCCATCCAAGGCCCATGACTGCCGCATATAGGAATCGTAGACAGAATCCATGGCCGGAGCAGCTTGCTCGGCATAAATTTGTGTATTTGACTGTGGGTTGTCGTAGGACGAGCTGGGAGAGAAACCGTCAGTCTGGTGAGGGAAGTACTCGAATCCCTTCCAAGGGAACAGTTCAAAGTCCGCGTCGTGTGTCATGACGTTGAACAAAGTAAAAGGTGAGATGCAAAGATGCAATGAATCACGAGATCACGCCTTCCAGTGGAGGAATGAAATGGTGAAACTTGGGGAGATACGGAGCGCTTTAAATAGGTAGCTCATGAACCCGATGAGCGTCGCGGGTTGTTTGCATGGATCTACTCTGCAGTGCTGGTATCAGCTTTAACCTTTTAAAACGTATCAGTACCATGCATGTCCTTAACTTACAGCACAGTAGAAAGCTCCGGATACTGTGCTCCAACCACTCAGACTCCTTCAACGTGCATAGCATTCATGAATCCAGCGGAGCCTGATTTGCACACAGCCCGCCATGTGAGATAATACTGCATGAATGTTAGCTGGCTGCAATGTTGCAGACGTCTGAGTGGTTGGATCAGGGTACACAAATGCAGGCCGGATGTTTCTTGGGACATAACTGCATAGGCGCACGTTCTCGGGCTGGCAAAGCTCCGCATTGGTATACGCTACAAAATATTGTCATACCTAGTATGTACACCTGGGCAGCTAAGACAGAAATGATCACCCCCCGAACTGCATAAACCCCCGGGGCCGCCAAGGGTTGGTTGGGGAATCCATGCAATGGAGGGCGCACCGCTATCCGCTGGATACACAATGGCCAATCCCACCCAACTACCTAGCAGTACGTTGATTCGAAGCTCAAACTTGCCAAGAACACGTGTTTTTCATAGAAGAACAAGTCCGGAGTACTCGGGTGGAATCTGAAGGCCAGGCTGTTCTCGAACATGTTGTGCTCTCCCATACAGTCTCCACTCGCCAGACGGATTGGCGCTGTAGAGCCTTTGTTGTTTCCCGCGAAATCCTGAAAATAACAATTTCAAGCCATAGATCTAAAAGGTGCACACCGTTTGGTAAGGTGTGTTTTTTGTGTGTTCCGTTTCTGACATTTCCTCGCCTCTCGGGATGGATTGCAGTATCCACCATCATCAGGGTCATAGTCCTCCCACCGTTCTGTCTGCGACGCCAGACCACCATTGCGCTCTTCATGTTTCACTATGCCGGGGACCTCTCTGGTGCCTTTCTTTCTGTGCTTTTCCCACTACTTGCAAGGCTGTGTAGGGTTTTGCTTTTTTTTGGTTCTACTTCACAGCTATTGCAGCTCACTTAGGGAGAGATGAAGGGTACCCCATATCGACTGAACGAAAATGGTGCGATATTTTGATAGGCAGTGGCAGCGAGGTACATCACGCGCCAGTGTACGGAGTAGGGTTGCGCTGGTATCCCGACCAAGGTCCAAGTCACCCTGTATGCATTTTCCAAGGTTGGTTTTTATGGTATTACCGCAGTACTGGTAATTTACCATCTGCACCGAATAGCAGTCACGAACGCAATTATCACCAGCTGTTAGTCTGAGCCCTTGAGGCTCTCTGCTTCAACGCGCCATGCAGAGTGCGTCGTACATGTAGAGTGAAGTCCGACTCCACTCGGAATGTGGGGTGTTCCCGACTCCACGGGCCGGTCCTCGAACCATGGAACCACGGCCTAAACGCCTCTCTAAATTACCACTAGTACTTCGTAATGCTAATTACTCATACTGTACTCCGTACTTCGCGATTGATGAAGGAGCCGAACATTCGATACGGGTCGCCATCTAGCTACAATATCTTGTCGAATTCACGCCTGATCTTCCCCGGCAAATGTATGGTGGCTCCTAAATGTCTTCTTTTTCTATCGCGGACAGCTGTAAGCCTGTCCAAGATCAATGCCGGAGGCTCCGTGGATTGCCGTAATAACGATTACTGTCGCAGTGATTGTCAAACAAAGGCAGGGGGTCTTGACCATGGTCATCGTGCAGCTTCCCAAGAGTCTCTGCGATTGCTGAATCCAGCACTCTTCGTCGACTGATCGTGGGTTTTCTTTTTGATGATAAGCGGAGGACATAGACCGGTACCGGTGACTTGCATTCGTGGGCGGTTTGGTAGTCATAGTCGGTATTGTTAAGGTCGACAACGAAATAGGAATGCTTGTCGGGGTGAATCGTGACCGCAAGCAAACGAGTGGTGTTATTCCCATGGCGCGCACAGAGGCTATTCTGCACCTCCAAGGTAAACGGACGTATTGATTCTAAATAATCGTTCGGATCAAGAATCCTAGTTGGGGTATCACCCAGTATTCGCATCGTTCTGGTAACATCATCTTCAGGCAACTCGAACAAGACTATTCGGAGTTTTCCCTCCCAGTAGTCTAGCTTAGCTTTAGTTTTCTCTTCCTCCTTTCTTTCTTCTCTTCTTTAACCAATGAACCTCAGTTGAAGAGAACCCCCTTCCTTCCAATCCCTAATCCGAAGAGGTTATAAGGCTCTATAAATATAAATTCTGCATTAGGATTCTCTAAATTAATCAACTAAAAGAAGCAGCTTAGTTAACCCACAATAAAATCAATAAAATCAATAAATCAAGCGGCTCGACCTGTAAATCGAAACCCTAACTTCCTTCTAACTGCCCCTACTTTCCCCACCCTCCAATCTATTAAACCCTTTATCTATACTATCGAAATAATCAATTATCATAAAGGATAACTCTTAATTTTAGGTGATAAAGCTAATTTCTTCTAGCTATATTCTTGGAGATAAGATCCTACTTTTAACCAGAGTAAGAAACTAGAAGAAGTGGTAGTATACTCTATATACTTCTATTATAAATAAATCCAAGTATTACTAGGATTTAATTATAAATAAACTAAAGAAGCTAAAAGTTTTAACTACTTAAGTAATACAGACTTTACTACCTCTATTCTAAAAAGAATTAGATATGTAGTTAACTAATAAAGTGATATTAGCTAGAATATCCTACAAAAACTCTATAACTAAAACTATCTATACTACCGATAAAGAAACTACTACTACAGAGAATTTGATCTTTACTGTAACAAATCTTAAGCAATATAATAAGATCTAATATAAGAGATAGAAGATGGTAAATAATCAGTGTCGCAAATGGATAGTAAATAAACTTATTACGAATATAATTAAATACTCCTATAATGTTAATTCCGTCCTAGACCTATATACTGAATTAAAGAAGGTCTATAAATCTAATAACCAGTAATCTAAAGTAAATACTATAGAAGCTTTGATAGCTTTTAAGTATTATGGGTTAAAACTAATAGAATACCTATAGAATTAGAAGAGTAAACTATAGAAATATAAGGATATAATAGATTCCGCTAATTATATTCTACTTACTGTTCTGATTAATATATTCCTTTATTTAATCAGAAAGGTTTTTAGTATAACCAACTAGCTTAATTCCTTCACCCTTAACAAGAAAAAGATTTATTCAAAGAATCTTAAGCTTCTCTATAAAGATTTTATATCTACTAAAGTCTGTTGTCTTATAAATTTATTAAAACAGTAAACTATGGCTAATACTGTTAATGAAAAATCTGATGAAAAGGTAAATATAGTAAAATTGAAGCTACCATCATTATTATTGAAGCAAAAGGATAAGAATAATAAGCCTTTCTATACTAATTATAAATACTATAGCCATTCTTAGGAAGATTATTATTATAACCCTATTAATAAGGATAAGCTCTGTAAGTCTAGAAAGGGCTATAAGAGTAAGAAGCCTATGAATAAAGAAAATGTTAGTAATATTAAGCAAAATTATACTGCTTATATAGAATATGAGATTCTTCTTAATACTGCCCATTTTGAATTCCTCCTTAAACCATATATTATCCCCATTCAGAATGAATCTTATGATCTAAATACTATAGTTTTCGAAGAAATGATTGAGGCTATAGCTATATGATCTAACTGGTTAAAGAAAGCTACTTTAGCTATTCTAACTACCCTAATTAAAGGGATTTATGATAAAAATAGCTATATCAATATTGTTGATCTGGTCTATTAGTTTTATCTGGCCGAAGTTGATTATGTTGATATCACTAGTGTTTCGTATTGGTTTAAGGATAGTATTAAAATCTATGTATTACCTATTAAAATCCATATATTAACTAGTAAACTTTATATATCTAATATTAGTTTTTATAGTACTAATTCCAATTACAATAAATAGATATTAGATTCTGGATACACCACATATATAATACTTTTTAGATATAGATTCGTTAATTTTACTAGATCTATATCTTCTATTATTATAACTAATAATAACTGGATCTATTCTAAAGGTTATAGGGAAATTTAACTTAATCTAGTAGATCTTAATGATTGTTGAATAGGTACAATTTTACTGAAGAAGATTTGGCTAGTCCTAAAACTCATTTTATTAATAATTTTGATTTATATTCTTATAAAAAATAAAATAAGTACCACTTTTGATAAAGATATAGCTTCTTTATATAAGATAGGGATATTTAATGAAGTGATTGGATATACTAAGTTTGATAGTAAAGCCGATTAATATTGACTCTGTGTATACGAAAGTGTAGGTTTAATGATCTAGGTCTTATAAGCTACTGGTTATCTTATCTGTTCGATTCATAATCCTAGGGAGATAGATTTGGCCGATGATCTTACTTTATTTAAAGTCTCTAAAGATAATAATCTAGTAATTCTAATAAATTTAGCTTACAGAAGGGTCTATTATACTAGTGAAGTAAAGGTTTAAAAGATAATAGCTAATATAGAAGGTTTTCGAATTATTAAAGATATTACTTTTATTTGTCTCTGTATACCTTATATTATAGGAAAGGATTATATACTTCTATTTACTAAAGATAAACTAATTCGATTAGCCCTAGGTAAGTTTCTTTATACAGATATCTAGAGGTTAATCTTAATTGCTACTATAAAAGGATATATCTATTTTATTATATTTATCTATAATTTATTATATTTTTGTTAGATATTTTTTCTCAAAAGTAGATCGGAGATTGTAGAAAAGTTTAAAATAATTAAATCTTACCTAAAAATCTAGCTTAATATTATTATTAAGTAAATTAGTAATAATAATATTAAGGAATATATCTATATTCTTATAGAATTCATAATTGATGAAGAAATAGTCTAGATCTTAATTCTGTTATATTCCTTGAAATTAAATAGAATCATAGAGATTAAAAATAAGTACTTAGTTAAACTAATAGTTTCTATTATAATAGAATAGTAATTACTTTACTTTCTATAGAGAAATATTATTACTAGAGTTAACTAGATGATAAACTGTCTATAGTATTTAAAGATTAATTATACTTTATTTAAGAAGCTATATAGTTATTAGTCTAATTTAAAGTATCTATATATTTTAGATAATCAATATTAGTATTTAGTTTTGAAAGATAAATGTATAACTAAATTATACCCCTATATAACAAAAGGCTGTCTAGTTAGATATAATATTCGGGGAGATTAGTAAGTCTATAATATTAAAATTAAAACCATTATAATATCTAAGGATATAATTTTTAATAAATAGACCCTAATAGGAATTATTAGAATGAAAGATTATGATTTCTTTGATAGAAATCTTGATTCTTTATTAATCGATTTAATTAAAGAATTATTAGATAATAAAGCTTAATGATATATCCTAATTAAGTTCCTTGAAGAACTACCTTTATTATGAATATAATTATATACTACTGATTTAAATAAAAATACTACTGAAGTCCCTAAAGCTATTATACTAAAGAGATAAGGGGAGATATAAATAAAAGATAGGATAGTAAACCTATTAGAGAAGGATAATTCTAAGAATCCTATAGATTCCGATAGATTACTAAATTAAAACTCTATAATAGATATACTATTATCTATACTAAATTTAGTATATAAAGATAAATTAATTCCGGAGCTATAGAGATCTATTAGAATCTATAAGAAAACTTAAAACTAAGAAGAAACTAAATTAATACCTATTTTATTAACTCTAGCTTTACTTTATAAATCTTATAAAAAGACCCTAGCTCCAGAATAACTACTATAACGATCTGAGTAAATTAAAAAGCCTATTTATATAATGATTAAATATCTAGAATATTATTTAACTACTATTAATCTATATATTATAGAGATCATAATTAAATCCCTTTCTAGTGAATTTCTAGATGAAATCTATACTTTTTCTATATTAATCTTGACCAATTTAATCCCTAATAATAATAGATATATTCCTGAATTATAGAAAAATATAATAAAATATAAAGAATATACTAAATAGCTTAATGTTATACATTAAAAGTTATAAGCTTAGTTGAAAAATAGAATCTAGTGTATGATTAACCGTATAAATAGCCTTAAGAAACGAAAGCCTCTTACCTTAAGATAGATCTTTAATATTAAAGATAATAGATACTATAAAGTAAGATTAGTAGTTAAAGGATTCTATTAAATCAAAGATATCGATTTCTATAAGATCTATACTATTATAGCTAAATCCATAAGTTTCAAGATTTTTACAGTAATTTTAGTTACTAAAAAATAACCTATATACTATATTAATATAAAAACTACCTTTCTGAATATAGATTTAAAAGAAAGTATTTTCATTAAACTCCCTAATAGTTATCAGAAAGATCCCAATAAAATTGGGATTCTAGAAAAAACCCTTTATAGCCTAAAACAAAGCCCTTATAAATAGTATATTATACTATAAGATACCCTAATCGCTATGGGTTTTAAGAGAATTAATGCAGACTATTCAGTCTTTATATATAATTTGGATAAAAGACTATCTATCTATATCTTGATCTATATTAATAATATTATAATACTATCCCTATCTTCTAAGATAATTTCTAAGATAAAGAACAATCTAACAAAGTACTTTAAGATCATAGATAATATATCACGTGCCAGACAAGTCACGTGTTCTAGTCATGTGCAATGAGTCAGGTGACCTTATAAGTCACATGATATGGGTTACGTGTCCGATGTTAAGTGACGAGACTAATATAGTAAAGATGGATGGGAAGCCTCAGACTAAGTCCTATGACTTGGAGAAGAAAAGGATAGCGCGCTCTCTGATTCCTTTCTCTTCCCTTCTTTCTCTAAGTTTAGTTATTTGAATTGATGTATCTTTTCTCTATATTAGGACAGCTTATGATATATAACTAAATTTTATCCTATACTTTCTTTAGAGTAATACTATATAGATCTTTATTATAATTAGCCTTAGTTTACCTTTATACTTTATACTAAATAATCTCGAA